CGGCCGCCATGAAGTCAATTTGTAGCCAGAACAACTGCGCAAACAGGAGGGAAGTTGACTTTTCATTTTAATGCTACAACATCCCCAATTTTATGTGCCTCCCAAGTCTCAGGGCCAGGTTGGCTGATAGAAGGTTCTGGCAGCAAAATTGAATTCCTTCAGATTCCCTAAGCCTTTGCGCTGAAGAAAGATTTCGCCGTTCAGTGTAAACTCCGGTGAATTAAGAACAATAATTTAATTTAAACTCTAATTTCCCGAAATCTCTTTCTACATAAGTCCAAAGGAGCTCCAAATGTCATACCAGCATGTGGTGACGAGCTGACAGTATCATGCATTGTCTATACTATGCATCACAGTTATCGAAATTCAAGAACGCAGAGTTCTCATCCACTGTCATGCATAAGATAGCAAGCTTCGAAGCGCTGTTTCTTACTCCGCAAAAGTAGGCGAGTCCATAGTCAGCAACTCTGGCTGCTCGAGGAGAATCAAAGGCCCCGCCACAACACTATCCTCAGTAGGAGCATGTGGCTTGTTCGCAATGGAGACAATAATCAAACCAGCGTCCAAATCGAATGCTTTCGGAATAGTAACAGAATTCTTCTTCGGGTCGTATGGAACGCTAATATTGTTGAGGCCATGGAAGAAGACGGCATAGTAGTTCTCGGTTGCGTTCCAATGAGGTTTGTTGTTCTTGTCGGTGTAACGGAAGCTGATTTTCGAGCCTGGGTGGCCAGTTGTTCCAGTCTTATTGACGAATCCCATCTGCGGCAGGTTCTGGGTGGGATTCGGATAGACAGGATTCTCGGAGGGACAGCTGCCTGGGATGACGAATGCGTTGGTCGCGTCCAGAATCTGGTTTGGATAGGGGTAGGTAGTGTCCGAAGGGCCGGAGAATGGACCGGTGTTCCATACGTCAATAAGAGACCAGGTATTGTGTCGACTCTCGACGGTCCCGATGGCGAGGAGAGCAGACTTTGAAACAGTTAGACTGGCATCAAGGACAAGCCCTGTGAGATAAGCCATGCTAGCCGTCTCAAGGTAGGTCTGCAATGATAGCCACAACAGAGGCTCAAGCTGCGTTGTCGAGAACCCATATTTGCAAGGCCCAGGGGTAACTGAGTTATCGGAAATCTGATCTTGAAAGATACGAACGTGTCCCGCTTCATTATCGCGCATTTCAACGATTCGCTGATATGTTGTGTTGGGATATCCAAGATCGGTGAAGCTGGATGTATTGAAAGCTTCGACAGCTTGTTGGTAAAAAGAATAAATAATCCACTCCGCGGCCAACAAATTTTGAAAGAGAAGGTCATCGGCACCTGCAGGCCCTGACCCAGTTTTGGGGAAGACTTTGGTATAGTTGCTCGCGAGAGGTGTTTTCTTGCCCATATAGGTGCCGAAAAGAGGCGACTCTCCAGGGACTGCCTTCTCGGCATCTTTCAGTGGGGACGTTTTTGAAGTCGCTGGAAATGCAATTGCAGGCAGCACAGCTGCCATAAAGGCAACCGATATTATAGAGAAATACATTTTGTATAGTTGAGAGAGGATTCCAAGGTACTAATGCGAGATGTGTTTGATTCAGAAAATTGACTTCAGAAATCAAGAAGGCTTTATATATCCATTTGAAGAGACTTGGAGCTGTACTGCTTCAAGTTGTATACAACTTGAATATCGTCAGCGGCTGGGGCTCGTATACACAAGCATCTGGATTACTGCATCGAGCAAGAAGAGCGGACCAATCAGGGACCAGGCCACCGGCGATCTATTAAAAATCCTTGGAAGGATGGCCTGGATTACTAGTAAGGTATAGCGTCCATGTTCTATTTTCTATTTCTGAATCCGACTATCGGCCCTCCCTGCCGGATATATGCAATTGTTGGTAAACTGCGATTGGTGAATCTTATGTATCGTGAGTTTTGGCCAATCGCATGTGGGGCCTCGCTCAATCGCCCCTATGTAGAAAAGCAAGCGATAGTGTAAACATCTAAGCATCAAGCTGAAACCAAGGCGAAGCCTTATGCGCCCCCATCAAAGCTTAGTATGAGCTTGGCCCTGCCGGAGTCACGGATATTGCGGCACAACACAGGAGCGCGAAGTGGACCCCAGTGACCCCAAATGTCATAAGAAGCTGCACCGCCCCCACCTTTTGTGTCGTGGTCATCGAATTTCCCTACCGATGCTCGCACTTACGTTTTGGACCCCACCACATCACCAATAAATGGCACATGAAGCCTTATGATTTTGTGATGGTCCATTGGCTTGGGTTTCTTTGTAATATCCCCAAATATAGCCACCGGCCTATGCCTATGCTCCTCTTCTATTACCTTCTCAACTTTAGCACACGGCTAATCGGACCACCCCGAGAGAAATATCAATCACTATCTTCAAGATGCCTCCTATCACTAAATTCTGGCTCAGTACCCTCAAGAATGAGCAGTCCGTGAACTCTCCCGTCTTCCTCCAATTCATTTCAGAGATCCTCGACTTCTGCGCATCCCACAGTGGCCCGGGATCCGGAATGCATGCTTTTTATCAAGATATCAACAATCCGTCTCGATTGTTCATGATCACAGGGTACCCGTCTCAGGAACTAAACACCGCGGCCGACAAAATTTACGCTGAGGAGTATCTTCCGCGTATGTTCGATTATGTCCAGCATGTATGGCTGAAACAGCTTGACATGGATATTACCACCGTACGTCTGGATGAAAAGGTAGTTGTCGCGTATGGCAAAAATCCTTCTCAATGGAAAGATGAAAAAAAAGGCTTTGGAGGGTGGGATGTTTGGCCTAAAACTGCCCAGGCCGAGAAAAATACCCAAGTCGAAGGAGGAAATCAAAACTTTGAAATCGCGGCTGACCAGGTTTGGGTGCAAATTTCCCGCTTGGAAGACGGAAGTGCAGACCCAGCAGAACCCACAGAAGGCGAGAAGCTATATCTGCACAAAGTCATGAGTCGATAAAAAGAGAACAGCTTGGTGACTGTTTCTTCTACAACCTGAGCAGTACCTCGGAAATTCAACTCCATCCAAATCTTGCAGATACAGTAGAGCAGAGTAGTAATTATTAGTGAAACTTGAAGGTCTGGATAGTGTTGCAGGTTTCAAGGGCAGTATTGAGCAGCTGGGGTCTCCACGAGTGGGCTGACCATCAGTATCAGACTGTCTACTCTCCTGGATATTTTATACATTCACATATAATCACCATTTTCATGGTTCTGAGCTCACCAAGTCAAACGGGAGCTTTCTCTTCTACATTAGCTCCAGTCTGCAATCAATTCTGGTTGTGGGAAGCGTGGCGCAAGGTAAATGATGCGCCTTTGTGTTACATTTGTCCTTTGAAATTAGTGCTAGTATTTAGTGTTAACTATTGCTCTCAGGGGTTTTCCCTCCACGACCATCATCATCCATTATCATTGATTTCGTCTCATTTTGGCCCGCCCCCGCCACAAGCTACTAGTACTGGTATTCCTGGGCATTTCGAGATGAGGTGTTAATATTGACAAATATTGATATTGCTACCGTGCATTTAAGGAATCCAAATATATAGATTTCACAAGACTTAACCGATGGGAATGTCAGAAGACTTGTGATGAATAGTACATAACTTGAGGACGCAGTGAAGCGGGAAAGAGCGGAAATCGAAGTCGCTGAAGCCCAGCTGGCAATCCCACCCCCATTAAATAATGAAGGGATCCACGGCTATCTAAATTCCCTGGCCCGTCTTTCTGCAACGCATTCACACAACGCAATCCGTGCGAGCGCAAGTCGAATACTATGAGCACTTCAGTAGCATTTATGCTGACAACTTTAGCACTACGCCTTGCTACGACTTTGGCTGCATTATCCTTCCCTTGCTTGCCCGACTCAACCAAGACCAGAGTCTTTACGACTCTGTCAAGAATTTGTGTTCCACGGGGACAATTCATGGACTCATTCGTGATGCAGACATTTTCGAACCTATCGAATTTTTCGTGCAGGCCTGTGAGGGCTCTACGAGCCAACTGACCGCTGACTTTATCTTGAGTTTGGCTTTCCTTAAAACTAAACTACTGCTCGACCTGATGCCCCTAGATGCGGCCACAACTACTCTCGGTCCCAAATTTCCCCAGGAAATCCTGGACCTAATACTACTAGGTGTTCCGCTCAGCAACGCGGTTACTGATAATCGGGCTATCATGGATAGCAACGACCGCTCAGCGAATATCACCAAGTTATCGAGCCAAGTCGATATGCTGTATTCCATGACTCACAAACAGAATCAAAACTTCTGGCAAAAGCTAGCCCTTCATGATCCCAATGATCCTCTTATTGACATACCTACGCCTGAGGAAATGGCAAATAGGGGCCATGGATTCGCTAGAGGCTTGTTCCTGCGGCATTGCTACAATTGGTTTCAAACACCTGGAGCCGTGGGCTTTATCAAGCGAAAGCTTGAAAGTTGAAGCATCCACTTAGGCATCCACTGCGTACACATGTATCTAGTTCATCTCAGCTTCCTTCTTCTTCTCCTCAAGCTATTACTTTCATCGAACCGCTATTACTTCTCCTGTAGCGTATGCTACGCCGTATGCTGATCTCTGTGAGTATCTGAACATCCTCACAGTCTCGACCGGATAGTATCTGTTCTGGCACTAACTATCTCTAGTTGCTTCTGTTTGCTCTTTCTCTTCTTCTCTAAGCTTCTTTCTTTCTTTGAACTATTACTAAAGTTGCCTAGTACTGCCGTATCTTAATCTTTGTATGATTTATTATCCTTATATGGACCCTCTTCTATTGCTGCATCACTCCCTCTTGGCATACATTGCCCCGTCTATGCTTTCAAGCTTCTGTCATTTTCACTGTTTTTGAAGCGGAAAATGAGAGTTATATTGATATTTGGCTACGGAAGAGATATTGTGATAGACAGATGCCACAATGCACATAGCCCCAACAGTTCGATCATTGACCAACCTATGCCAGAGGAGGTGCAGTCATAACTGCACTATCGAGCCCAGTTGATATGTTGTATGCCCTACCTCGCAAGCAGATCCAACGCTTCTGGCAGAACATGTCGCTCTACGACCCTAATGATTTTCATATCCAGGAGGATACGCCAGAAGAACTGGAACAGATGGATGAGAGCATGGCTATTACTGGTTTGAGACTCCTGGTGCTGTGGCTCTCATCAAGCAGAGATGTAGAGATGTAGAGATTTGAAGTTTAGGTTCTATTCATGCTATAACTATCATTTTATAGCTTTCTCTCTACCTCCTTCATCCAACTCTTATCACACGTTTCATGCCATCTCTTGACGCCTCCTATCCTTATATTCTACATCCAACCGCACAGTGCCAGATACTGTTTCAGAGATGGATAGTAATCTATATAATGAATACTAGCCATCGAGCGGAAATTTTCAAAATATATTGAATAGAAGATTCGGATAATTACGGATGGAGTGGGATTTTGAAGCCGGTGCAACCCAAAACATCACGGTTCGCACCCTGCAATACAGAATACCAAGTTGTTTGCAAGGGATACAGGGGCAGAGTGTCAGAACAAAGGCTGTCGGCAAGATTCCCTAGCGAGAAAGCACCTGCGGGCCTCTCGCCCCGTTAACCAAATATGATCTTCCGAATTGAAATTACCGTCCGTAGACCCACCCCGCCCGTAAATCTGTACCGAAACTAGCCAATGTTCCTGTTTTTGAAAAGCCTATAATCTCGTGTCGGGGTACGAAGTGGTGATCGGCTTCTACGAACCAATTTACTTTGACTTATTCGATTTAAGCTTTGGCTTATCTTATTGCGATCTAAATGGGGCTCGCTTCGATTGCCCCCCTCCCGACATTCTCTCCCTTTTCCAACGATCTCAGGGCCCCGTGCAGGGTCGACTAACTACCCCATAGTTACCCCAGGATTAGATGGGCTCTCCTGCATTGCAAAATTGGTAAAGATTGGCACTTCTGACTACTCTATTTATCTGGCGGCATGACTTCATTACTTCGTCTTCATTCCCCTGGTTGATATTATCTGGCATACGGATTTTCACCAATTTCTGATTTCGCTTGCTGCATATTGATCTCTTCCAATATTATTATGGCCACGCTGAGAAAAAAGCCATTCTTTGGGCTTACTGGAGGATGGCTCACTTTCTGGATAACGGTATGATAGCCATTTTCTTTCTTGGTATCGAGTTCTGATTGACATCCATGCAGGTTGCCTGTGCAACAGACATGTCCTTGTTCGGCTACGACCAGGGAGTCTTCAGTAAGTCAATCTATCGCAATGCCCAGGCACAGCTCAACTAATGGTTGCAATACAGGTGGTGTGGTAATAAGCCAAGACTTTCTCGAAGTCCACGATCTGGTTGGACCGACGAAAACCAATACTCTTTCCACCGTGACCGCCATATACGACATTGGCTGCTTCATTGGTGCTATTGTTGCCTTTACCATTGGAGAAAGATTAGGGCGAAAAAAGTCCATTATATTGGGGACATTGATCATGGCTGTGGGTACCATTCTACAAGCAAGCTCGTTCAGTTTGGCACAGATGTTTGTTGGGCGAATTGTGCTTGGGTAGGCGAAAATCCCGCGCAAACATTACGATTTTGCTCTGAGATATTTTACAGAATCGGCAACGGAGTCAACACGGCCACTGCACCAATTTGGCAGACGGAGACATCACAGTTAAAGTGGCGTGGCAAACTTGTCGTATTCGAGATGATGATGAATATCGCAGGTTTTTGCCTCGTCAACTGGATTAACTACGGTTTCTCTTTTATTGGTGGATCTGTTGCCTGGCGTTTCCCACTAGCCTTCCAATTTATCTTTTTATTTATTCTAATATCTACTACACCATGGCTACCGGAATCCCCTAGGTGAGCTTACCCCAAATGCATGAAAACCAAAGTGATACCTAACGATACATAGATGGCTTCTCGCTCATGGGAGAGAAGAAGAAGCGATCGAGGTACTCAGCTGTTTAGAATCGAAGCCGGCCAATGACCCTTTCATTATTACACAGTGCCGTGAAATCAATTTCAGTGTTCGCTACGAGCGCGAAAATGCCGTACGGTGGAGAGATTTATTACGAAAGAAAGCCAACACGACCAAGACCCTCCGAAGGCTTGTTCTCGGCGCTGGGAGTCAATTTATGCAACAATTTGGAGGCATTAATATCATGTCCTATTATTTGCCAACAGTGCTGATCAACGTGAGTTAACGATAAAACGATTCCCGATCGCAACCCCTAAGGCAAACCCCAAGCTTGAAGAGTGTCTGATGAAGCTCTCATTTTCAGTCTGTTGGCCTCACCGAAGAGATGGCCCGGTTACTATCAGCTTGTAATGCCGTCTCATACCTATTTTTTTCTGGTATTGCCGTCTTGCTGATCGAAAGATTGGGTCGCCGGTGCCTAATGATGATTTCAACATTCAGCCAATTCTTTTGTTTCCTCGTGATTAGCATTTTGCTGTGCTTTTCTGAGTCAAGCGATGAGAGGGAGAAATATGCATCGGCATCGGTCGCCTTTTTCTTCCTCTATTATGGTGCCTTTGGAATCGGAATGCTTGGTATTCCATGGCTGTACCCGACCGAAATCAATTCTTTACCTATGCGAACAAAGGGCGCAGCTGTTGCAACTGCGATGGATTGGTTAGTCCAATCTCACTATACTGCTCCTGACTAACCTCTGCTGACATGTGTGCGTAGGATTACCAATTTTGTCATTGTCGAGATAACTCCGATTGGTATTCAGAGCCTACGCTGGAAATTCTGGCTCGTTTGGACCGCAACGAATGCTGCATTCCTACCAATTCTCTACTTTTTCTATCCCGAGACTGGTATTTATTATCTCAATCCCGAACGACTTCTCGTACTAATAGCTATATGAAGCGAACCGGAGCCTTGAGGATATGGACGCTTATTATAGATCGAATCCACCGTTGATAGTCACGAAGGACCCAGACGCTATTTGTCGAAAACGTCCTCAGAAATACATCGACCACGAGGCTAGCGTTATCGAGAAGACAGTTGCAGGTTTGAATTACCCCTCAGATGGGACGGTGAGCCATGTTGAGCAACTCGAAGCAGAGGCCGACAAGGAATGAGTCTTCTCATTCTCACTGCTCTCGACTTCTATCATATTCTTGCGCCTTGCGCCTTGCGTAAATGAATTCAGAAATTATCTACTCATCTGTAGAACTTTGAGCCTCAATCAATATAAGGGGCATGAAAGAATATATGAAAGCCTTCTAGTATACAAATTCAAGTTTGCCCCGTAGGCCTGGGTACAAAATTAATACAATCTAAAATTCTAGAGATATTTTACAGCAAGCTCATGGTAAATACTGGTTGTTATTGTAAAAATCACCGTCGTGGGCCAAAAACGCCACTTTCTGCTATTTCCGAGCTTGTACTCAGCTTCCGTGGCAGAGGACTACAGCTAAGACTGTTCCCAAGAATTTAGAGTATTGAGATGTAGCAATTACATGAAATCCGCCGTCATGGGCAGTTTGCTGACCTTTAAACGTACCCAGTAGATGTTCCATTGCCTGTCCCTGTAAATTCAGGCATTAGAATCGTGAAGGAAAGGACCAACGACGTAGAAAAAGCACAATTCAAATCTGGGGCAGCCTGGGAGAGTAACTCAACCCCCACGTAATACAAGGATGTAATTTGCAATTCTTTTATTGCCATTTGTTCTAGATAAAAAAGTATAAAGTAACGCCAAACTCACTCGGGCATGGAGCTCACTTTCGCTGCTCCACAGAGTAATCAAGCCGAATACGGTTTTCTTGCCGAAGCGGTACCAGAGCTGCGAGGCCCTTACATCATCGGACTTCGCTGCGAAAGAAGATTTTGAGTAAGGGAACACTGAAGTATGAGCCTCGGAATGAAATCCGGGTTCACACAGAATAGCATGTCTACCAAGTACGATGGATTGCATCGTTAATAGTATATTAGGAACAAGGTCGAAACCCTGGCAGCTATATAAATACCTAGTAGGTAGCAGTGGTATCATAACTACATCAACCAAACTACAAACTACCACCCTCCACATATCCTGGATTATTCCTGCTTGGGGAGTTGAAAAAACGACAATTTCCCGCGTATCAGCACCAAGAAAGCAATAATGGGCCGGCAATACCTTAAGGAAGTCACTGGCCTACCAGGATTGAAGACAGCCCCGAATATGGACGTTTCTGCCATAGTCAAGGATGTGATTTATTCTATTCGTAAGGATGGTGATGCAGCTGTGAGGAAATACTCGGAAAAGTTCGACAAATGGTCGCCGCCGAGCTTCAAACTTTCCCAGAGCGAGATCAATGCGGCCATTGCCAATTGCCCCAGGCAAACACTTGACGATATTGAAGAAGTCCAGCAAAACGTCAGGGATTTTGCAAAAGCGCAGAGAAACTCCATCAAAGACTTCGAGGTCGAACTACGGCCCGGGGTTCACCTGGGACAGAAGAATGTACCAATTGATAACGTTGGCGCGTAAGTTGACAGCAAGTTTTGTTAGCATAGTTTTTCTCATGGATTGGAAGTAACCAGGGCTTTCACAGATACATTCCCGGTGGCCGGTATCCCCTCCTCGCATCGGCACATATGACAATTTTGACTGCCAAGGTTGCTGGTGTTAAGAATGTCATCGGCTGCACGCCGCCGATCAATGGAAAGGTCCCAAACAGCACCGTGGCAGCTATGCACCTGGCTGGCGCTGACGAAATATTCATTGTCGGAGGTGTTCAGGCTGTCGCTGCTATGGCAGTAGGTACTGAGACCATTCAGAAAGTGGACTTCCTTGCGGGACCTGGAAATGCCTTTGTGGCCGAAGGAAAGAGGCAGCTATTTGGGGAAGTAGGTATCGATCTTTTCGCAGGACCAACCGAGATTCTGGTTCTAGCCGACGAGACTGCTGATGCTTTCACGGTGGCAACGGATTTGATTTCCCAGGCGGAACATGGCCCCGATACCCCAGCAGTGCTCATCACAACTTGCCCGAAGGTTGGGCGCGACACCATAGAGATTGTGGAACGTCTCCTATACAACTCCGACTTGTCGACTGCGTCGGTCGCCAAGACCTCATGGGACGCCTTCGGTGAGGTTATCGTCGTTGATACCATGGGCGAGATGTGGGAACTAGGTAATCAGTATGCGAGTGAACACGTACAGATATTCACTCGGAGCCCGCGTGATGCATTGGAGCATCTGACAAGCTATGGTGCTCTATTTCTCGGCGAAAAAACATGTGTTTCCTTTGGGGATAAGGTATGATCGAAGGCATATCCTGAATCTTGAATCTGGATATACTGACAAATATTAACAAGGTCATTGGCACAAATCACGTCCTCCCTACCCGTACGACGTCCCGCTACACCGGTGGTCTCTGGGTTGGCAAGTATCTGAAAACCTGCACCTATCAGGAGGTCACTTCTGAACAGGCTAGCGGCGATCTTGGTCGACTTTGTGGACGGGCTGCTCGAGCTGAGAACTTTGAAGCACATGCCCGTTCTGGCGACCTTCGCGCCAGTAAGTACAAGAAGGATCAAATTCAATGGATCAAAAAGTCGCAAGCTGCTACCGGGGTTCGCCTTTGACTTTCTTTGCTGCACAGATAGCTTATTGGTCTTATTGTTAAAGCCTGTGAATTTGAATATAGATCCATGAATTTCATCTATTTTACCTCTTCATACTTGTAAATTTTCCACCACGAAGGATTCAGGAGACGGTTGAATCCATGTGATATTTATCTTGGTAACAATCATGGGAATTTGTCTAATGTTTCAATCGCTCGGAACTCCAATATCGAGTGCGTTAGTCGGTCTAACTCCGACTCGATGTAAAATGACATTCCCCCGAAGGGGTGATTCTACGTACCCGTGTTGTGGCGCATTAGTGTGGTCGCCTGCCTGTCCATAGTGAGCCGAAAAAGTGGGGCAGTGGCTTCGGCTGGGTTGCCCAAGGATGTGCTATCCTAGGATGGCCATGTCAGCGAGCTATCGGCAGTAGATCTTGTCATTATCCCACAATTTATGTTTTTGGACCCCAGTAGTTTAATATTGCAGTTCTCGATTTCTTGAATGGATGCGCTGCGGGATTACAGTTTCAAATCTAGACGATGGTTAATGAGAAGCCAATCCTTACCCGCTTGGAATTTATATCTCACAATTCACGGGCGGGCGATGGTGGTTACCATTCTGTGTTTCGTAGTAGGTACTTGTATGCTACCTTTCTAAGAAGTTGAAGAAACCAGTAAGGCCCTTGAACAATTCTATAAATACGAATTTCTATTATCTATTAACACAGCTTTCCTGATACGCGAGTCAACTATGACCGGCTGTGGGGTAAATGCAAGGTTGCACACTTGTGGAGTTTAGTAGTCTTCCCGAAACCCCAAATAGAGCTTCAGCAACTTTTCGCTTGCTATACTCCTTTTGCTTATTATGAGGCCTCGGATAAATCGTGCGCCCCCAAACAATTCAGCCCGCTATATTTGATGTCGGTGTTTGCTTCCGTGCCAGCTACCATCTCACATCGCTGCAGTTCACCATTCGATCAAAATGAATATTCTCGTGTCTCCTTCTCCCACTCGCCTGGCTTTTCTGGCCCGCAATATTTCTCGTCATTCGACGAAGCCTTTGAATTTTAATAGATTTGCGGCTTTGAACAATCCACCGACCCGGAAATTCTCATCTAACACATGGTACCTCAACAGTTCTCATAGCCCCCGCTCAAGATTTCCGCTGAATCAAGCCAAGTCTCCTGGGTCTAAAGCTGATGAAAAGGAGGAAGGAATTTCATTCATAGACGAGAATATCAGCATCGAGTACCCTGAAAGCGATGAGTTACCTCGAACTCCCATTATTCAAGGTCGTGGGGGCAGACACTTTAAACGAACCCTCGCTCAATTCTCCCTTGAAGAAAGCGTGACGGTGGTGACCGGAGGTGCGAGTGGGATAGGTCTTGCTATCTCTCAAGGGATTGTAGCTTCAGGCTCGCATTTGGCCATTGTTGATATGAACCGTGAGGATTTCACCGACGGAGGCCAGAACGGAACGACGAGTGACTAACCACGAGAATACAGGTGATGAAGCTCACACTCAAACCGAAAAATTGCTAGAACAATTCAAAAGAGAAAATCCCGGAATTCAGCGGTTAGTTCGAATTGTCTCTTAAAGATCTTATACAATCTCCGAATGGCTACTAATGATTTGATTAACCAAGAATGCCAAAGGTAACCTCCCACTTTGCAGACGTGTCGAATCCATCCTCTGTCGACCATGCCATCGCCGATATAATCGCCAAACAAGGCAAAATTGACAATCTGGTCACTTGCGCGGGGTTTACCGAAAACTTTAGCGCTATCACGTATCCTCATGATCGTATGCAGAAATTGTGGGGGGTTGTTGTGGATGGAACGTATCTCTTCACTGCTGGCGTTGCGAAGCATTTGATCCAACGCCAAGCAGCTGGAAACATGGTGGTAATCGGTAGCATGTCTGGAGCTATCGTGAACGTTCCTCAGCCTCAAGCTCCCTATAATGCCGCCAAGGCGGCCGTTCGTCATCTTGCTGCATCGCTCGCAGTGGAGTGGGCCAGCCATGACATTCGTGTGAACTGCATCAGTCCCGGATACATCCTGACTGCCCTGTAAGTGACAAAAGAAGCGGATATTCTGCAATTTCCTATCATTTTTACTTTCGTGAAACATTCGGTGGTTAATGTTCGTCTCAACCCTAGTACTCGCAAGATTTTGGAAGAAAATGCCGAGTTCGGCGATAAATGGATCTCGCTTATCCCTGCTGGTAGGGTGGGGAGCCCGGAGGATCTGATGGGAGCGGTGGTGTTCTTGTTGAGTGACTCTGCTAAGTATATCACTGGCGCCGACTTGCGGGTCGACGGCGGTTATACTTTGACTTGATGGGTTGTGCCATTCATACTCTTGCTTAGATCATTGGGATGGCTGCCGTAATTGACAGTTAATAACAAAGACTCAGTCAGTTGCCAAATATGAAAGCACTCGGACGATCAAACATAAGTAATCTACTGGCTCAAACAATATGGCGCAAGTGTCACGGTTAATATTACTAATGATGATTTGACTTCTCGTGCTGGGACCCTGCACAAATACTTCCATTGTGAGGTCGGTCAAAGCCTTTTAAGATTATTTAACTACTAGGTACTCCTAGCTCCATAGAGCGCGCAAATCTCGAATTCGATATATTGCCGCCCAGCCCAACTCATTCTCAATATCTTCTAGCAGCGTTACCGTTGCCTCTCTCTCGTCTTTCCTGTTGAAACAACAACCCGCTAATTTCGAAACAGAAATTATTAGAAGAAATCGTATATAGCATGAAGTGTGGAGAACTTACCATAATAAATTGGCTGAACAGAATTGACCCGGCAACTTCCTTCCGGCTTACTTTGAGCAATGCCGCAAATCTGTCGTGCATGATAAAGCAATTTTACCTGTATACTGATTAGACAAAGCATAGGATGCCAGGTTCGAATTATCCCACTAACTTCTATTGAGCGGAACGCAAGTAAGCAACTCGAGTCCTGCGAAGGATTGTTGGTAAAAAGAAGGATTTGGGCAAGATGGAACATTTGCCACGAAGATGCTACGTATCATCAGCAATCATTATCCTGGTCATGGTATGGGAGAAAGCTGACCACAAACACCCCGTGTAAACCAAATAGATTGGAACACGCTATCCTCCTCGTCAAGAACAGAAACAGGATCCATGAACCCCTTGTCCTTTACGCAATTCTGCCAATGTTCAAGCTGGACCCGAAGTTTATGCCATTCATCGATCATCTTACTTAAAGTGTGTAATTGAGAAGAAGCCATCAGGTCCACGACTTTGGCGAGAATGGTAAGAATTCTTTCCTTCGTCAGAATGCTTTTGTAACTACCCAAGAATAAACTTACTGGTTGTTTACTAAATCCTCCCTCCCTTCCTGCCCAATATTTTCAAGATCAACGGCCCAATGGTCTGGATCAAGCCGCAGCTTTGACCGACTGATTAGAGCACAAACTACTTCCTGCCGCGCGATGGACCAGAATGCTGCTTGTGCAATGCCTCCAGATGATCCATTTACTTTTTGCACCCTGCCGAAGGAGAAAACACCGTCCAGATGTCTCTGCCAATTGGCCGTAGGGGCATCTAACATTTCATAGCATGAGCAGATAACAATGGCTGCAAAGCCGTACTCAGCAAGTTGCTCGTCCGAGTCCCAGAGTCGATTGATGAGAAGTGAGATAGCGACGTCGTAGTTCTTTTGGGCGATTTCCATGCCATCTTCCAGCTTTCCGACTAGATACTGTTGCTTAGTAGCACATGCAATACTCGCTGATTTGAGCAATGGATCGTGAACGGCTAATCGGCAGACTTTCTTGGAAAATGTTTCAGACAAGTCAGATAGGTCCATCCAAGTTCCCACTTCAGTGCTAAATTGACGAAGCAGGTCCGTTTCCTCCTTTGAGATACGCAGGATTGCGGCACCCTGTACCGCTGGTGCTGCAAGCTCTACCGGCGACGGTACAACGCTGTTGACACTCCATTCACTTGGAGAGCAGTCGAATGACGAAGGCGAATTAGCGGACCGGGATCTAGTTTCCAAGTACTCAGGCTACGATTTCTCATAGAAAGCAAAGCCCGACCAGCAGCACCCTCTCTTTGGGTGATGGCGACCCATGAATTAGGATTATTGATGTGTTGGTTGCCCGAAGCATCATCCAATACACCGGAAATTTCAGGAAAATGGACCTGGCAATTGAGGTCTTCAAGACCCTCGGCTTCAAATGTGGCTGGGTAGCCCACTGACGGGGCAAAATTTAGATTGCTTGGTGATGTCAAGATGTCTCGTCTGTCTACCCCGCGCATGTTCTGAGCATCCGCTGATAGCTCTGAAACCTGTGGTGCCAAGGTTGTTTGAATAGACGAATCGACTTTGTTCCCCTCGGTGCTATGGACGGGGTCGTATTGCATTCGATGTTGCCCTTGCCCTCCATGGTCTGGATCCGCAATCCAATCATTGTTCCCGCTGACGCATGTCAGATATTCAGCAGCAACTACACTGGTTTCATCGATAAATTTATCTGCTTATGGTCAGAAGAAAGACCAATATTAAGATAAATTAGCAGTGTATCGCAAATTCTCGTACAAGGTTGAACTATATCCACCCATATTTGGTCCTGTTCAAATGTTCCCGAGGCTTCTTTCGCAACATTGCCATTTGAAGAATTATGCCAATGCTTGAAGGCGGAAGAGTCGCTAGTGATACATTTGATGTGGGTTTTTTCACAGTTCATACACCTAGGCCGCCTTTCATCACACTTGACCTTTCGAGATCGACATGTTAAGCTGAAGGGCATGTCAGTTATCCTACTCCGCGTGCTGCATTTACACTCGCACAGTCACTTACCACCCTAAAAGCCGTTAGCTTTCCAGAAACCCGAATCTTCGCGGAGGAAGCTTACCGGTCCATGTCCGCATTTCGTGAAGTAGCCAGACCGAAGCGAATACTACAAAAAATAAGGGGGAATTGTGAAGAGTTCCAGATGTGAAACTGTCGACAGGGCATTGTTCAGATGATTATTTGCGCGGTCGCAGATTGGCTGGGAAGCGTGGGGGCCCTGTTCCACCGAGGCCCATTTGCGGGGGTGCGAAGCGAGGCGAGGCGAACCAGCCGAATGCTGCATGGCATGTGGCGCATCATGTTTCACGTCATGATAAAATGCACAGAGGAATATGCAATTCGGGGTTTACGGTAAAATATGATTATAAGAAGTTCTATTGTTCAGACTTTTTTGTTGTGGTTTTATACTAGTAGTATCCACAGGTGTATATTGGCCCGACGGAAAGAAGTTTGGAATATCTATTCCTACGATATTACATGCCAACTGGGGAAATTAAGTGCCCTATAAAATTGTCTCTTTAAGGGTGAGAAGAATCTGTAAATTGTGTCCAAGATATTCAGAATGAGTGCGTAATTTATTCAAAAACAAGAAGTATCGAGATTTCTTAATTTAATACCATAGTCCGTCATTCGGCTTGATGCCCCGCTTCTTGCAATGCTCGTAGTACAAATGAGCATAACTAAAAACGTCCATAGTGTTTTTCAAGCTGTCATCGTCGTGGAAAAACTCGAGACTACCCGAAACAGTGAAGACAACTTCTGCTCCCTTGCTCATGTGTAAGGTATGAATGGTTCCGGGATTCTCAACCACATAGTCACCAGGTCTGGCGACCCAGTCGTATCTGGTTACAGAGATTAGCATTACTTCTTTTCTGCAAGGAAATTCTTTCTAATGAAACCTACTCCTTATAATTCCATTCTCCATTGAGCGTAACGGCAGTCACAGTGCCACGGTGTCTGTGTTTTCCCAGCCAGGTGTCTTCGGAGCTTCGCAGAACGACCACAAACGTGCCGGTCCGGGTTTCAAAGCGCAGTGGCTTCAGCTCTAGATTTTCGTGCCATGGGTGAAAGCAAGTGTCTGATTCACCGTTTATATAAACATCAGGAGAACTAAATTTGTCGGCCAATGCCAGTTCTGACTTTTCAAGCGAAGTAAGCTTTGACTCCTGATTGGTGCTTTTGGTGTCCATGGCTTGAATTGGAAGAGATTGGGATACGTCGGAATGAGAAACAGGGGGCGCCATAGTGAGAGTCTCTCAAAATTCACTTATCAAAGACTTCTTGGGAATAGGATGGTATTGAATTGAAATCTCCAGATGTGCAAGGGGGCCAGTGACCATCTTTATATGTACATTCACCCAGATTGGAGTCACAGTAAAACATGAGAAGTGAAGCTGACTGGGTCTATTGGCAGTGCAGAGTTCTTCTCTCGGCGTGATTTCCTAGTATAGATGCACAAGCTGTTGCGACGATCGTGTGTACTCCTGCTGACCTAGAATACTACAAGGTAATCATCTAACGTAGGGCATTGATGCCGAGATTTACCCCCGCTCTTCCCTCTATATTGTACTCCACATAGAATGTTCTACTAGGACACGTAGCGAAAGATCGGTCATTGCAGAGTTTCACAGAATTCAAGTAGCACTTGGAGGAAAAGAAGTACCATTTCGAGATCGGCAAAATGGGCACAATTTCTTCTATAGCTCTTTGCCTCAATTTACTTGAGCTTGAACACTTCTCCCCTTGCGTTTAGAATATTAAAATTGACCGCCTTAGGTTTCGTATCCTCAATTTCTAATATTTTATTTTCTTCCGAATTCGCGATCATAACTTATATAGGTGATTTGAACAATGACTAGCTCAACTTCCTTTGGAATGGGCCATATTCCTAGCGCCGTATGGCCGCGGAGTCGTCTAAAACAACAATTTCCCTATAAACTCAGCCAGAATGCGCGCTCCCACAACCTTCACCGGGAATACTCCACATGGGACACTCTGTGCTTGGGGAGACGAAATTTTATTTATTCATGGTGCATCTCTTGCTAAGTGGCGGATTTTCTGGCGAATTCTGGACAACTTTGGTATGCCACTGGATGAATCAGGTCTTCGCAACTGGCCCAGGGCACTCGGAATGTGCAATCGGAGAGTCCCCATATTTTCTACCCTCGCTCGTAAGGAATGTAGAACTTTGTTGGGTGAGCGAGATGCACATTGGAAAGCCTTGAATGCCCCCACGCTTCTCGCTGAATTTATCCAATGTATTTGCGCATCTTGGATAAAATGCGGGGGCATCGACGGCTCTAGCTGTCCCCCGGAATTCATTCACCGAGCAGGAATATTGCCAATAACGCCACATCCGCACGGCCTTCCTGGCAATTGGCTCGTATATTTTGTCTCTCTTTAACGGTGACGAAAATCCCAAAGATCAACGCAATTCGAGCCCCTGATCTCCATTGCCGTTGGCTGGCCCCTGCAACCACTTCCCGCCAGAGATCCCACAACAACGCGACCTGAGTGCAGCAGCCATTTATCGGACATGAATGAATAATGACTGATACTCCACAGGCTGGGTACAGAGGAAGATATATCACGATGTCGTGTACTCCCTGCTCGGAGAGCAAGGTCACAGGAGTGTATAGTTCGAGCATTCGCCACTAAGCTGTGGGGTCCTCTCTACTGGCCGTAATAATAGTGTGGCGGAGTCCAATATATTTTCTGACTCAGGATCAAACCCGGGAAATGTGGCTACCAAGCGGTGGGTAAAAGAACGCTGTATATGGCCTTTTGCGCTAGCGACAGGTTTTGTCGCCATCCCTCTAAGCCCCCGAAATCTAATGACAATCTTCCTTGTCACATCATAATCGAGCTTTCAATTGGTAGAGTTGATTGGCCTGGAAATATGTTCGGAAGAACAAGGCCTTCAAACGGCTCTAATATTGGAATGCCAGCACTTCGCATTGTGACAGATTCTGGAAGTCTCCCGGCTAAAGCGAACCTTGGAAGTTGGCCTTCAAACAACATTCAGAAAGCGGAGACAGCATCTCTTCAACGCCTCCCAGTGAAGTCTGTCTCTTTATGGCAAGAAATGGGGGTATTTTAAACTTTTTTCGGCCCCAGTGAATATGTTGCTTCCCAACGCCCCTATTGATGCCTTCTTCAACCTCGTGAATGAAATGAAGAATAGTTCGACTGTTCCGGCTGGCGCTTTAGACAAGTTGTCGTATTTGAGAACTTCTGATATTTACTAGTAGCAGGAGGATTATTCGTTAGTGAATACCCCCAGAATCATTCTGCTTGCCCAGGTGATCGGAAGAAGAACCGAGCAATGAGACAAACTAACTATCAAAAAGTATAACTCTGCTTGATCTAGATCTCTGGATTTCAACTTCCGAGCCCAAACCTAAACAAACCTCCTGAAACCAAGCATTCCCGGAAGTCATCTTCCTCCCCAGATTCCTCCCCCCGCTCACTTCTATGTTTGCCACTTCCCCACGGGGTATATCTTGCACCCGACCGCCGCCCCACAACATCCCGGACGTTCATACTACATTCCTCTGGTATCTCATCGCACTTGATTTGCAATTCTCATATTATTTCCTCGTTATGGAGGAGAAAAAGATTAGCCCAGCTGAGGATTCCCTCGGTCACCTCGAACATGAAGAATCATCGGACGTTCTTCGGCGAGGATCCACGGTATCTGCGGATATGGAAAGCCCTGCACCAGTTTGGGAATTGCGACGCACTTACACAAAGAGTGGAATCTCGGGGATTTTCGCCTCTAGATATGTGTTCACATGTGCCTTTCTTGCTACCCTAGGTGGTTTACTGTTTGGGTACGATCAGGGTGTGGTCTCAATCACACTCGTCATGCCACAGTTTCTCGACGATTTCCCCAGAGGTTTCTGCAAATGCGTCGGGTGCTGGGTTCAAAAAAGGTCTTATGACCGCCGTTCTGGAACTTGGAGCATTTATCGGCAAGCTCATGGAGAATTGCTTGTTTTACTAGATCAAAGCTAATAGTTTATTATAGGAGCGATGAACCAAGGTTGGCTCGCCGACAAAATCTCCCGTAGATGGAGTATTTTCGTCGGTGGCATTGTTTTCATGATCGGTGGAGCGCTACAGACAGGTGCGGCCTCATTCGCGATGCTTACCGTCGCACGTTTTATTGGGGGTGTCGGTGTGGGAATGTGTGTACCAAAAATCCATTAACTTTGATAACTTCCCTGCTAATTATTAAGCTAGGCTTGCCATGGTCTCGCCTCTATATATCGGCGAAATCGCACCTCCAGAGATCCGAGGAACTTTACTAGTGCTCCAAGAGCTTTGTATCGTTACGGGTATCGTGATTGCTTTCTATATCACCTATGGAACGCGACACATCCCTAGTTTTTGGGCATGGCGTCTTCCATTCTTGATCCAGTTGATACCAGCTATCCTTATGTGTGCTGGAGTCTTTTTCATTCCTTACTCCCCGCGATGGCTTTCTCAACAGGGCCGACATGAAGAAAGCCTCCAGACACTTGCTAAGATCCGCCAGCACCCTACTACTGATGAACGGGTCATGGAAGAATGGCTCGAAATCAGAGCTGAGTGCGAATACCGCAACGAAATTTCCGAGAAAAAGCATCATACTCTCACAAAGCCGGGTAATTGGAATGCTATTAAGCTTCAGATTGCACTTTACGCCGATTGTTGGAAAATGCCAACCTATAAACGCACTCAAGTTGCCGTGGGCTTGATGTTCTTCCAGCAATTTGTCGGAATCAATGCATTGATCGTGAGTATAAACCCCAAAATATAGGTTTCCTGTCACTAATTATGCGTGCAGTACTACTCTCCAAGTTTATTTGAGAGTATGGGGTTAGACTATGAGATGCAACTGACTATGTCGGGCATCATGAATATCTGCCAGGTTGTTGCCTGTGTGTGGTCCCTTTGGGGTATGGATCGGTTTGGTCGCCGCAAACTTCTCCTGGGAGGAGCAATCTGCATGTTTATCTCCCATTTTGTGATTGCCGTGCTCGTTGGTAAATACCAGAATAACTGGCCTGAGCATACTGCTGCAGGTTGGGCAAGTGTGGCTTTTCTTCTATTCTTCATGTTGACATTTGGAGCAACCTGGGGTCCTATTCCATGGGCAATGCCTGCGGAGATCTTTCCTTCCTCGCTTCGCGCTAAAGGATGTGCATTCGGCACCATGTCTAACTGGGGTAACAATTTCATCATCGTTAGTGATCCCAGACCCCTTTACTTCCAACCAGCTGTTAACAATAATACAGGGATTGATCACACCCCCAATGATTCAAAACATCACGTATGGCACTTACGTTTTCTTTTGTATCTTTTGCGCTATTTCATTTGTCTGGGTGTACTTTCTTGTCCCGGAAACCAATGGACGTACCCTGGAACAAATGGACTCTGTGTTTAAAGACAGAAGTACCAACGAAGAAGCTGAAAGACGGGCGGAAATTATGGCGGGACTCAGGCGAGATCCTGCTAGCCAACAGGTCGAGGTAGTGCCCTAGGGTGCAAAGCGTGAAGATCAGCGCTTGCAATGATATTTTCGCCATACAACCTTGCCGGCTATACAAGAGCGACATGCGTTCGCCATTTTCATTGGCTATATTACTAGACATTTGCAGAATTTAAACAGTGAATTCAACCTTGAATCAATCCATCTATTGAATTGTTCGCTTTTTGCCAGATTGGCGCATTCACATAATTATGCGTTCTACATATACGCCTGACCTTCTAACGTGTCATCGGCGTTTCCCCGCCATCGCGCAGTGTAGGTCTGGTAAACAAGTTGAATATTTTGTCTGGCTCTATAGGAGTAGTTTAGTAGTAAAAAGTTTCAATGAGCTTCACTGGCGCGGTGGAGCCATTTCCAAAAAAAATAAAAAATAAAAAAAAATAAAGAAAAAAAAAACATTGAAAAAATCAAGCGTAAAAGAAAAACAGAACCTAGAAGAGAAAAATGCAACGCCTTTCGTATGCATTGGCCAGGCCGCGCGGGGTGTTGTTCTAGATGGATTGCCACTCCATTAGGAACGTCCTCCGCTTGGCAAGGGGAATTGAGATTTGCGCTCTTCATCACCCGCATGTCGATTATTTATTGTTCTTCTTTTTCATTTTTCATGTGTTAATATTCCGAATTCCTCGTTCTGTTTCTGCTACTCCGTACTGATCAACTCCGCCACGCCCGACATCCACGCTAGCTGGAGGGGTATTATATGATCGCAACCTGTTCCGGCTCAAGGTAAAGAGAAGTGGGCTGGTGCATGTCTGTCTAGGATTTCATGCAGCCCGAGGTACTTCCGGTAAAGATGAATACAATCTGTAAGGCCAGTCGTGGTCAGCCTCCGATGAATTTTCTCCGATGAATTTTCACACGAACTTCAAATGAGTCCATCTCATATGACAGTGGTAATGAAGCAGCCTGGAATTATCGAAGTCATTCGATGTAATACTATACGACTCGCTTGGACCAGGATTACTGCTCAGTAATCTTGGCAATGTTTTTACTATCCGAATCACATCAAGTTATGCAAGATAGTGCTCGCCAAGGTCTAAAAAACTGCGGGGTCTTGCGCCCTCTTCGCACCCTCGCCCGAGGCTGCACCCTCAGCTCGGCGTCCGGAACTGCTGCTCACCCGGACACGAATAGAAGTCGCAGAGCCTTACAGGGCCTCTCAGCTTGAAACCAATAACTCACCCCCGATGCGGGGTGAGGGGAGGCCTGATCATGTATAAATAGACCGTACCCAGTAGTTGCTGTAGTTGCAGTTGCAAATCCAGAAATCATCTACCCATATCAAGTAATTCTGACAGCCAGAAATCCCAGGATCAGAACCAAGCTTCAGAGCGGACAAAATTCAACTTTAAAACACTAGTATTAGCACAGACTTCCAAGGTTCAAAATGGCACCAACTATGATGAAGGCCGCCATCTTAAAAGAGGTATCCTCCGAGCCTTTTTTTTGAAACCACATCAAATCACCACAACACCTCAATCATAAGCACCAACTCGCAACCCTTAAAAAGAAAAAGAATACTCACTAACAACCCTCAAGCTCGGTCAACCCCTCGTAATAGAACAAGTCCCCGTCCCAAAACCAGAAGGCCGCCACGTCCTCGTCCGCGTCCAAGCAGCATCCCTCTGCCACTCAGACCTAACAATAATCCAAGGCCAAGTCGGGGTCGGAGCCAAACCCCCACTAATCCTGGGCCACGAAGCCGTAGTCGTGATCGAAGAACTAGGACCCGAAGCCTCAAAGTATGGTCTAAAGGTCGGCGATCGAATCGGCGGTCCACTATGGCAAGACTGGTGTTTTGATTGTTACGAATGCAAATCCATCGGAACCGAGTTCTGCAGCAAAATTACTATGCGCGGTGTTACTTCCCAGGGATTCTTTGCTGAGTATACGACCATGGACGCGGCGAGTGCGGTCGTTATTCCGCACAATAGTCCTGCGACGGCCGCCCAGCTTTCGCCGATATTTTGTGCGGGGATTACGGTTTGGGACGCGCTTTCGCGTGCTGAGTTAAAGCCCGGTGAGACTGTTGCTATTGTTGGTGTTGGGGGTCTCGGTGAGATTGCGACAAAGTATGCGCAGGCGTTCGGGGCTAAGGTTATTGCTATTGATGTACATGATGGCCAGTTGGAGAGTGTTAAGGCTGGAGGCAGTGCAGATGAGGTTTTGAATACTCGGGGCCTCGAGCCGATGGAGCTTATTGGGAGGATTCGAGAGTTGAATAATGGAAGAGCGGTTGATGCGGCGATTGTTACCTCTGGGTCGAATGCGGCGTATTCGACTGGCATGTCCATTCTCAGGCCGCTAGGAAGATTGATTGCTGTCGGGATCCCCCCTGAGGAAGTTCCATTTAATGCTGCGGTGGTTGCGATTCGGGCTCTCAAGTAGGTCATTGTGGTTGCTGTTTGCTGCATTGTGACGAGGAGTTCATCGCTGACTTTTGGTTAATATAGGATCATCGGGGCTAAGGTTCCAGGCCAAACTGGAACGGCGGCTTGTGTTGAGTTCTGTCAGCGTAAAGGAATCTATCCTAAGGTTAACCCGAGGAAGTTCCAGCTGGAGGATATCAATGAGATGATTGATCTGATGAGCGCTGGGAAAGTGGAAGATGGCAGAATGGTTATACAATTCTTCTGAGGTTGCATTATATTTGGTTGCAGGCGGCTGTAGTATAGGCGATGAGCTACATGTACTAGAGAGAGAGGAGAAGAGAGAGAACTGTCAAACATTTCCTAACTATATGCATTGTTGAAGAAGGATAAGCTCGAGCATGCATTGTAGAACACCATCGAACGCCAGACACCCCGCCTGTTGATCACCACTATGAAAGACAAGGAGGCAGAGCATTCCCATTTAAAAGCGAATCTCATAACTTCCCGCCCGAGTCATATAGCGCACCCACTTGACAGAGCTGTAATCACTCTTCTCAAAGACCTTCAGGTAACGCACCAGCAGACCGGAAGAAGTAAACATGAGAATACTAAAGGAAAGGCTGATAGGAGGCCGACTCCAGGCCTTCTGGTGGGTCATCGAAGTAAGGGTCGCCTCAGCATTGAGAACAAACTCACTCTGGCCCGAGAAACGAGGGATCTTCCAGACAATATTGTTGTGTTCGGGTTCATACTTCGCTCGGCCTTGGCTCGTCCGCTCAGTAGTCTTGGCCGTGTTCAATGGTGTAGGAATACGAATGATCACATTCGAAGCGAAGAGCTTCGAACTGTAATTCGCCTTGATCGCAACGCTGTACTCGACCTTGGTCGTGCCGATCTCACGCACAATTGGCTGCACCTTAAAGGGGAGGTTGACATTCTCCGTCGCGCGGTACCGCATCAACTCGAACTCACCGTCCGGCGGTACGAAAGAGATGATACGGTCCGCGTCAAATCGGCCCAGTTTCACGCACTGGTGGAATTGACAGTCTTCCAGTGTGACGGAACCTGCGGCTGCGCGCGTGGCCTTGCCTCCGGGTCCGCTGATCCCACCATTTTTACTACCCTTCCCGCCAGACGAGTCGCCAGTGTCGAGGAGAAGCCGGTCATTCAGCCCGAATTTGCACTCCGGCGTGCCGGTCAGGTAGGCGCGCATGACGATCTGGCCGTTGACGTCGGCGCGGAGAACAGTGCCGGTCGCGGACATTAGGAGGTTGACGTCTTCGATCACGTCGACGAAGGCTTCGTTCTTGCGGTATTTGATGTCCGAACGACGCCATGAGAGGGCTCCGGTCGCTTGCATGGTGATTCGACTGGAGTCTGTGGGCGAGTTTGCGATCGCGGATTTGACCCCTTCTGTTGTGATGTACATCTTCAAGGTGTCTGTCTCGGTGTTTTGCGGGTATCCGAAGTCGAGGATTTCTGAAGACGCAAGCGCAAGGTTATTAGTATGTTCTAGGATGTCTTCGGAGGGAACAGTTCAATCAATGCGTACCATCGAGCAATTCGTAAATCAACACGAAGTTGTTCTTAACGGCCTCTTCGTCAAACTTGCCGAAGTAGCTCTTGCCCAACAGGATGAGCCGGTAGAGGAATTCAAAGACGAGCGCGGCATTGGCGTTGCTCTTGGTCACAGCGACCAGGTAGATATTCTCGTGCTTGACATGGCTGAAGGTCGTGGAGCCCAGGGTCAAAATCGGGGAGCGGACCTGCGGGTTGGAGATGACCTGGATGCGAAAGATGTCGGCGAGACGCGGGCGACAATCGGAGCGGAAGGCGCGGAATATGAGATTCTCGCCCTTCTGGTTGAATACTAAGATGCCCGACAGCATGATGGTGGTGAAGGGCTCATCTCGCGGTTGGGAGGGAGTTAAAGGAGCTCAACGGGGGAATGTGGGGGGGCCGATCGACACCGCCTGTGGATATCTTCAAGTTTCAGGGCCATGTGGAAGTGGAAGTGGAAGTGGAAGTGGAAGTATGCGAGAGTGAGGATTAAGGATTTAGGATTGATTATGGAGTATGGAGTATTGGACATTGAATGAATATTGATAATAGTATTTTAATTAATTATCTAAGTGGCCCTATTAAACCACAAATTGGTATTTGTTGAACGGGTTCAATATAGACAGGTAGCCCCGTTACTGAAGTGCTTTGCACCAGCAATTCTGATAAAAGTATCAAGACGAAAGTGAAGATGGAGAAGAAAAGAAGGAGCGAAAGTGAAAATCACAGGAAACAAACCCCCAGCAGCGAATGGTAGGATAGCAGATGGAGAATTGAATATGGTAAGGGGTCATAGTCATATTGTCAGAAGACAAGACAAGCAAAAGGGTAGAGAATAAGAGGAGCAATGCTGGGAGGTGGGATATCATGCAAAGACCCGGGACAGGACAACAGAAATTACAAAAAGATATACAGCAAGAAAAAAGGAGAAAGGAGAAAGGAGAAAGGAGAAAGGGGAACGGTGTCATGTGCCTCAATTCCCAACACCAGTGCTGGGCCTGGTATTCGGTAAGGAAGGAGCCTCACTGGGCACGATCCCAACTTTGGGATCAGGAATCTGGATATCGATCGACATGTATGCCGTTCGTCGTAGGCTCCAAATGTGTACACCGTCCTTGGCACCGACTTCACGGTTCCAGTTCTGAAGCCAGGACTCCACCTGCTGCAGTTCGCCCTTGACCCCGGGGGCGTTCAGATCGTCCCAAACCCAGCCGGTCAAAAGACCAATTGCCCCGTCCACCCAGTTGCGCAGGCTATAGGGGTCAAAAGCCTTGACAACGCCATTGTTGACTGTCGAGACGATTTGGCGGAACTCCTGCTCCGATAGTAACGGGTCCAAGATCTCTGGGTATAGGTTTGAGAATGTCGGTGCCAGGTCTCCCCTGACCATCCAATCGCGTCGAATGCGAATGACTCGTGTGGTGAGGTATTCTTGCGAACCGATCGGGACATGGGGGTTGAGATGAGGATAACAGGGGTGGGCGGGGCCCCAGGCCAGTTCCTCGGCGACATCCGCTGGGGCTTGTTGGCCTGTATTGGAGGGGACGGAGGCGATTTGTGATTGCGACCGCAGGGAGGTTTGGGACTGGGCATGTCGGGGTTGTTGAGCATCACGGCGTGTTCCATCGGACGCCAAATGGACCTCTTCCGGAGGGCGCAGGTTCTCGAGATCCCGCGCCGCGCTGCCTGCAAATACTGCGGCCATCTCTGTCGGGGACAGTTGACCACTCTTCCGATGGCGAGGGGGTAAAGCGATACTCGTGCGCCCACTCTCGGTTTCGCCTTGGCTGCGCTCGACGAGAAGACTGGAGGGGGAGGGGACGGGGTGAAGCGACTGCGCCGGCGCTCGGGAACGGTGAGAAGAGGGGACTGAGGGCCGAGAGGAAGACTTTCGTCTGATTGGTATGGAGGAATAGAGATTGGAGTGATTCTCGGGACGTGATTGACGGGGTTGGCGAGGCGAACGGCGGGCGGGCGAAGAATTGAGGAAGAGAAAGGCGAGGCGGAGGAAGACGAGGGGCCGACGGGGACGCACTGGCGTTGCCTTTCGTGCCTCTCGTGCTTGGACTTCACAATTGCGCCCCGTGAGAACAACCGGGAGTTCTGTTCCAGCTCCGAATCCCGGGTCCGAGAAGCTTTGAAGGACGCCGTTTTGAAGAGTGGGAAAGGTTCACTCACGGGTCAGAGCTCTGACGAGCTCATTCCCAGATTTGGTGGTGGTGTGGGTGTGGTGTGGGTGTGGTGTGGGTGTGGTGTGGGATAGTGTGACGCGATTGAGGTGATTATGATTATGATCGACAAAGGAAAAATAGAAATGAAAGAGAGACTGGAGATTGGACGAAGAGAAATAAAGATTGAAGATTGAAGATTGAAGATTGAAGAAGAGTGAAAGAAAGAGAAAATGGCGAGCCGAAAAAACGAGGCGAAAATCCTTCAAGTTCCAGGCAGAGCTATACTCTTCACTCTTCACTCTGTACTCACCTCTGTCGGGTTGATATCTATAGCCACCCCCTCAACCACCGTGAGAAATGGGATCTTATGGGGTTATATGTCCATGTCCAAGCCAGACTAACTCTCCATCTCTCCAACGGCCTGCGTTTGCCCCGGTTTCACCGTGATTAATATTAATTGGCCTCCCTTGTTTCACCTCGCCTCGCCTCATCTCATCTCATCCGGGACAAGTGGGCCAATCCCACTAGTTTTACCCGGGGCGCTGGTTCTGGTTCGTCTGCAGCTGCGCCTTGACTGGGGACTCGTACGGAGAAGAGCATCCGCGGCTGTCAGATGGACTAGTCGACGCCCTTGGTCCAGCACAGGCCACTACGATCAACGCCCCTTTCAAGGTCCTAGTGCCTAGGTGGAACTGCCGATGCATCACTAGCATATATTCGAATATGCATTCTATATGCATATACCATCTGTCGAATCTGGGATCCCCACTGGCACACTGCTGCCAGTGTTCATGAATAACTACCAAGCCAGTCTGCTAGTCTTGGCCCATAAATCGGAAACCTCCATATCCCACCAGAGTGAAAGGTGCCCAATAGAATGGACTAGTCCAGTCTAACTGACTCAGAATCATCCTCAAAGTCAGAACAAGAAATTCGGCATCTGGCACAAACTCGGCTGCACTCTCAGATCCTCCTTGCTCCTGTGTTTCCCACGGTTCTACCATTTCATCAAGCAACACACTGGCCCTATCTCCATCCATGCTAAAGAGGTCCAGCTGTGCCTGTCTAACTAACTCCCCCACCGTGAGCTCCGGATGACTCTTCAGCCGTCGATAAAACAGCGTCATCAAAAACATAGAGCCGAAATCGCTCACTTTCCACAATGATCCCATGTAGGCCTGGCAGCCCGTACTTAAAACGACATGGGAGAACCCTAAAACTTCACTACCGATAGTCGCCTTTCCAAATCCACTTAAACACGCCGCAAAAACAAGAAGATTGACCCTGCTTCGAGTAGCAGACATATCGACGACGCGGAAATCCTGGCCATGTCCGATGGATATGGACGAAAGCAACGGATTACGGTAGTTGATGTCTCCGTGGGTCCCAACATGCATGATTCGAGATCCACCCTCCACGTACTTTTGGAAATCCTTTCTCGAGAGATGGGACGCTTCGATGGGCCACGTAGCAAACATACGCGCAATGTTAACGGCTTCAATGCCCGCCATGTGTAAATTGACTTCTGTGCCACCTCTTGTCGCACCCAATGGTTCGTCGGTCTCCTGCGGTGACTTAGCTAGAACAGAAACAGATGGTGCTACCGATTCAGATTCGCGCTGGGACAGGTAATACAAGACCGTGAGGCTAGGCACCTGTGAAACAGCCGCGTGCATGATCAAGGGCTTCCCATCGAAGGGCAGGATCGAAAATGGGAATGCAGTGAGTGGATCCGACAAGGAGAAAATGACATGGGACTTTGATCGAATAGTCTCCGTAAAAGGTGACAGCAAGATGTCCGAAATGCCTTTGGTCAGTTCTTTTATCTTTCTCTTGCGATTCTCTTCCTCTTCTCCTGCGTAACCTGTCATTTCTCGTAGAATCTTCATAGAGAGCATGACGGGTCGACGTATATCAAAATTTCGAGTCGGTCCTTGGATCGCTTGTTGAATGCCCTCCCTGGTGATTGCAAATGCAACCAGCCCACGAGGCCCAAAAGTAGCTTCTATGACCACCGCATTATCATCGATGCTTTTATAAAGCTGTTGAGGCTGAATGATAGAGTTGACCGTCTCAATGAATGTCGTGGCAGATGACAAATTGCCATCCTGTTCAAGAGTTTTGATTTCCTCCCTAAGATCAGTTATTTCCTTCTCTTGCTCGGGAGTCAGACTCCTCAGGGAGCTTAGGGATCGCAGTAGTCGCCTTTTATGAACTGCAGCAGTAAGAGGTGCCACTTTTGGCGCACCAGAGACTCTTTGCGCTTCTTTTGCCTGGGACTGTAGGGACTCAAGCACTGCCCGTGCTCTACTCATCTCGACAAACAGAAGAGCATGTTCCTTCCAAGAGATATCTTCGAAATGGCCATGGTCATATTTGGAGGCAAGCTCAATGGGAGTCTTTGAATCGTTCCAACTAAGACAGATCCGCGCGAGATTCAAATAGACTTCGGTTGTCCATGCAGCCATGGAGCTTCCAATCTTCGCATCCAAGTCAGTCGTCTGGAGTCTTCGTCTATCGATGATATTTCGCGCTTCGAGTAGCTTAGAGAACGCGAGTTCTGCCAGCGGTCGTCTATCCCTCATCACAGCACCGAAAAAGCCAAGTCGGAACGAAAAGTCCAGTGCGCTTTCACTCTGTTGTTCGAAGAATGTCGGAGATATCTTGCAAATAATATCGATGACTCGATGACCTCTGTCCAAGTCGCACCCAAACACACAGAACGACAGCGCATTTTCCGCCACCGTAGAAAAAGACCCTCTAACACCATAACCTTGCTGGAAATCATCGATATTTCCATCAAATAGCTCATTATCCGTCATGGAGTCTAAAATCTCGCGCGCCTTAGTTGCATCGCCAACTCGCTCGCAGGCTAGTATCCGATACAAGTCTCTAGTCCAGAGACGCTCAAGCTTGTTCTCTGCTTGCTCGATAAATTGGTTGAAACAAGCTTCAGCCTTGGCAACATCACCTTCTTCTAGCAGACGGCGGTACGAAATTTCTGCTGACCCATATGCCATCTTTGCAGCATCATCAGCAAGAGCCTTCTTCCATATTCTTTTTATTTTGCTAGGCGGATAGGTAATTGCAGGGTCGAAGGCCCATGTCCTGTCCTCTCCTTGTAACTGTTCTCGAAAATGGTGAAAACAAGGATCATTTTCGATCCAAAAGGCGAGTTTTGTTTGAAAATCGTGGAATCGCTGCAGATCCTCTAGTCGCAGATAGATACTGTTAACCTTGTGGCTAAAAGTCCAAAGCAGATTTGACTTGCTAGTCAGCAGCGTCGACTTGTCTGTTTTTCCTAGCTGGTCATCGCCGCTACTTTCGATTTTCGAGTCAAGATATTCTATCACTTCATCGAGCATGCCAAGTGCCTCTTCGATGAAAATCCGGCATGCATCTGAGTTGAACATTTCGTGGTGGACCGAAGCACGAGAAACCACTGACTGGAATAGCGGAATGACATCTCCAATGGGCTTCGCTACTTCGTATGCGCATTCCCATCCTAGTAGCGCAGTATCCATGTTGGAAAACTTGAACCATTCTTGATGTGCAAATCGTAGAAAAAGAACAGCGATGAAGTGGACAACTATTTCATTTCGGGCCTCAGCACCCCACCTGCCTATGGCTGATGCAGTTTCCTTCGCTTCACGGGGGTTCCCCTTCGTGATACCTATCAATATTTGATGGGCTCTGGCGATCTGTATGTTTGTTTCGTCTCGACCGAATAGCTCCATAGAGCATTTGAGCTTCAACTCTGCTTCCGCTAGTGTATCCAAGTCCTGTGGATTTGTAATTCGCTCATGGCGTACGGAATTGTGTAAACAGCAGGCCTGGCGAAGTAGAACCGCTGCCTGTCCACGTTTCGAGCCGGACGTTTGAAAAAGTTTCAGTGCAGCATCGTAACAATCTCGGGCTTTGGAGGAGTAGGTGACTTTGAGGTCAAATTCAATAGGATCCCATATTGAGTCATCAGCAGTACCTGAAAACGAATCCGCAATGATGATATTCAACGAGAGAGGGCTGGTAAATCCCGGACCCACAAGACTATCCCCTTCCATCATCTTTAATCTGGCTAGACCAGCATAGTCGCTGATGCTATCACACTTCTGATACATCTCCTTCATAATATCCGCGGAGGCAGGACTTTGACATGCTAAATGGAGTTCAAGAATCAACTCGCCCAAATAGATCGCGATCCCTTTTGCTCCATTATTCTCTGACAAGTCGCGATATTTCATCAATGAAGCTGAAAATTTTGATAAAGCTTCCAATACTGCCGCAGGGTCCTTGGTGTTTGCATTTATCCCGTTACCAGGCGACAACGGATGGTAGAGACTTATTGCGTTCCGAAGCAGCAAAGGAAACCCGGACGCAGCACCCAGAATCTGACAGAAACCTTGGTCACGAATCACCCCCTGGGCCATGTATTTATTAACATTGGCCAGCATCCTTTGCATGATATCAAAGGGGCCGACAATATCGCTCAACATTGCAACATTCACTGGCCGACCTCGTTCGTGATAGAAGTGCAGGGATGGAGGGTACCGGCGAGTATAGTCGGCGAGTAGGGAGTAATTCGTAAATCGCAGACCCCATTCAGGAGACACTTGATCCAAAATTCCCTGTAATTCATCGAGGCTGTTATAAGCATCTCCGAACCTGCCGATCAAGATCGAGTAGATTGAGGAACACCGCAGATACTCTGCGCGAGCACCCGGCTCCGCATCCGCCTTGGGCTGCTCTTTCTGGAGTAAGCCCCATACTGCATCTAAATCTCCTCGATATTCTTCAGCAAAGGGTGATCTTCCGCAAAGATCGAGGAAGTGATCGAAATCCATAATTGCTTTCAGCAGTGGGGGTAAAGCAACATTGTTTGTTTCTCTCCTCCGGTAACCGGGCAATTGTAGAAAGTCCTTGATGTCCGCTCGAGATAAGCACTAAGCAGATGTGGGACTGAAGTGATTAGGGTGCCCTATCCCATCACTTCTGGTATTATTATCACCGGGGTTGTCGAATCCGCTCGCCAAATTTTGCCCGATTTAGGTTAGAAAGGCATTAGCGGGGTTGTCTGAAGCCCCGCGGTGACAGCAAGGCAAAAACAAAAAACAAGCAAAAGGAAGAGTAAATAGCGACATGGCGCCCAGGACGACATTAAACACTAATCCACGCATGGTGCATGGTTGATTTGATCTTGGCGATTTAAGCATTCTCGCATCTGTTCAGTATGGGGGCCAGTGATGACTCTTCGTTCTTTTTGTATGGAGTCGGGGAGCGGCCCGAGGCACTGACCCTTGGTTCGCTCGTCCTGGAGAAATATTGGCAGCCGATGATTGCTCGTCACTACACCCATGAATTACTAGAGTGAGTATTCTTTCCTTGTCTGCTGTGGTAAATTAGTTTGACCCCTTTCTTTAGCGAAAAGGGCCTGCTTGAGCATGCCTATACCACGAATGTATCAAATGCGGTATTCCGGGGCTGTTCGCGTTTATCTCCAGCCGTCGGCGTGGAGGTTGGCGATATCATGAATCTCGGTCTTGCATACCATAAAGACCGTGAACGAATCATCGTTGCAGAGAAAGGGTCTAGAATCACGTTAAAAGAGTATATTAGCCTTCCGCTCCTGAGCTCGCCGGTCAATGTTGACTTCTTAATACACAGCCCTGAGGCATTCCTCACAGATAACATCCTCACAACTCCCGCGGCACAGCAAAAGCTCAAACTATGGCTCTCGGCTGCACATAGTGCCTATCTTCTCAACTTTAAGTTCGCTCGTCGGCCCAAGGTATGGCTTTTGACTGGTCTATACCTTCTAGAAGGGACTCAGGTAGTAGTATCGAATGGCCAGAGTGCAAATATATCAGCAGGTGTCTCGTCGGCCATAATCGGTGCTCTATCAGGCGTGCCTGTTGGTGGGTCAGTTAGTCTGGGCGCCGATTCGACATGGGAAATGGCTATGGAAGTAGCCGACCCACATGTCTGGGCAGCTCAGTATCGACTAGTTGACGCGCGATTCATCAAAATGAGCAAAGATGGTATTGATGGGGTTAAACTGCCAGCGTCAATTGGTCTTTATCGCGATATATTGTCTGTGAATACGGCCCGAGGCGCAGGCGAGAGGGAAGTTGAGCTTGGACTCGAGACTGAGCAAGATGAATCAATGATAGATGATCAAGATGGCCAGGAAGAGGAGGGGTATGAAAAGAGGTTGGAACAGGCAATCCAGATGTTTGAAAAGGCGCCGAAGCACTTCTTGCAATAAATAGTTGAGCGGAGGAGCATTCGAGAAATCTAGATCGCATTTTGTATGTAATAGAAAGGCATTCACCTGAATTATTATTTCATTAGGAATTATGTGCATCGAACCTTATTTATAACGTCTCGTTCGTGTTTCCCAAAACTCCGAATCGTGAATGGCCGAAAGAGGTGGACAGTGAAGTAACATAAACGAATAAACAAAAGGGTATCAAAACTCATCAACATCTACAATTTTCGGTTGGCGGAAGCCTGCATTCGCCGCATTGCCTGGCGATGCAAATCGGTCATGCTGCCCTTTTGCATACCTTCCGCAATTGCATCACCCACTCGCGTGTTTGAGGCGTCCTTCATCTGCTGTACAGACCCCCAGAGGCTTTGTGGTCTCTCGGGGCTCGTTGGTGATGAATTGAGTGTTAGTGGATCACGTCTTGACGAGATGTCTTCTCGCATCGATTGGCGCCATGCTGCCATTGCAGCGGCTGGCTTTCCGGGATTTGTTGAAGCAGCCGGAGGCGATCGGGCTCGGTCAAAGCCTTGGAGGCTTGTCGTTGATGGCGACTCCATGGTCTGACGCTGGAGCATGGCACGGCGCTTGGAGAGTGGAACGTCGTCATCGTCGTGAATTGGTGTGGTCATCCCCGTGGGCTCCTCGTCTCCTTCATCGGGAATGGACAAGGTTGGTGACATGACTCGAGCTGGGTCAACCAAGGACTGTCGAGAAGCGTTTCGGGATCCCCATGGGTCATATCGTAATGAGGTTGAGGACATTCGGTTGCGCACCATATCCTCACGCACGGCAAGAAGAGGTGGTGGCCCATTCCAACGAGGTGATTCTATTTGCTCCTTGTCATTATCATGTCCGGTATTGAGCGTAGAAAGAGTCAGTAGTGGTGCCGAGGGACTTCTGAGAGGACCATGACCGTCGTCTGCTGCGAGTTGCTGCGCGACCAAAGACGACGATGAAATATTCCGAGACATAATTGGTAATTTTGCTCCAGACATTGCGTGAGTGCTGTTTCTGGTCTTTGATCGAGGCACGTCGGTGACAGGGGCCATTGAGAGACGGGATCGTCGGCGGGCTTCATCGGGACTTGTTGAGCTTTCCATGGGGCTGGTCACTGCTGGGGGAGGCTGGGCATTAAGTGGCGTCTGAAGCAGCTCATCCACTTTGACTGGAGCAGCAGCTTCATCAGCCTTCGTAGGTTCGATTGGCTCAGGCTCAAATTCAAGAGGCTCAAGGTCAGGCGTTTCGGCATCTGCCAGATGTTTGGCCCACTCGTTTGTACGGAATGTATGGATAACCTTTGAAGTTTGTTCCGGGATACGGTTGACCGTCGAAGTATCCAGCTTTGGTTTTACTGGCTTCCTGATGGGTATCGGTTGCGGTTTAGGCTTGGGTTCAGGTTTCGTTTCGGTCTCGGGTTCTCGAAGCTCGGGAATTTCTTCGGGCTTTTCGACAGGTCCTGGAGGAGACTTTGATTGCTTTTCCAGGGAAATCTCCTTCAATTTATTCTGAGACTTAGGCTTTTCGGCAGGTGTCTCTGTCTTCTCAATCTCCGTCCTGTCTTTTTGAACTTCTTCAATTTTCCCTGCTGTCTCGGCCTTCTCCGTTACTTTGGGTATATCTGATGGCTCGACCGTTGCTGCTAGCTCGGGTTGCTTTGTCGGGAGATCCTTTGCTTTGGGGGGGTGTGTTGTTTTCTTATCCGAAACAGGTTTCTCGGTGGACTTTTGCGCGTCGTTGGTCTGTGGTAAGACAAGAACGCTTTCGTCCTCTGGGCGGCTTTCTGATGAATCTACAGCAACAATTGACTTCGCTGCTTTTTCTGGCTGGGAGTTGAGGTGATTCCCTTCCGCTTCTTGAAGAATGTTTTTCTGAGGTAGCGCCTTCACAGTTGACTCGCTCTGCTGCGTTGCATCATCTGTCTCCTTGTGGGTTTCAGATGCGATACTTGACCGACGGGAGCTCAGTGTTTGAATGTCATCGACAACTCCAGCCACGGAGGAAGTAGCATCATCGTGAGCAACCAGAGCCTCTTCGGAGTCTGATTGGTGATTGAGCTTCGTCCCATTGCCACTGCGCCATGACAGACGATTCTTGAATGACATTCCAGAAAAGCGTTTTGATCGAGGCGTACCAGCCTCGGAGCCCATAATAGCACCATTCTCAGAGGTATCGTCGCGTACATTCGTATTCACATGGAAAGCCTTTTCGGGGGGCGGAGTGGCAGGTCGCGATATATCAGTGTTCGAGTGCGAATCAGGCTCACGTTCATCTTGATCATCCGGCGTGTGGTGGCTTTGACCGCAGCTTGGACTTTCTTCCTCTTCAGCGCCTTCCGGGGTGACTTCTTCCACTGCATCAAGCGTGTTGCCGCAGTCAGAAGTACCGCCTTGGGCATCGGGACTCGCCATTTCTTTCATCTCGATGGAATGTGCAGTCTCATTATTTGAGGAGTTGAAGCCGTCCGATCCTCTTCTTGAGTCATCAGCCACCGCAGTTTCGGTCATCGAGGGCTCCTTGGCGCTGCCATTGCCATACATCCGTTCCCATTCAGCACGCTCCTGCTGGTTCTTCTTCTCGAGCTGTCGGCCGACTTCCGCCTCGGCCTCCTCTTTCTTTTTCTCTTCCTCCTCGCGAGAACTTGCTTCGTTTGCTCTGCGCTCTTTGATCACCTTCCATAGTCGCATCTGAGCAATGACACCGAATACAGTCACAATGATTGTGATAGCAAGTTCGACACGAATATTACGCGTAACAGGATAAGTGTTGGTGTTCAGCGGGAACATGTTGTCATTCAGTCCTGTGTCGAACCGTTAGAACTCTGGCATTTCGTACAATATTGCAGTTTGGAGAATGTAAAAGAAATGAACTTACCCCAGACATAGAGCCAGAATTCCTTGAGGCCTGCCCGACTGAAACAATCAATACCGAGTACCAAGGCAGTGGCGCCTCCAAAAGAAGTGCAGACCATAGACCCATACGAGCGAGTATAATGACTGAAGGATAGGCAATAGAACCCAGCAGAAAATGCGATGATGAATCCAACTTTTGCTCCGCTCTCGGTGACGAGACCTCCGGCTTTGACAGTCATCAGCCACATTCCAATGCAGAAACCGCCTAATAGACAGCAAAGTCCTTCGGTGATTTCTTTGAAAACCAGAGCTAGTCCTCCAAACACAGCTCCAGTGACAACTACAGCAACAAGATATCCACCCTGTACTGCATTAGTGACAGGGGGGTTCATCACATATTCGATCAGAACCTGAATTAGAGTTATCAGTTAGTGACATCCCATCTTGCCATAGTATCGAAAAGCCCGAGGAAACTCACTATCACACCCAATGCTGCGAGGAATGCTGTGGATAAAGAGATATAAAGCCTGTCGATCATTAGCAATGCTCTTCTTTATCCTCCGGTTGAAAACACACCATCTTTTCCGGATTCCTATCAGGGCCAGAGCTGCCCCGGATATCAACAGAATGAATCCACCCACTCCTAACGCTGGGCTGAGGTCGGGTTGAAGCGGGAGTCCTCCAGTATATATCGACTTTGTTGAATTTTGTGATGATGAGCCGCCAGATGCGGCAGAGGTATCTAGCGATGGAACGGTAGTCGCAACAGTTGTGGCATCGCTAGTTGTAGTAGTAGAGGCCGTGTGAGCGGCCTTGGATATGGTTGTCTTGGCTTCATTCGCGTCCGTCGCGGTTGAAGTGGATGTCTGGGCTGATCCATCGTCTGTTGCAGTTTTGGTCGCGCTCTGTTCTTCACTTTTATCGGTAGTCGCAACGGCGTCCGGCCCTCGGCGCTGAAACTCTACTGCCGGAGCAGCTAATGTCTCACTGCAGTACAGAAACAACAGGAGGATCGTGAAAAATAATGGCCACTTCATGTTGGAAGTTTCAGTTCAATCACGCGCGCGAACTTTGTTGATTGTCTCAGTGGCGCCTCTATTTGAGGATAGAGTGTTTTCCGAATGCCGATCGCATATCCCAGTGGTAGGCTCGCGTATATTATGATGGAGGTTGAGGAAGGCTGGGTATTAAGGGAGGTCGGTGTAAAAGAATTGGAAAAATTAATAATGTTACGGTCGAGGTGAGGCGTTTGGTAAGGGTAACGAGCTATATGCAATCAAAATAGCAAAAAAAGTCAAGAAGAGTCAGGCTGGAGCCCAGCCCCGGACTGCCCCTACATATAAACGAGCAGATGACACCGCTAGTCGGAAATTCCAGAACGCGGGGCTTCCGAAAAAAGACCATCAATTGTTTAACAAGTTGTATTTGAGTTTTGGGGGGCAGGGTCAAGCGACAAGGTACTGGACAATAAACACCCACGCGAGTGTGGCTACTCCGTACCTTAGGGTATGGATCCATCATACCATCAACCCATGTATCCATAGACCCACCGATCGAGAATTGTCGATCGAGCAAGGATCAGCTCCTTCACGATGCATCAGTGGCGGGTCACTCAAGACAAAAAGAGATTAGGAGCCTCGCCGTTTGTTCGGAGATTGGCTCTTCCTCCCACCCCCCCCCCTGACCCTCTTCGTCTAACCTGCTAAATCCACTAGAGTGTTTTTTTATTTACTAGTCGTTCTCCTCGGTCCTCCCATCCGACCTGTCCGCCAGGGTTGATCCGGTCAGACCTTGTTAAATACCGGATCGTAAATTAATCAACAAAAAATATCGTCCGTTCCCTGTTCACACCATGCCTGAGTGAGACTCCGGCTAGAAAAAAGCCTGCTGATCCGCCGGAAGCCATGTAGATCGCTTGGTCAACGCGCGGAATGTGGCCAAGATACTGATGACAGATTTCAATGATCTGTCACAATACGGCTTCAATAGTGTCAGCCCCCAAAAGCTGGGTGACTCGTATAAAGGCGCGGTAAGAGGCTGTATATGTACGAGGTACTCCGTACATATCTATCGAGCCAAGTTCACCGTCAATTGCTAGCACGGGCAACAGCTGCAAGCAGCACGATGAATTGACAGAGACGAGGTCATCGGAGGTATCGGCGCCATCCGCAACTAGGGGTTCGCGGGTGAGTGGGGTCATGGCACTCGATCTGTCGAGTTGTTGTCCTCGTTAGCCGTCCTCCATTCGCTGTCCCTGCACGCTCGTTGGCCTATCACAACGGCTCCGGCGCCGTGCATGCATTGTTCCTGGGCGGTTGGGCACACAATTGACTTTGCCAGCTGCCGACTCTTGCCTGCATCGGGGATGTTTCCAGGTAAGGAGTCGGGTTCTCCCTCTAAGACAACGGCACAGGTTGATGTCCGAGTCTACATGTAGTGAGCTATGAACCTAACGCTGCAATCCCATTGTGCTGCAGTTGACGGTGGAGACTCCCAGCCTATCTTTCCAACGCATTGGCCCACGCACGTCGACTCTCGCTTTGAGTTGTCTATTTTGTGTCGGGTACTCCGTACAGATGGCTGAGTCAACTTAGGTGCGTATATAGTACACGTGTAGGCCCAGTCGAGGCCTTCGAAATGCTTTTGGCTTGTCAGATTGTATCACTGAAGCCTTCCCGCACATCATTTGCTCCGATATAGCCAGTCGGGGAAATTACTTGTTTGCTTTTTTCCATAATTTTTTTTTCTTCTTCTTCTTCTTCCACAAATCCATTTGTATTCCAAGGTACCCCATATACTTTGGTGGCTCAGGGGTAAATCAGCCAAATGACCATTGAAAGTCTCCGTATACGAGCCAGCTCTAATTCAAATTCGGAGAAGGGTAGGAAATTAAACATGATGCAACGGTTCGCTGTCCAGGTCAGTCTGCAATTTGCAAGCGCACGGAGTCCGGTCTAAACTGCGGGACCATGAATGGCATTTTGGGGATTGAACAAGCTGGTCTGCCCCTTTCCCTTCCACGAATGGCCCTAACCTGATATAGTAAGGTGTAGTTGGCGCATTGCTAGCTGCAGGTCATTCGGCCTGGTGCAAAAGCCGAGGTCGTGAACGTTAAATATATTAATATATTGTTCAAAGCCATGACCATCGTCATCCAGAGAAAGAACCAGAACTTACAATTACGATCGGTGCCGAGGGTTCCTTTAAAAAATCGTGTATCCACTCCTCGGGAGATCAGGGTGTTCGGACCTGAAAAGGATCATGATCGGGAGCTTGGCTCGCCCCCACTTTATATTGTGTACATGGTAATATATTTACCACGCTTAACTATACTTGGTTAGCGGCTTGTTATATATAGGGCAAAGGATTGTATATTCCCATAGTTTGTCGCATATTTCAAGTTTTACGAAGAACTAGTAGGAACGCCGTACGAAACAGGGCGGGGATCTCTGTCGCGAGTTATACCTCTGGAGTAACTGGAATATGTCATTTCTAACTTCCCCGTCGATCATATGGTAGTACACTGAGGTATTGTAAATTGCATTTAAAATGATACATCAACCTCGAAGGAATTAGTACTTTTACATCCAAATATCGCATGTTGCTTCTCTCTTGCATCGCCTAGCTGAGCGGGCAATTGTACGTGAGAGCTATATGTTGTAAATGGGATTGATTTGACCAGGTTTCCTCGTATGTACCTTGGATAATAAGATTCGTATTATGCACAAAAGTGTCGCGGCTAACCAGCAGTGCTATTTGTGATCCATCGAAAATGATGTGTTTAATAAGGGGCAAGAGCATGAGGCGAGAGAGCAGATCTCACACACGGGAAGTACTGCAGAGGCTGATGCGGAGTGGACGTGAAAGAGTCGGTCTGATATTGAGCTAGCCTGCGATATTGTTGATCTCTAGACCGACCAAGATCAGCAATGCTCTCGGTAGCGCCCCGCATAAAGCTAGCGGTGTTGAGACGAAGAGACGCCACAGTCAGGAATCAAATGCGAGTATGAAGTATCCTGGATAGCATTTTCTGTGTCTTTGGTTCTGTCTTGACTTGGCATACCTAGGTACTGCCAGTAGCTTCGATGTTTCTTTTTTCTTGCGGATGTTACACACCCATGGTTGAAAGCACGCGACAGGCACTATATTTATCTACAGGCGCATTTGGCTCAGCTATGTAATTGATTTATTAGAAAAAAAACTATTGTTCCAAGGCGCTCTATCTATATTGAAGCTGATACAGTTTGAATTGAATATCTGAAGGAGTAATGCGTGCGTCGACATGGCACTGTTACTAGCATGGACCAAGCTCTCACTCCGTTGGTGAAGAACTGATATCTCTATCGATTGCTTCCGATTGGCATTTCGTCGTTATATCAAAAAATGGTGATGGAACTCTCCAAATTGTTGAAAAGACTTGATTATCTGTCCATTCTTCTCATACTCAATTGCATCGAAACTGTGGACTACTCAAAATAGAAGGAAATACTTTCCTCCTTGGTCACAGGAACTTTGAATCGGTATTTCTATTTTCTACTAGTTATCGCATATTGTCCTTTCTTGTCTTATCACATTGGATAGTCTCTTGACTAAACTACCTCAAAGGTACTGGATTGAAGATATTCGGGTTGTCTGCCCAGGTGGTCGAGGATTATTCCAAAGTACCTACCTAGGTACTACCTAGTAGGTACTAGGTGCCAGTGGTAACCTCCAGGGCTTGGAACATCCCACCCGGGTAAAAGCTGCCAGTGAACAAAAATGCACGTGGAGTGGTGCCAATGGTTCTAAGTATAGAATATGTATCCAAATCTCGTGCCCCACACTATATAAATGTCGCCCGCCCGAGCTTAATGGACTTTACTAGTAGTAGGATAAGAATCGGGCATTCCACTTACCAAATCATTTTAAATAAACAAAGTACTTACTTTATGACTAAGGATAGCTCTGGAAGATTAATTACTTATCAACATCTGTTTATGCTTCGTTTATCTACTAGTATATCCACTACTAGCAATAGCCGTTGAAGCCGGCAGTGGTGATGAAACATCACGTGCCGGATCTCCCCCACAGCAGGGGGGGCGCAACTGTCCTTCAATGCGCCCCAGGAAGCTTGTCCTTAGCAAACATCCTCAATTCATTATTCGTGTGCGTGGTGAGATCATGGCACATATATTGCATCCATCCATAATCTCCTAACCCACCCGACTTCCATCAGGCATCCTTTCCAAGCTCCAACTCCTCCCCGGAGCAACACCTAGCCCACTATGGACGACTTGAACGGGCTGAGTTGGTCCTCCAACTCAGATGCGCCCGCCAACAAACCCCCTCCAATGGGCTCTGGCTTCATGTTCCCAAATGTACGATCAAATGGCACCTCTGGTCGATCGACACCAATGTCCGCTGCTTCGAACCGTTCCAATTCGCCGGCCAAACCCGCCACCTCCACCGGAGACAGCTTCGCGAATCTAGTGTCGTTCAACTCCTCCAACAACAATAAGAACCTGTCTCTCCTGGAACAACAGAAGCGCATGCAGGAAGAAAAGGCCAAGCAGGAAGCCGAAAAGCGTAGCCGATACGAAGCCCAATACGGGGGCCAGAATACACAGTTCTGGGACAGCTTTGAACAGGGCCGCGCTCGCAGCCAGGCCCCTACGCCAGTTTCGCAAACCATCCCGCCCCCCCGCTGAGAAGGAAGAGGATATACTGGCCGCTTTCAACGCCGCGGCACCGGTCGATGCGTCAACGAATTTCCCTATCCCCCGCTCTTCTTCATCCCCGCGGATCGATGTTACTTCTCGACAAGGCACACCAAGCGCAGGAATCACGATGCAGGATAACACGAGTGGCTTGGATGCATTCGACGACGACGATGATCCCTTTGGTCTTAACCAATTGAAACCAAAGCCTGCACCTGCACCCGCTGCGATTCAAGATGACGACGACGACTTCCTCGGGCTTTTAGGCAAGCCAGTTTCTGAGATCCCCCGTCAACCAAGCCCGCAAGAACAAACGCAGCCTTTTAACAATGACCGCGGGCAAAATCCATCTCCTATGCCGTCTAGTGATGAAGATCGGGCTATTGCGGAATTAGTCGACATGGGATTCCCAGCGGAGAAGTCCCGCCAAGCTCTCAGAACTACGCAGTCGGGGACCGACATTCAGGGTGCAGTTAGCTATCTTTTAACATCAGCACATGCCGAGGCTCGACAGAAGACGCAGGGCCGGGCACTATCAAATGGCCCATCCGATAACCGAGGAGACAGAAGTCAAAGTCGCAATCGCGATGGCCCTTCATGGATGCAGGAAGGGAGATCGCAGACACCCCAGTCGCGTGAGGATAACCGAAGCCCGGGCGCCGCAGACAAGGACCCTGCTCAGATGGCTTCTCAATTTGGTAACAACCTCTTAAAAACTGCGGGTTCATTCTGGAAAGCTGGAAGCAAGAAATTTCAACAGGCTGTGAATGAGTTTAATACGGAACACGACCCAAGCCAGCCCAAGTGGATGAGAGATGCATCCTCTCCACACGAAGAGCCGCTTCCCCCGCGACCTCCCAGGCGTGGAGAAACTGGACAGCCACAGAGCAGTGTGACTGATGAAGCGATGCTCCTTGAAGGTGGAAATTCAGGTCCTCCCCGAAAGCCTACACGACCGACCGCCCCAGGTGGGAATGACCTACGACAACCATCTCCATCTCAACACCTCCAGCAACCAAACTTCCTGCAACGACCATCTCGCCCAAGCTCTGCGGAACCAAGATCTCGCGCATCGAGATTCGCTGCCGAGGAACAATCAGCGCAGGGGTATGTTAGTCCAGCCAGGCGAAGACGACCTCAGCCACCAGCACCAGCTCCCGAGTCGAATATAGATTTGTTCGACTCGCCGGCTCCCTCGCAAAAGCCGAAGCCTGCGTCACCAGCTCCTGCCCCACAAAGGTCAGCGTCGGTCCCAGTACGCCCGAAGGCACCACCTCGATCTATACCGCCACTCTCACCACAAGCTCTTCAGTCCACCCACCGTCATCGCGAAAAGGCGGCCGAGGCATGGAAACGTGGTGATTTCGCTGCTGCTCACGAAAGTTACTCTACTGCCCTGGGTATGCTCCCCGAAAAACATCCAATCACGATCATTATCCGCAGTAATCGTGCTATGACCGGTCTACGCATCGGTGAACCTAAGGCTGTTATTGATGATGCCGAGACCATGCTTGCCGTCATTGGCCCCTCTAAAGGTGAAGCTGAAATGATTGACCTTGGAAACGGCGATTCGCCGAAGCCGATGAAAGATTTCTTCGGCAAGGCTTTGATGAGAAAAGCGGAGGCTTTGGAACACCTCGAGCGATGGGCAGATGCAGCGCAGACTTGGAAGCTGGCAGTGGAGTCAGGCCATGGTGGAAGCACTAGTATCCAAGGTCGTAACCGGTGCGAAAAGGCCGCCGGGATCAGCAAAGCTCCACCAAAGCCGGCAGCACCCGCGAAGAGGCCCACGCCTGCGCCCAAGAAGCCATCTGCACTGTCAGATCTTTCCGGTTCTTCGGGGACTGGGCAAGATTCTGAGGCCGTTAGCCGTCTTCGGGAGGCCAACAAGGCTGCTGAACGTGAGGATGATGAGAAATTCGCACTGTCTGAAAGTGTTGATTTGAGGATCACCAATTGGAAGAACGGCAAGCAAGACAACTTGCGTGCATTGCTTGGTAGTTTGGATGCAGTGCTCTGGGCCGAGTCTGGGTGGAAGAAAATTAGCCTTGCGGAGCTTGTATTGCCGAACAAGGTCAAGATTCAATATATGAAGGGCATTGCGAAGGTTCACCCTGATAAGGTATGTTTAAAATTACGCTCATCTACGAGCTGAAGAGTTTCCTGTTAACCACATTGATTAGATTCCCACCACCGCCACCACCGAGCAGCGCATGATCTCTAGCGCAGTTTTCGGAACATTGAACGAGGCATGGGACAAGTTTCGAGTTGAGAATAACCTCTGAGCTTTGTTGTCACCTGTCATCTGTCACCTGTCATTTTGATTGTTTCATACTCCATCGCGATATCGTCTTGGCTTCATTTCCCCGCTCCAGACTGGAGTACATTTTAGAACATACTTGCTTAGAGCCCTTCGTGGCTTATATGCACATGAGACTACGATCATAAATTCATTTTGCGTTTGAATATAAATTCGAATTGACATCGTATAGAAATGGTATAGACTGGATGGAACGCTTTTGAAAATGCCCCTTTTTAATAGTACACCGAATTATTATGCCCTCTACCGAGAAGCTTGTCATGGCTCTCCCTATGCTTCGGAGGTCTCTTCTGCTGGTTGTTGGGCTTTTGCCTTTTCGTCCGCGGCCTCCTTCAAGCGGAGCTCCTTGAATTCCCTCTTCATCTGCTTCCTACTCTTCCCCGCTGGAATACGGTCATTATTATCCGCCTTATCCGAGGGATATTTCTGACGACACCTCTGCTCGTCCTCCTCAGTCCAGTCCCGAGGTAAGATGGCAAACACTAAGTAGGAAGTATGTGTCTTGAGCTCGTTTTCTGAGCGATGAACCAACCGTCCCACGCTATACAACGGACCAGCTGGCTCCTTTAAGGAGGACGCCTCCTCTTTGGCAGAAGTCTCTTCATCCGCTGAACGGCCCAAGCGAAAACGTTTGGCGCGCGCATCATCCTCGCGAAGCTTGGTGGCAGCCTCATCGACGGTCTTGGGGAAGACCGTCGCGCCGCGAATTCCGTCACAATCGAGTCCAATTCGTTCCCGCTTCACCTCGATGCGGTTGTGTTGTACCTCAACCATTGAGATATTCAGCCACGACAGCTTGCGCATCATGCGAATCGTCTTCTCAGCCTGTTCCAGGCAAGGAGAGAATGTGCAGATGTAAGCTGTGGAGTTGGGGTCCAGCGGTGACTCTCCACCAGAGGCAGGGTGTCGCACCAGGTGCTTCAAAGCCAACCAGGGCGCAGGTAGATCAAGGAAGATGGCACTGGCCTTGGGCGATCGGCCTGTTTGCGGGTCCCCAAGGAGGAACCCATCTTCGTAGACGTCGCGATGAGTCACCTCCACCAGTCCGTCTAGCCCGTGCTCCGTAATCTCCTCTCGCACTCGTCCCGCACGTTGCTCGTGGAACTCATAGCTGCACACCTTGCCTAACCGTTGTTTCTTCGTCGCGGGTTTCTCACCCGGGTATCCGTTAAAGACCGCACGGACAGAAGCGTGGGTAAAAGAGCCACTACCGGCGCCAGCTTCAATGACTGTGCTGCCCGGGCGAGCACGAAGTCGGTGCAGGATATAGCTATAGTCCGGAGTGTAGACAACCTGGGTGCGATGCGGTAGCGATAGAGTCCAGGATTCGGGAGTCGGGTACATCAGGTGGAGGAAGCCACTGCTAGCAGCCACTGGTGTCTTTGTGGAGGCACTGTCATCGTCGGCGCCGGTGGATGCATCAAGCTCCTCGGCCTTGCGCTTGGTCGGTTTGCGGCCGCGAGAGCCAGTATCAACCTTGGAGGCGGCGATCTGAGAGCCCCATTTCTGACCGATCAGAGTGCTGTGTGGGAATGAACCAAATCGAGTGTTGGAGACCTTTCCCTCCTTGTAGCCCTCGTTCTTATCGTCGAAGGCGCGGAGGACGGTTGGCATGCTATCATCGCGGCGCAGATGGAGGAGGGCGACATTGTCGGCGAGGGCTGATTCGCCGGGGGTCAGGAAGGGGGGAGGGCATGGTGACCTATAGAGACACAGAGAGACACAGCCTTAATGAGTCAAGTCAAGTCAATGGCAAGGCTGAGTCAAACTGGAGATGAGTCTTAAAGTCTTGAAGTCGGAAGTAGTCAGTCTCCGCAGAAAAAGTGAGCCCAAAGAGGAAAGTAGGGCTCAGGGCTGCGGGTCAGGTGCTGCCAGGCCAATCAGTGCGTGTTGATGCGACGAGTCATCCAGTTCCATTGCTGCTGTGCCCCGCGTCCTTCTGCTCTTTTCTCCTTCTGAATGCCCCTCACCTTCTTTTCCTCCTCAGTTCTCTTTCCACGGCGGTTTGCATTTAGGTCCTTACTTCTATCCAGGCCCATGTCGTCTCGCCAGCAGCCGCCCTGGCGGCAACCTCCAACCAACTCGGAGGTTCAACTTCCGCCGCTGAAGGTTTGGAACTCTTTGACCAAGTCCAAGACGCCCTTTGTTCCAATCGACCCCGCTGGCAAGAAGGTTACTTGGTATGCTTGCGGTCCGACTGTCTACGACGATGCGCATTTGGGCCACGCCCGCAACTATGTTAGCACCGATATCATTCGGCGCATTATGCGCGACTACTTCAAGTTCGACGTCAACTTCGTGATGAACATTACAGATGTTGATGACAAGGTATGAAATTGAGATATGGCCAACGATTCTCCTCTTATGGCCCCGAACTTCCAAAGCTGACTTGGTTGTCTTTTCTCCTTATCTTAGATCATCCTGCGCGCCAGACAACAACACCTGTTCAACGAGTTCGTCGGCACCTACCCTACCATTACCCCCGAGGTTATTGATACCGTGAAAACCGCCTACGCTGCATACCTGAAGAAGAACCTCTCTCTTTTGGATCCTGCGCTAGCCCCTGCGCAGTACCAAGCTGAGGTGGAGAAGGCCTACGCAACCGTGTTGAGCGGAGGAGCTCTGCAGGGCAACGAGAAGGCTGGTGACGATGAGGCCAAGGTGAAAATGCACATCAAGACTGCGGCCTCAGCTGCGAAGGTGCTGAAGGATGCCGAGGCTGGTGCTAGTAAGGCTGGCGATGCCGCTTTGTTCGCCGAGGCCTTTTACACTGATGCTCAGGATGTCTTGCTCCCCTACCTGGATGCACTTAAGGGAGCATCAATTGATGCCAATGACCACGGAATCTTCACCAAGCTCACCAAGAAGTACGAGGAACGCTTCTTGACCGACATGCGCGATTTGAATGTCCTCGACCCCGACGCACTGACCCGTGTTACCGAGTACGGCGCTGAGATTGCCGGCTTTGTGGAGCGAATTGTGAAGAACAACTTTGGATACGCAACGAAGGACGGATCGGTTTACTTCGATATTGATGCTTTCGAAGGTGCCGGACACCCATACGCCCGCCTGGAACCATGGAGTCGATCCGATAACAAGCTGGCCGCCGAGGGCGAAGGTTCTCTGGCAAGCAAGACGACTGAGAAGCGCGGGGCCTCGGATTTCGCTCTCTGGAAGTCATCCAAGCCTGGTGAGCCAAGCTGGGACAGCGCCTGGGGTAAGGGTCGCCCTGGTTGGCACATCGAATGCTCAGCCATGGCTTCAGCTCGCCTGGGTGAGCAAATGGATATCCACTCCGGTGGTATTGATCTTGCATTCCCTCACCACGACAACGAACTGGCCCAGAGTGAAGCTTACTGGCACGACCCCTGCAAGCATGATCAGTGGGTCAACTACTTCTTGCACATGGGTCATCTCTCCATTGCAGGCTCTAAGATGTCCAAGTCTCTTAAGAACTTTACCACCATCCGCGAAGCTCTGGACCGGAAAGACTGGGACCCGCGTAGCTTGCGTATCGTCTTCCTCCTTGGTGGCTGGAAGGACGGCGTCGAGATTACGGATGAGCTTGTTAGCTCTAGCGCCTCCTGGGAGGACAAGGTTAACAACTTCTTCCTGAAGGTCAAGGACCCTGCGGCCTTCCAAGGAGATAACACCGACACCACCCTCGGCTCTGATCTCCAAACTGCCAAGGATGCCGTGTACAAGCATCTGTGTGACTCATTCAACACTGTGGGCGCCATGCAAACCATCTCCGAATTCATCACCAAATACAACAGCGCGGACAAGGCTACTATGAACCCGAAGGACGTCCAAGACGCCGCTCGATGGGTTACTTCCATCGTCAACATCTTCGGTCTCAATGGAACAGCTGCTGCCGATAGCACCGAGATTGGATGGTCAGGCATCGATGTTCCCGAGGAGGCCAAGCCATTCCTCTTCCCTCTTTCTACCATTCGTGATACTGTTCGCCTGGCGGCTCGCTCCAAGGAGGGAATCTCATCTAGCCAAATTGCCGATGCAGTCAAGATCGAGGCTCCCACGGAGGCCTCTGAGACAGCTAAGCCTTACGCAGAGGTTCTTTCCAACTTCCGGAATAAGGTTGCCTCGCTGCAATCCTCTGATTCCGCTGGAAAGGAGGTGCTAGCCCTCTGTGATCGCGTCCGTGACATTGATCTTTTCGATCTGGGCGTTTATCTCGAGGACCGCGATAACCTCCCGGCCCTCGTCCGTCCCGTCACCCGCGAGATGATCCAGGCTCGGGAAGAGAAGGAGGCCCGCGCCCGCCAAAAGCAGCTCGAGAAGCAAAAGCGCGAGCAGGAGGCTCTCAAGCAGCTCGAGAAGGGCAAGCTGAGCCACCTTGAGATGTTCCGCACCAACGAGTATAGCGCTTGGGATGACGAGGGTCTTCCCACCCGCGACACCGGAGGCGAGGAAATCACGAAGAGCCGCGCGAAGAAGCTTCGCAAGGACTGGGAGCGACAGAAGAAGGCGCACGAGGCGTGGAATGCCGCCCAAGCCAAATAAACAAAAGCATCTTGTTGTATTCAATGTACCGATGGAGATTTACGCTGTGGGGGTGAGGATTTCGGGGCGATATCCATGTCGCGATTTGCATTTGTTGGGCGTTTTGGTATACCTCTCTTAGTAGATATTTTTGCAAGCAGATCATTTTTGATTTTTGCCTTTTAGCCTAATCTCAGCTTGAGGTTGTATAATCGGATCCGCACGTATTTCTTCGATACGAATCGCCGTGTCACACGCACCAATACGTGTCTCCCCGCCCCCGCTGTGGGCTGAATATGGGGGTCGGCAGGAGACATCTCATAGGGCAAACTGGTGTCCACTTGCTCAACTCCGACCCTTGAATCGGCGGTTAGCAGTACCTCGTTGGGTACTTCTCCCCACTGGGTCGTACGGAGGTGGGATGTTCGGCGCAGAGAGCGCCGAGGCCCTTTTTATTAGACCTCTCCGTCCATCTTGTGTTTATTTACCGCGACAGAATTACATACCTCAACCCCACAAGCCTCGATTCTTTGATTTCTCATATTCAGATTGGAAAGGTTACCCTACTTTGTTCACAATATGGCTACTACGACCGGACTAGACTATCTTCGCTCACGCACTGTCGTCGACTGCGACACAGCGGACATTGAGGGTATGTAGTGACATTGACCATTCGAAAAGCATGACTATACGCAGCCACTTACCATATTTAGTTGCTAAATCACTCGGTCCTTTCCAACACTCTACCTCGAACCAGGTTAGCCTGACCTTTCCAACCAACAAGAGGAAGAGTTAGATCGGAGGCCGTAGCATCCAAACTAACATTATTTCCAGGCCATCATCCTCGGGGAACTATTGAAACCATCTTCTGCAGAGATTGTTGCCTCCGCCAAGGCGGATGCGAAGATCCTCCATCCAAAGTACTCTTCCATCAGTGTCGAGGAACTGGCTGTTGAAATTGGAGTGTGTTCATAATAAAAATGGCTTGAATTGAAAGTAGGCTCACATCACTTTCTAGATTGTTCGCCTAGCTGTGAGAATGTCGAGTCACATCCAGGGAACCGTCCTCGTTCAGACAAACCCCTACCACTCGTACTCACAAGAGAAGACGGTTGTGAACGCTCTTCGTATGTTCGACCATCTCTCTCCTATTTTTTAAACCTTTCATATTTTTGTGATTCTTACATGATAACCTCTCAGGACTTGTCCAGCTGTTCCAGCATGTCCAGCCAGGATTTGACATCACACGCATCGCTATCAAAATCCCCAGTACCTGGGAGGGCATGATGGCCTGTCACACACTTGAACTGGCTGGTGTCAGAACTCTTGGTACCATGCTATTTACCATGTCCCAGGCCGTGCTCGCCGCTGAAGTAGGATGTACTTATATCTCGCCCTATGTGAACGAACTCAGGGCCCATATCCAACCAGGGTGAGTCTCGTAAATCTTCAAACTTTCTCACAGTGCTACTTTCGAAATTTGTACTGATGATATCGAATATTTTGCAGTTTTGTGGACCATGCAAAGCTGCTTCCTCTCTGCCGGGCTATTCAGGAGTACTACAAGTCGACCAACGCCAAGACTCAGGTTTTGGGAGCTAGCCTTACTTCCACCGAAGAAATCTTCTCCCTTGCTGGCATTGATCGCTTAACTATTTCTCCACCCTTGCTCGAGCAGCTCAGCACTCAACCCAAGCCTGCGAATGCCCCGTCGCTATTTGACGTTGCTCCAACTGCGCCGCTCCCGGCCCCAGGAACTTCGTATTTGAATGACTCTGGGAAGTTCCAGATCACTTTTTCTCGTGACCTTGATGGTGCCAGTAATGTCAAATTGATAGAGGTATGACTGCAAGCAATCCCTGTCGCGGGTCAGAATTGTTAACATATAGTACTAGGCTGTCAATGCCTTCTGCGGCTTCCAGGACAAGCTGGTGCAGCTCATGTCATGACGTCCGCCAGTGCCAGCCACTTGAGGTTGCTAGATGTCATATTCGAGATACGATAAGCTAGATTATCTGCGTCTTTCCTTTCCTAGAATATGAGACACGTTCAATATAAAGTAAATACTGATAGTAAATCACACTCTCTTTGGTGGTGAAACTGTATAGATTGTGTCCACGTGACCACCCGACGTCATTCACATCGGACCCGCGGATTTCTCCAACTTTTCTCTCCCCATCCAATTGTCATGTTTTGACATTGAGAATTAAAGGATCGCTCTATTTTTTCGGCTCTTATCTCTCTCGCATCGAGCTACACATCCGGTGCCCATTGTTAAGGCAATCTGTGATTCGAGCAACGGTCGATCATATCATTCTCTGTCGGCAGCATGCTTCCCCCACAGGCAGTCAATTTGAACATCGAGGCCCTGAGTGGCATCTGCGGGTATGGTTTGCCCCCATTATCGCATCTTTCATGATTTTGTCCCTCTGCAATCGGATTCCTGGTTTTGTGTGACGCTTGGATTCCAAAGCTGCACAACGCCTCATGCAGCAGTCTCTTAATTCTCCGACCCAGCGAATCGGGAATCAGAAATCAAGAATCACTATGTTCTTGTTCAACGGCCACCAGCTAACATAAATTCCAGATCTATCTCCCTTGCCTGTTGGGTAGTCGTGTTCTCGCCACAGATCATTGAAAATTTCCAACGCGGATCCGCCGATGGCTTATCACTCTTGTTTCTCGTTGTGTGGTTGGCCGGTGATGTCTTCAACATCCTAGGTGCCGTCATGCAAGGCGTACTGCCAACCATGATCATATTGGCATTTTACTATACTTTGGCGGATATTGTCCTTTTAGGTCAATGTTTCTATTATAGAGGTTTCACACTCAAGGATGAGCTTTCTCCATCGCCGACGCCAACGCCATCTCCCGACTCAGAACCAGTTGCCACTGGCGCGTTGGACGACCAAGCAAATGGAAGTCGCGCGGCCCCAGCACCAACCGAGCAGACATCCCTTCTACCAAAGTCCAACGGCCATGTGCAAATCCAGGATCCCGCTCAAAATCAGCAACGACGTAACTCGTCCACCTCTGCACACGGAAGACGCCATTCCGCAACTTCGTTCCGTGATATCTTGCATACTCACGTAGACGGTACACACCTCTCGCCTGCAACTCCGTTCATCGATTCGAATGATGCGAGCGCTGCGCGGAAAAGACGTCGCCGCCGCCAAATCTCCTCTCTCAAATCGTTCCTTTTTAACTTCTCGGCCATCATCTTGGTCTGTGTGGCTGGAACTGTGGGTTGGTATGTAAGCCCCGGCTCGAAATCTTCGAGCTCCGAGCCCGAACCCCTCACCATGGACCCGCTCGGCCAGTTCTTCGGATACCTGTGTGCCGTCTTTTATTTGGGGTCACGCCTGCCTCAGCTCTTGCTGAATTTCCGTCGGAAGTCTACGGATGGCGTGTCGCTTCTCTTTTTTTTGTTCGCTTGTATCGGAAACTTGACATACGTACTCTCCATCCTGGCATATTCACCTGTTTGTCGAGGTACGTCGTCTCTTTCCGAGGGGCTGGATGTCTCTGCTCATCGTCATCGGGCGCACTGTCGTCCCGGCGAGACTTCTGCGCTTTATGGACGCTATGTGTTGGTTAATCTATCCTGGCTCGTGGGAAGTGCGGGGACGCTTTTGCTGGACATGGCGATCTTCACACAATTTTTCTTGTATCGAAACGGGAAAAACTCTGGCGAGGATGACGTGGAAAATGAGTAAATATTGGAATAAATTCCAAACTTGAAGAGGAAGAAAAAGACGGCGAGAAAGAAAAAGATCTATATCTACGATATTGCACAATAGTTTCATGTTGATGCGAGAAATTTCTATGACTTTTAGTTTGTTTATATACACTGGATCTTTGAACTTGAACTAGTCATCCCTCCAGGTCAGACAGGAAGGAGACAACCGCGGTAGCAAAGCACTTAGCATCGTCCTGTTGATCCACCATATCAGGACCAACCTGCTCCAGGAATACGGCAAGCTTGGACTCCTTCCATCCCATAGTGGGCGCAGCATCCTTGCACATCTTGGTCAGACCAAAGGCATCCATCTCATAGTGACCCTGAACAGACAACACACGGCCGGGGTTATAAAGGCCCTGAATAGGGCAGATAGGGGTACTTCCAACATTAATCCAAGGAGCAGGCAGGGAAACAGGAGGGGTATCGCTCAGCGACACAGGAGCCCCCTTCTCAACAGCCATGACCCGATCACCGTGGAACATCTGGATGCGCATCTGGCCTTGCGGAAGATGAGCGAAAGCCGAAGGGAACGACTGAATAAATTGCTTATTAAGATCAACTTTGTAAATTCCAACTTCTCTTCCCAGAGGGCACTTCTCGACGTAGACGTCGCGGACCTCGTCCTTGGGATCGCGAACAAGGGCGTGCGAAATGAGCTGGTGGCCGAAGCAAGTTCCCAGAATGCGAACCTCGGAGTGTTCGTCGTAAACGGTTCTGATAAATTTCTGCAGCACTTGCATCCAGGGTGAGTGTGGCATTTCGTACACGCCTGGGTTACCGCCGGTGATCATGATGGCGTCGATGGGGTTCAGAACGGGATATCCGTCTTGAGGGTCGGAGCCGCGCATCAGGTGGAATTCGGGGAAATGGCCTCCGCGAATATCGTAGGGTGTGACGGTTATATTAATAGGGTCGATTATGTTTGGGTTGGTTTCGTTCAGGTGTGCTGCTGTCTCGCGGAGGATGCTGCGGAAGTGTGCGCTGCAGAGGCCTCGGGCTTCGTAGAGACCGCGGGCTGGGATGTCAACATCCAGCACGGCGATGTGAATGTTGCGAACCATGTTGAGACTTTGATTTGATTTGATTTGAGAAGGAGGACTTGTGGTTTGGATTGGTGTTCAGGTTGTAGAAGTTTTGTTTATGGAATATCGTGGGCAAGATGGGCGAAGAAACCGGGGAAATTATACGGATTGTGGACTGCAACGTGACCGCGGATTGGTTTAGGTAAAAGAATCAATGCCATAGAGTATATTTGAAATCGGTGAATAATAAAAATGGAAGGTTTGTACAGGATCTTGGCACGAATACTCCAAGTAACCCCAACGCATCGGAAGCATTAGGTAAAAGTTAGGGTTGCCCGGCCGCGAGCTTAATTTTCGCCCCGCTCTTCCCTACACTTTTGGTTCGCTGACGCCCCTTGAATGGTGAAAATCTCGATGCCGATCAACTCCAACTGCCTCTGACAATGACGATGGGAAATCGTGGTCAACCTATAGGTGAAGGGCCTGAGCGGGCTAGTGAGATGCCGGCAGCTCCCATTTGTGTACAGAGTAAGGATCTTTCCTGCCCCCCGACTCCCGAGATCCCGTACGGAGTACGGAGTACCAGTCCCAAAATGTGTGATCTCCCCCCGGCCATAAAACTTTGTCCACCGAGAACCAAATTGGCCTAGCCCTGACCGCTTTGGGGATTGTCCCCGGGGTCAGCAGGAACTGACAGTGTTCAAGTTGACTTCCGTGAGGACCGCTAGAAAAAGCCTTTCAACCATCTTCGAGACCAAGATGGTTAGACTGTGATTTAGTTCAAAATCGTCCTAAGCCATTGTTCAAAGTTTGACATGAACTTTAATATAGTATACGACACATTCCATTTGTCTCCCTCCGCCACGTTAGCCTGGTTGGTACTACTAGTCCTCGTAGAGGCGCGATCTTCGGTAGATCCACAGAGGGGCAGTAAACACTGACATATCAGAAAGAAATTCTTACTCGTACAGAGGTTTGAGGACAGTGGCGTTGCAAAAGTTTGAAACCCCATATTTACCACCATGATCTACCGCCTTCTAATGGGAAACTAGTAGCTACCTGAGATGGAATGGATTGGCCTATCCATTCCATCTCAGGTAGCTACTAACTAGTCCGCGGTTAGAAGGCGGGGGGACAAGAACAGTCAACATGGGGTTTCAAACTTTTGCAACGCCACTTTAAAAAGCCATAGCAACTAAGAAGGAAGGGGTGGCAACGCAATATCATCAATTACACTATGACCATAAACCGGTAGAAAATATCAGACGAACACAGCAAACTCCATCAGCTAAATGCGACTAAGACGTAAACAAGCCAGCAAAAGCAAATTAGTAAAAGCAATATTTTCAGCGAGAACTTTAACTCTCGTGCACCTCCATCTTCTTGTTCCCAACCTCGGACCAGTTGGTGCTAAGCGACGTTCCCTGGCTCTCAACATAACTCTTCATCATAGCACGACGAGTGTCGGGATCCGCGCCAGCATACAGCTTCTTGAAGAACCCATCCACTGCATCGCCACCGAAGTCCGAATCCACAGACTCTGCGTCAGAATCGTCTCCTGCGGCTTCTTCCTTCGTCTCCTTTTTCTTGCCCTTAGATTTGCTGGATGTCAGAGAGGAAGCAACCTTGTCCCAGTCTTTCGCTCCATGGCGAGAGGAGGTCGGGTAGGCGGGACCAGATGGGGTTGGCGCTGAGGGGGCAGCGGGGCGATCTGTGATTACAGTCGTTTCGGTGGCAGAAGACTCTAGGGCGTGCCACTTTTGACCTGCTGTTTGCTTTTGGAGAACCAGCTCGATCTTGGTGCCCATTACTGAGACCTTGGAAGTGGAGGGGTCGATTGGTGCAAAGAGTGGGTCGAGAGTGAAGTCGTAGTCAGAGCCAGAGGGGAGGGGAAATTGTAAAGAAACCTGATAATCAACGTCAGTGTCTGCTTTTGAAGAGTAGGGTATATTGGTAGTTATCGCTTACCGACTCATCCTTCAAGTCAACTTGGACACTGTCCTTTTGGATGCCCTTGATGTAGAGCGTCACGACAACAGAGTCGCCAGACTGATACCACTCATGGCGCACCTTCTCTGGAACAGCAGTGGACGGCTTATTTTCCTCAGCTCCTTGGGTAGTTTCCTGGGCCGAGGTACCAGCAGCACTTGAAGAGAGCTGAGTATCTCGTTTCTTGGACTCATTCGCAACCGGCGCAGTCTTTCCAGTCTTCAAACTTTCCAACTCAGCCTTGATTTCCTTCTCTGTTGGAATTTTGGTATCACTGGGGAATTCGACGACCGCGACAGCCGTCTCATCGGGGTTCTCAAGCGCTTTAAGCTTGCGGGCAACCTGCATCTGCCAAATTTGCAGCTCAGCGGCATCTTTCTTGTTTTTTCCCGATCCCGACATGGCAGCCTGTAAACTTGCGCTTTTATCCTCCGGCGCATCTTCAGTTCGAGTCTTTGATTCAATGAGATCAAACAAGAACTTCGCGTCGTGGTATCGGCCAAGCTGAAACAGTGACACTCCGCGGCGCATCTGAGCTGCGAGGATTAGCTCACGCTTTCCGCGCTCGCGAGCAAGTGCCAGGGCGATTTCTGCATCTCGGAGCGAAGCAAGGGAGTTCGGGCCGCCGTCTGCGGGCTTTACGCGAGAGTGTGCGGTTGAACGTTGGACATAATAGTTGACAGCGCGGGGTAGCTCGGCGAGGGCACGAGTGTAGTGTTGGATGGCGAGGGGTGCGTTGGAGTCCTTGAGGGCCTGGTCGCCCTGTGCTGCAGCATTCATGATGATAGTCGTTTTCGAGGACTATAAATGCTTGGTGTTGAGGAGTGGGAAACAAAGGCGTGGAGAAGTGGAGGAGTGAAGGAGGGAGTCAATCAAGAAAGAAAGCGCCAGAAACCCCAAGTGAGGCTCCGCACGGTTGGTCCAAGCTCCCTCAGCGGGTCTCCGCCTTTCTTCTCCGTACCTACTAGAACCATCTACAGAGAATTATTGGAATGACTATGAGACGTTGGTATGTATTAAAATAGGTATGTTAAGGCTTGGTAATATATTAAACCGCTAAATCAAATTTTACTTCAGCTCAGCATTGCCAAACTTGCGGCTGTACAGGCCAAGGGCGCGGATGGGCCAGTAGAACTTGTAGTTCGGGTAAGAGATCATACTACAAAAAAAGTCAGTAATTATTTCTGGAAATGAAATGAGAAGAGAAAAAAAAAACTCACCAGGATTGGTTGAACACCCCCTCAATGGATTCTTGGAGCCACTCGCCATTAGCCTGTTGGCGAGACATAAGTAGCTTCATGGCCTTCTCAAGCGGCTCCTTGTGGGGATATTCGGCCTCCATCAAGGCCAAGCAAGCCCAAGCAGTTTGAGTAACTTGAGACATCTCATGCTGGACGTAGACATGCTTCTCACTACTGAGGTATGACTCTCCCCAGCCGCCATCAGCCTGCTGCTTGGAAATCAGGAACTCGCAACCACGGTGGGAGTTTTCGCTCGTTTCATATGTTTCGCCGATACTGGCGAGACTCTCCAAAGCAAACATGGCGGCGTAGGTGAAGCAAATTCCCCAAGAGCCATACCAACTGCCGTCATCACGCTGCATGCGCTTAACGCACGCGACGGCCTTCTCCTTGGCCACCCGGATTTCATCGGCACGGTAGTCGGGGTAGAACTTGCTAAAGAGAGACAGTGCGGTCACGGATGCGGTGGTACACTCGGGGTGATCGTAGCTGATCATGATACCGCCAAATACCTCGGCGGCATTGAGATACTCAAGCTTGGGAGATGCGCGGGTGCTTTCGTATTCGGAGAAACCTCCGCTTGGGTTCTGCAGCAGAAGAAGGCAGTTCACACTATCCTTCAATCGATCCAGGGAGATCAATTGGGGGAAGCCATGCAGCTCCTGCAGTTGAAGGGTAGATCGCAGGCCCTCCGCGGTACAATCACTGACGGTATATCCTTGAACCTTGGTGCTGAAAGGCCAAGCGCCCTTACGGTCCTGGCGATAGCACTCATTTTGACGAGGCACATTCTCGCGTAGTTGGTGATCCTCGATAAACTCGAGCGCTTTGCTCAGCATGGGTCGCCACTTCGGGTCATCTGCGAGGCCAGCAATCACTACTGCCTGTGTCAGAAAGGTTGTATCCCACACCTGGACACCATTGGTGCCATTGGCCAGCATGCCCTCGTTTTTCATCCACATGTAGTCGTTCAGGCGATATTGGTGACGACGAACGGTGTGGCTATCGGGGCCATCGTGGATGTAACAGCAGATCATATTGAGAGGGTTGCTGACAGGACCAACACCTGCGTAGTCGGTGTTCTGGTCTTCCATACAGATCAAGTCCCAAACCCATTCTTCGCAGCGTCTAACAACGGGACCGAATCGGAAGAGGGGGTTGTATACCCGAACCAAGAGCTCGTTGATGCTGTTCAAGACCCAGGTCTTGGGATAGTAGTTATCAGCATCGTGGATCGAATTGCGGTGAGATGCAAAATCAATGGAGTTATAAGGCTGTGTATACAGCTCATCGCGTAGCTGCTTGGTAAGGTCGTTGAGAGGCATTGACCACTTCTTGGACCAGATATAAGAGAGGGGTAAGAACACCTGGCGGATATGAATCCACCAGCGCCAGGGGGCAATGGGAACCCAGTCGGGAAGCATCCAGATCTCAGGAGGGACCGGGTTCACAGCATCCCACTCCATAACACCAAGAATGCTAAGGAAGGCCTTGGCCCAGTGAGGGCCATAGATCGCACCGCCGAATTTGTGCAGGAGACCACGGGCCTTGATCATACGCGGGTCGTCTTCATTAACACCGAGGATTCGGAGAACCACATAGTTTGTAGATGTTCCGAAAACGGAGCTATGGCCTTCAATGTGTAGACCCCAGCCTCCATCCTCGGGGTGTTGGCGGGCGAAGAGGTAGCGCTTGATCTCCGTAGCATACTCCGCAGGAATAGGGGTGTTGGTCACATAATACGCAATAATAATGGACGGAATCATAAACATGGGACCTCCGTATTCGCATGCCCAATTGCCAGCATCGAGCTGCAGATGCGAGAAGAAAGACAGACCATTCTCTGCTGCTTGAAGTGGTGTCTTGGCTTCTGGCAGAATTGGGAGACCCTGGAAGGAAAAGTATTAAAGAGGGGAATTCAAAATGATCAATTAAAATACATACAGTAGGAAGACCCAGATGATACTTGTCGGCAACGGTTTGCAACCAGGCACTGTTCTCCTCGTCGGATTCGAGATAGCGCCAAGTTTGACGTCCTTCCTCGTTGACCAGGCGCCAGCGGGAGTAGTCGGTCTTTAGGTCGCCATTCTCATCGGGAGTTAGATGGCCCTGAGCCGAAGTCCTCCAGGGAGCGATATGTGAAGTCATTGCTGCGGAGCCCCGGTATCAATTGCAAGTGGGAAGCTCGAAACCTGGGGGAGGTGATCGAATGATGGGAGCTGCGGTGTGGATATAAACAGCTCCACCTTGCTGAGTCATCGGTCTCATAGCTGCGGTGTACAACGAAGTCCAGCTGTTGCCTGCATGTGGGATCGCCGGAAAAAGAAACTCTTGTTTTATTTAGTTCTGTTTCGATAGTTACAGACTAGTTTTATAGTGATACAGGTCTTTGGCTTGTTGGCTCTCTTCGACAAGGGCATGGTGTTGGTTAGAATCCGAGTAGGATGACCGCAATGGATCCGAGTTGTATACTTCCCGTAAGCACCTAAACTTAACCAGCGAGTAGAGACGAGTGAAATAAACAGAGAAAGTAAAGTAAAACCCTTGGAATAGCAGGCTCGCCCACTTAAAATCAGAAAACAAACAAAAATAGCAAGAACCACCACCAACTCTCCAAGTTGGCAAGTGCGACTCAGGATACTGGTGACCTCCTACTCCAATCGGACATCACTTTCACTTCTTGACCTTCCAATGGCACTTTCTTCGGCATATCTTCATCTCCACAGGCCGCGGAATTGAACTCTCAATGGCCCTCAGACCCATTTCCCCGCAAACAGCACTGCCCGAAGTGGCTGCAGGTTCCTCGGTCCGCGCCTATATCGACAATGCCCTCACAACCCTTATCCAGGAGCTCACATCGTCGCCAGCAGATAGCCAGCCATCCATCATTCTCCGATGCAGAGTCGACCCAGCCAACTGCATCGTCAATCCGGTTAGTGGGACCCTGGAAGCTGTACAGCGAAATGAATCCTACCGCACATACTCGTGGCCGGGAAACACGGCTTATGAATCATGGAAATTCAGTAAGCACTTTCCATGGAGGTACTAGTAAGACACTGATCATCCCATCTCTTGTCTTTCTCTAGCGGTAATAATTCGTGTCTTGTCGATGATCGATCAAGCTTTGCGGGAAGGAAGATTGATATCAAAAAGGTACTAGTAAGGGGAAGCGTTTCGATGGCGCATGGTGAGATATATATTCAAGTTTTGTACTGACTTGGATGAAATGCGCTCAGGGATATCTTTTACATTGATCCGGCATACTTTCAGTCCCAGGCTACGGTAAACAGTGTCATTGATGACCTCGCTTATACCATTGGAGTGAACCGGCTTGCTTTGAATGTGGTGAGTTCTGGTGGGACAATTGGGCGATATTCTGGAGCCTCCGTTGACACCGTATTCAACTTTCTAGGAAGCAGCAGGCAAAGGGCTAGTGGCAGGCTCTTTACGCCTGTTGCGGGAGTCACGGGTCATCTTGAATGCCCAATCTGCTTCTGAGGTCAGTTTCATGTTCTTGGCAACAGTGGCAGCCTGTGTTGACATCATACTAATCTTAGGATAACCTCATCCCGCGGATACAAGATACTGACGAGATTGATGTGTCAAGCGCCCGCTGGATACTTGTCATTGAGAAAGAAGTAGGTCAGTCGAGAATGATTGCAATTTCCGACAATGGACCTGATATTTTCCCGCTTCTAAATAGGCAGTGTTCCATCGACTGGTTCGGAACAACTACCATACCAGAGCTCTTGCTGGGAGGGGAATTCTGATTACTGTAAGTTTTAATCAAAGCTCACTTCAATCAGAATTAACGCGAAGTGACTGGAACTAGGGGAAGGGATACCCTGATATCTGCACCCGACGATTCCTCCATCGGATTTTTGAAGCCGAGACCAACCGCAACCAAAGACGACTCCCCTTTTACGCGCTAGTTGACGGCGATCCACACGGGCTTACAATAATGTCGACTTACAAATATGGATCATTGGCACAGTTACACGAGAACGCAGGTCTGACTCTTCCACCACTACAATGGTTGGGTCTCAAAATCACCGATGCTGCAGATGAAACGCAAAACTCCAGTGGCGAGCTATTCCTCTCTTTGACGACGCGGGATCGCAAGAAAATAGTTTCTATGCTCCGCCGTAGCCCGATCTGGGCGAGTGATGGCGTGGAGCCGGAATGGTGCGCTGAACTTCAACGAATGTTGATGCTTAATGTCAAGGTGGAGATCGAGAAGCTCTATGACGATGGCGGTAGTCTTGAGGACTGGATTGATCGGAAGATGTTTCGACAGAGATGATTTCAGTAATGATTAGGGGTTGGGAAAATATTGGTTTATTGAGGCGGCATTTGCACGTTGAAGAGTTGAAGATCCGGCTGAATTCTATTTTAGCAGTATAGAGTATAGAATACAATGAAGAAGCATACAATTACAACAGTCAGTGTTCTAGCGACTAGAATATCCATGGGATAGCATAGCAGTAGAGAGATAACGCATCGAAAGTTCTTAATTCAGAATGCTAAATAACATACAAGCTGTACAATCAAGCCCTCGCCGGTCAAGCAATGCATTTAACGAAGAACAAAAAATCAAAAAGTCAAGTTTCGACGCCATTTCGTCAAAGCGTTATAAAGGGAGTGACTCTTTCATCCATGGAAAACATATCACAGTCCCAGTCCTTTGCGCACTTCATCCCGAACCTTCTGCTCATACTCGGCCCGTCGCTCACGCCACATTTTAGCCGCCTCCACGTTAGCGGGACTTTCGTCATTAGGCTCGGCGAGCATACTCATGACCGAGATGAGGATCTTCTCCACGCTCTGAATAGGCGACCAGCGCTCCGAGGCATGTTCATAGTGGTTGGGGTCATCGCCGGGAGGGTGTAGGATGGAAATACAGACGGTTCCGTTGGGGTAGACTAGAAAGCAAAAGGATAAGATGTCAGCATAAAGGTCGGGAAAGGTCACGCAAAAGCACGCCGAGGAGTGAATGAAGGTGTAGTCTCGTCAGTGTGCCCTTGAAAGAAATCTGGTTCCTCGATTCGAGTTGCAGAAACAAAAAGAGCTCTTCCCGGGGATTATGACGTACCGTTTGGATGCCACACTCCACCCCCGACGAACTTCATTGTTGGCGGACTGAGAGGGTAATCCTTGGAAAACTTGAGTTCAGCGGCGAAGACCCCGCCTTCAAAGGGTGTGCCTTCGGGGCCTTGGATCAGGGCTTCCCAGTAGAACATGTCATCTTCCGAGACAGGTCCCGCGGTGATTCCCTCGGGTGGGTTGGTGGAGAGGTTTTTGTACTCGTGGAAAAGACGCTTCTGAGCGATCGAGCTGCCCATTTTGACTGACCGAGAGGTTGGTTGCTTTGAGGACGAGGGGTTTAGGTGTATGCGAAGAGGTTGAGTTGTGGCACGGCGCAGGTCGGTGGATTTAGGTTGGGGTTGGGGTTCCGCGGGTGGCGAATGGAGAGTTCCGCGCTGCTGTTGGCAAGTGGAGGTTACAATCGATTGATTGGTCGACTGGGTAGGAGATTGTCGGCTGGTAAGAAGGATAAAGGAAGAATGTGGGTGGTAAGGTCAAAGAAAAGACGAAGTGAGGGGAGTTGATAATTATGGGGACACCGCGGGGTGCCTGGATCGGCGGGGCGATCCCGACTCAATTCCAGCTTGGAGTCTATCGAGGTATCTTACTAGCTATATCTCACCAGCTATGCTATATTACTGTACACAATCGCAGAATTTGTGAATCAAAACCAGTCAAAGTCATCACCACCACCGCCGCCATCATCTCCATCGCTCCATGGGTCCTCTTCTTGACCCCATACATCCTCCTTCTGCTCACCAGGCGGGCTGTAGTCATGGTAGAAATCCGGTTGGTCGGCCGATTGCTGGCTAGCTGCTTCCCCAGGTGGGACAGATTGGGAGCTTTGATCGCCGGAAAATCCTCTCTGCATTGCCTCATATCCAGCCATGGCCCCAGCCCCTGTTACACCTGCCGCCATTCCATCTCCCATACCGCCAGCAGCTCCCGCTCTTCCCAGAGTGCCCGCGGCAGCTTCACCGATAGCTCCAGCTTCGCCAGCAGCGGCGCCACCAGCTGCAGCACCACCGACTGCCCCGGCAGCTTCACCGGCGGCAGCTCCACCAGCAGCCTCACCACCCATGCCCGGAATCCAGAGTGGCATAAAACCGAAGCCACCTGCTCCGCTGTGCCTACTGAAGTAATCGAAATCAACACTGACCGCTGTTGCCAGCATCACCGCCCGTTGATCAAGGGTCATTCCGGTCGGCGTACTGCTTCCAGTGGGGGAGGCTTCGGCGCCAACACCAGCTGAGTCCATTCGTAGGGCATAGACACCAGTGTCAGTGAAGAACTCGCGAGCGAAACCGGCAAAGTCGCGGTTAACAGATCCAATCAAGCGGTTTTCAGCGGACCGCAGAGAAAAGTCCCAGGATAAAAATGGCTCATCAACATAAGCAAACTGGTTGAATTCGCCCTGTCCTTGTTTGGAAGTTTGCGCAAGTTGTAACTTTTGTGTTTGGGATAGCTCTGATCCCGAGAGAGGAAATTGCTGGGAACCCATGTCCGTTTCGGGGTTCGGAGATTGGTGGTACGTAAATAAATTATATTTCCGTCGCAGTGGCGCCCATTGTTGTTGGGCTTCACCGATTACGCGCATCTCGTCGAACCCGAGGGGCGAGACACGTGCATTCGATGAGACTTCGGCCTGTACAAGAGAGCCCGGGGTTGTATTTTGGATAGCGGTTGAAGAGGTATGTATGGCGGTGGTGACATCGAGAGGATCATAGACTTTGATTCGGGAGTTAATCCAGGAGAATGGACGATGGAACTGCGACGAGTTAGCTAGCGATACCAGGGAGGGTAGCTAATCCAGGGCTTCATACTCGGAGGACTTCATTCTCGTGGCGGTCGAAGACATGCGTCACGAAGCTTCGATGCGTGCGAAACCATTGACGTGCCATAGCATTGGCCATGCTCTTTTCTTGCTCTGCCATATAACCAATGTGATTTCCTTGCGCATCCATAATGACATATTTATTCGCCTGTTCGAAACCACTAGAGAAATGGTCAGGTCAGTTTGGTTTCTTTGTGACTGAAATCGAATTTCTCTCACATCATGATATTCATCATCTCCAGCTGCCGCTGAACGACAACACCAGAGTTTGAGAGGATTTGTGTGGCCGGATGAGTTTCCTTAAGAACGCCATTTGGATCCTCTGGGATGTGGACGGGGGAGAGAAGGGTGTTTTGCGCAGGGTCGTAGTTGGCGTTGTATGCATCCTGAGGCTGGTGTTCGGGTTGGGGGTCGGCGCTTGTCGCTTCGGGGTTTCGAGAGGTAGCATCGGACTGTTTTATCGGCTGAATAGGTGTTGGTCTGACAATGCTGCCCCGGGGACCGCGATGGGTATTTTTGCTTCGAAGGGTTGACAGCTGGCGCGAGGCGGGGATCCTGCGCAGCGACCGCAGTTGGAGGCGAGCACTCCACATGTCGGTGTGGGTTTATTATGCGGTACTGACAGGTGAATTATATTGTGAAGTTATCGGCGAGAGTGGTGGTGGGGGGGGGGGGGGTGATAGGGAAGAGCTCGACCGTTGAATCAGCAAATGTCGTTCCGCTTTGATGACGAAAGGTTTGGCCGGGGTTAAACCGCTCGGAGATAGCGGCGTAGATCACACGAAAGCATACTCGAGGTACGATGTTTGATCTCGAACGCCACAATCTAATTTAATTTTATGTTTTGGAGTACGGGCTTTTTTGCAGTCTTAGTATTATCAATGTTCATATCGGCCAGTTTTACTATTCCTGAGTCTACTATATAAAAAGCCACCGGGACTTCAGGTGCTGTTAGGACTGGAATGTAGGACTGAAAAGGCGAGACAAATCGCAAGTAGCGGAGTAGTTCAGGTTGGTTTCCAAGTAGTCACCAGGGTACAACTAGACCAGTGGTTTGTAACTTTCCACGCTGGTACAAGTATTGGATATATTCCACTCCAGCTCCTATTTGGCAATTTGCAGCCAAAAAATGGCCAAAAACCCCAATAATTTGAACCCAATAGCACGAACATGCCGCAAATATCGACACAAAATAACCAATACTTCCACGCTCACTTTGATTTACCCATTGTATCACAGAAGGCCCTTGCGAGCGAGTTCAATCTTCCGAGCTGCCTCGCCAGCCTTGTATCCTCCCTTGGAAACACAGATCGCACTTCCTTCCGCAAGCTCAAACTTTTCTTCGACATCGGGGTGTGGACAAGGGCAGTGGTGTGGGAAGTGCACGCATGCAAGAGTTCCTGGGCAAAGGTAGTTGCTGCATTGGGCTGAAGATAGTAGAATTATTAGTAACTGCCACCTTTCAAAGCATTGAAGCTTCAGCTTGGAGGAGGGGTCGCATGTCTCACATTGTTGCCACATCTTTTGGTATCGAACACTGTCACTGGGTGCGTTCTGAGGACCCTGGTTTTGTTGCGCTTGCTGTTGATTGCCTCCAAACATGTGGTCGAAGAAGTTGAACTGGGCCTGGGCAACGGATGCCAGCAGGAAGAAGGCCCAAATGGCCGGGAGCAAATTGCGCAACATTTCGCAAAGCAATTAAATGTGCAAAGAAAAACAAATGGACCAGAGGTGTGGTTGACAAACGTCCGTAGCAGTGAGCAAGTGGCCAGTTCCCCCCCGGCGGCCAATGGATGTCCTTGTCGTTCAGGCCAGCTTGCCCACGGCACGTGACGCCAAGCCTCAACCTCCGAGAAAAGTTTCCCCTTTGGAGCTGCCTCCTCCGCAACACCACGTCAAGATCGCATCGCCATGCTGCAACCAAGATTGTTGGGGCCCTTGCGGGCGCTGGAACGAGCCTTTGTTCCTTCAATTCGCTCCGCCCAGCACACCTACCAACCCCAATCGCTGATTCCACGCACCCTCTCCGCATCCAACACCTTCCCGAAAACCACGCCTTCAATCTCCCGCACACTCCTTCCCTTTTCGCAGGTCCGATACGCCTCGCACGCTTCTCAAGGAACTGCCAATCGACACTCTCGTGACCCCGCGGGTAAGCGTCTCGGTGCCAAGCGCTCCGGCGGCGAGTACGTGGTTCCCGGATGCATCATCTTCAAACAACGCGGCTCCAAGTGGTTCCCCGGTGACAACTGCGCGATGGGACGTGACCACACTATCTACGCCACCCAAGCCGGCTATGTTCGCTACTACGCCGATCCCGAGACGCATCCGGATCGCAAATACATCGGAGTCGTCTTTGAGAAGGAGGGCAAACTCCCGCACCCGCGCAACGCGCCCAGCCGGCGCAAGTTGAATCTCGTCGCCATTCCTCGAATCGAGCCCGTCGAGGCCCAGTCCGACCTTGTTGCCTCTATCGACGAGAATGGCACTCAGGTTGGCAGTGTCGCGGCCGTCAGCGCCGAATCTGGCCCTCAGCTGCGTCCCGGTTACATGTACCGTGAGGCTAATTGGGTGATTGGTCGTGCTGCGGAGAAGGCCGGCATTGTCGCCATGTCTTATGATCGGGGGAACCGATGGCTTGCCTGGAGGAAGAGACAGATCCGCGCTGAGCGGGCTGCCCAGATGAAGAGTCTGAAGGGCAAGAAGAAGGCCAGCAAGAAGGCCAACAAATAAGGGTGCATGATTGTTTGAACCATCAAATCTGGGTTTATGTAGCGATATGAGGTTTTCCTCTGGTGTTTCTCTGTATTATAGAAAGCTTATTTCACAAGTCATCTCTTCACATGTACTACTTTCTGTCCATATGTTTCAAAAATGAAGTGGAGCTGATAACAATATGGTTTGATTGTTCTTGTTTCTTAGTAAATCTTCAGCAAGGGGCCCAGCCCAGCTGCTGGATCGGCCATTGAAGCCAGCAGCGATGCTCTTCATCCAGATGATAATAGATGGCACGCATTAAAGGAATGCTAAACCCTTCCATCCACCAAGCCGATTCTACCTGTTTTGAGACCACACAAAAGTAACCAAAGATCACAAGTGCTTCGGGCTTTTGTTGACGCAGTAGCTCCAAATATCCATCTGAGATTTCATAAAGCCATATAAACACATCAGTAATCTCCACAACTTGGTCAAGGACAGTTGCAAAGGATTTCGCCAATTCGTCAAGTGCTTCTAGATAGCATTGTAACTCATTCTGGTCCGGCACTGACTCAATAATCTCTTGTCGCAAGTTCTCCATGAAGGGCTGGTCATCAGTAGATCGCGCCTCACGGGCTATTTTCCTTCGTCGGCCAAGAACGAACATTGGCGCGAGGGGGCCAGATCTGAGAGTATCAATGACTGAATAAATGATAGCTCTGTGACCCCGAATAAGGCCAAGCCATTTGAATAAAGAATCATTGGCCACCCAGAAGTCGTTAGAATTCTGTCGCATTGCACACATTATAATGCAGGTAAGTGTTGAAAACACGTAAATGGCCGGGCCAGTCTCTTCATTGATATGTGGGATGGCGGCGGATACCATTTGCAGAGCCGCATTGTGGTGATATTCTGCAGTTGCAAAATATTCTGCTCGAAGATCGGGTTTTATATGACCCATATGGAGCGCAGCAAGTGCCAGGATGCCACGGAAGACAAACTGAGACTGAGGGGCAAACCCATGTTGTGGGATGGTGATTTGCCAGATTGTCTGCAAAACTGGATGCCGCGAGATGGTATAACATGTAGAGGTAGAGTAATGATGTAACAGTTCCATGTCGGTCATGTCTACAGTTGGCATAGGACTCCCAATGCTTGTTTCGGAGATATCCACACCGCCGGCAGTTGTCGAAGGAACCATTGCGGCACTTGAGCCTTGTGGAGTTGAGGGGAAGAAGCAATCAGCCCCATGCTTCACGCAGTTGTTGCACTGAGGTCTCGCCTCGTCGCACTTTCACGGTTTTCGTTTAGCCCAAGCCCAAGGATAGATCGAAGGGAGGTGCCTGCCTACCTTGACTTTGCGCGCTTTGCATGACTGGCAGCCATTTCTGGACTTTCTATGTGTGCGCGGGGGTCCCATTGTTCATTCTGGCTCTGGATATCAGTGCATCATGACAAAATTCATAAGAGTAAGAATCCTGGGAAATATTTGAGAAATTCCAAGATAGAAAATAGGGTTTTAATCCAGTTGGACTCGGAGTTAGCAACCAAAATCTTGGCATTGCTTACGTGGGCGAGACACCCATGGTAGGCTCCAGTTATAACTTGCTGCCAGTGCCAGCGTTAGTTAAGCATAGCATCCTGGTAATTTAGGCAGAAGCGAGATGCTACTGTATGTGCAATGGGGCTTGGTCTGCAAATTCGATCCTTTTTTAGAAACTTTATGATGAGACTACACCTCCAGGGCTGCGAGTGGGCATTGCTAGTCAAACTTGAACTTTATATATGCCGATGCCCGGGTGATGCTAGTACTAGTAGTAGCCACGTGAATTCCAAGCTTGAATCCAACTCTATGAAGCACTACTTCTGTTGCTAAATTTATATTACTTTTAGTTTCCATCTACTAGTACCTAACTACAATTTCTTCATAGTAGAACCATAATATATCCATAATATGTCAATCGAGCCTTTTCAAGCGATTACTACCCAAACATGCCAATTCCTCCATCCACATCAACAACCGCACCATTCATATAGCTACTCTGCTCGGAAAAGAGAAAGAGAACAGCATCGGCAATCTCATCTGGTTTTCCCATCCTTTTCATCCCCACATTTTCCGCTGTGCGCTGCATTGCTTCGGCTCCACTCCGCACAGAGACATTCGTCGGGGTATCGGTGTATCCAGGAGCCACTACATTCACACGAATACCTCGGTGACCAACCTCCAAAGCAACACTCTTTGAGAATCCAATAACCGCATACTTTGCAGCGCAGTATACCGAGAAATTCGCGACGGGGTTGGTACCACAGACAGATGATACATTCACCAGAGACGAGCCAGCCTGCATATGGGGCAAGCATGCCCGAGTCATGTTGAAGGTTCCGCGAAGATTCGTGTTCATCAATTTATCCCAGTATTCGTTCGTTATCGCCTCAACTGGGATAGAGGAAGGATTGATACCAGCGCAGTTGAAAACGCAGTCGATTCGTCCGAACTTATGGAGAACTGCTTTGACAAACTCGCTGCACTTATCGGCAAGGCTGACATCGTAGGCCAAAATCATAGAACCCTGATGAGTTTCTGATGCTGGTCTGCAGAGCTCTAGAGTCTCCTCGAGAGCGAGGGTATTGATGTCTCCAAGAGCAAGTTTAGCTCCGGCTTGCGCTGCCTTTATGGCAGTTGCTCTGCCGATTCCACTGGCCGCGCCAGTGATAAGTACGACTTTTCCAGTGAAATTCATCGTGATAGACATGATGTTTGAGATTATAGAGGAATATCCGATTGAAGATTAAACGCCTTTAAAATAGAAGGAGGATCGAAAACAACGAAGAATTTGGAGAATTACAAGCAACGGGGAACTTGCAAGCGTATAAGCGGGGAAACCCCAAGATGTGCTCCACTTCAAGTTACCCCAACTACAGCCGACTAGACTGGAATTGGAGTTGGAGAAACTTCAACCCAATAAATGCGGCGATAAATAACAAGCAGCATGCAATGGCAGGGGTAAGTTTTGTTTCTTGACAGTTTAACACGCCTATACTTACTCCAACTACATACTCTACTGGAATTGGAGTTGGAGAAACTTTGAATTAATGAGGCGATAACAAATAACTAGCATGCAACATGCTACTAGTACGTACGTAGTTATAAGGCGTGGGTAGCTGAATCTATTCTCCTAAACTAGGATGTGTCAGAGCGGATAGGCAGCTCCTAGACTCATTGCATTCGACATTTCAAGTTGTGTATTCTGAGTCTTGGGGGGGGAGCTTATGCTGAGCTTCCAGTCCATTTCACGTTCCTTTGACTGCTCGTTGTATTTTTACGGACTTTCTGCGAAGGTCCTTAATGCCTCCATGAGCTCTATAGCATTCATGCAAACGATGTGGGTGTCCTCCTTGGTGGATCAACCGCATCTCGAATCTCTTTAAAGAGATGCATGATGTCGGAGTGTTGGGTTTGGCATCCCGTTGGCTTCAGGAGCCTTGTTGGTATCGACCGTCATCGGGGTGACTGGAACCAGGTTCCCAGGTAAAATTACTCGATGTTTTGCTTCTGCGCTGGATTGAGTTTTTGAGCTGGAGTGCAAGAGTGATGTAGAAGCTGACCCCGGGAACACATACTGGGTGCATGCTTCCTTTGGAAGCTCAGGGCCTCTTTTGGGCTCATATACACCGAGATCCATTTTGTTCTTGATGAACAGCACGTTGACATTCTCAAGGAATCACAAGGCGAAAAATCCTTTGACAAATTGAGCAACGGTGTTGAATGAACCATAAGCAGACTCTTGGAGGCTGGCAATGACCGTCCAAGTGTTATCGCTTGCCTACTTCTTATGACCTTAAAGCCAATCTGACAGTCTGACCGATTACAGGAGAAATATGCTACGTCGGTCACCAAAAATGAACACCTTAGAGCCCGGAGGGAGGACCGTAGTGGCAAGGACTTGAAATTGGTACGAAGGAGTTGAACGGACAAGAGATTGATGTAGGGACCGTAGGCGCGGTCATCACCACAGGCTGAGAAAGCCGCTGCGGGACTAACACTCCCAGGTTTTGAATTTGGGCGATTAGCTTCTCTAACCATTGCTTCTCCTGTGCAAGCTGCGCTTCCAGATTTGCGATCCTTTTGGACTGTGCTGTTGCAATTCGTGCGGCTCTCTTCTCCATGTTCATCCTTGTCTACCGGAGCCGACGCCAATTTCAGTGACCGAGTGTTGATCATATCGGATAGCTGGGATGTGTGGACTCCACAGGCATGCACTGTGCGACGCGATATTCGTTCATCGATGATTCAGATGATTCTTGTACTCTGACTTTATAGATGACCGCAATTGATTGAACTGCATGGTAGGCACGTTCATTAATGGACATAAGTGCCAGAAGAGCTGTCTTTGATCGTTTTGGTGTGTTCTCAGTCCCCATCTCGCAGTCGCAGCCGGTAATGCAACAGCACATGATCTTAATTTCTGCATTTCTCGGAGTTTCTCTATGGCTGAAGGCAACAGAAGTTTTCATGGTGGTGTATCTGCTCAGGGTTGTATCCTCAAGCGGCTGTTGTACCTTCACGAAACGGTGTTCGGTGGGATGGCTGGTCGGAGAGAAATCGGGGCAGATGCCTCTAATTGAGTCGTGACTGGGTTCGTAAGTCTCGCTTGGAAGAGGTAGGGCCAATTGACATGTGTAATTTCGGTCGTTCGTCCTTGGATTACTCTTCTTTCCCTGGCATTCGAAGCATTGACAGCATTTCTCATCGAGAGCCCGAGTGGAGGTGTTCACGTTGAAGGATGAAGAATGAAAGAGAAAGGAAATGTTTACCTAGACACCTTCCCGTTGTAAATACTACTAGTACTACTAGTAGTAGTACATAAACAATCCTATACAAGACAGGGAAAGCGTGCCCGGGACGAGCTTGGATATAGATAGTCTTCTCTCCTTGCAAGGGGTCAAAGTTGATTATAGTAAGCACGAGGCTAAAAAATATGATAGGTGTGTCGGAGGTATACTCGTACATCTTGGGCTAGGCGGGGCTTTCTTCATAAATATCCTTAAATTCACGTGTGCACCGACTTTTCCGGCGATTGGTTCACCCTAAAAATTTAATTGGGACAAAATAGCGGATTTTCCTTTCAGTGAAACGAACCTGAGCAAGATCGTCGTGATCACCATGGATCCCATAGGGCCAAGATTGCGGGTTCGGGTTCGGGTTCGTACTCGGGTTAGGATCAGATTGCTCCACTGGATCCTCTCCGCATATAGTTTACTGCGTTTTAAGCTGAGGATTTAGTCAAACATAGCCTCACGGAGGCTGTAATTTCCATGGTAATAAATAGACCAAGGTGGACCAAACCTGCGTTTCTAGAAGGCAGCCAAGTTTCAATAAATGTGCCACTAATTCTCGGCTTTTACCTCTCCGGCGCTGCTTGGACCATTGCAGGACAACGACGGCGGTTCCAGGGGCTGTCAATACGGGGACCCGAGAATTCGGACGAAGTTACAATTTCAAGCAATGATCAGCAAACCAAGAAACTACGTCCAAGGTCCAAGCCAGGCCAGGCAGCTCCTATATCATACAAATGTTTATAAGAAGCCAAATGGATCTCGTTCCTAGATAGAACATAAAAGTATCTCCAATTCCCTCTCACACTATTCTGATCTACACCCGAGAATGAAACTGTTTCTCAGATTGAGCCTCTTGGGACTTGCAACTGCAAGTTCCAATTCCCTGACTGATGTTGTTACACCGCAAAAGGGTGCAAGTTGTGCCTGTAAACGACTGTCTCAGACATTCGACGGTGTTATTTTCCCCAATAACGCAAGCTACACTACACAGGCAGCGGACAAATTCTGGGATATTAGAGCCGATCTATCTCCGGCATGCGTATTTTGCCCGCATCGGCAGATGAGGTCTCCAAAGCCATGTCGTTGTTCAATTCGTGCAACGCCCAGTTTGCTGTTCGGGGAGGTGGCCATATGAATGTAAGTCAAGTCTCTGACCAACCTGGGCAGATAAAATGCAACTGCTAACACCCGCCTAGTATCCAGGATCGAACAATATTGATGGCGGCGTTCTCGTGGCTCTCGAGAAGTTGAATGATATTCAAGTTAAGAAGGATACGGTTGAGGTTGGGCCTGGCCTCACATGGTACGATGTCTATTCGGCTCTTGAACCTCACGGCCGCGTTGCAATCGGTGGTCGCCTCAAGACAATTGGTGTTCCTGGACTCAGTCTCATTGGCGGATTCCACTATTTCAATAACAAATACGGATATGCCATGGATAACGTTGTGAGCTACGACGTTGTTCTCGGCAACGGAACCCAGGTTACCGCAACAAAGTCTTCCCACAAGGATCTATTCTGGGCGCTGAAAGGCGGCGCCAACAATTATGGTCTTGTGACAAAGTTCACTCTACGAACCTACGATATGCCCAAGGTCAGCACGACAATCCAGGTCTACAATGAGAGTGGCATCCCCGATTTTCTGAACGCAGTGTGTAATATGGCTCTTTTGGATGAGAAAGATCCTATTGCTGCGGGAATGGTTGCTAGCGTACAGTATAATGCTACAACCAAGGTTTCATCTGCTTCGCTTCTTGGTGTCCAAGAGGGCATCAGCAGGCCCCCCTCTCAATTCGCCAATTTCTCTGCTATTCCTGCCACCACACGAATCAATAATGTCACAACTATGAAGCAGTGGGCAACTGATCTTGACTCTCCTAAGCAGATGTTCAGGTGGGCAGAATTAGACACCCTTGTATAGAAATAAGTATGCTGATCATATACACAGAGTCATGTTCTCTCACAAGACAATGAAGCCGGATGCGGAAGTTCTTGTTTCAATTTATAAGGCGTGGAAAGACGCCGTTGATCAGATTGCTGATGTTCAAGGCCTCTACCCAACATTCGTGACCAATGTTGCTTCTGCCCCGGCTGCTCGCGTTGCACTCACCAATGGAGTCGGGAATGTGTGGGGCTTAGAAGACACGCCCCATATCTGTAAGTTATAAGCACTATTCTGGTACTTCATTTAAGCAACTCAAGCTAATAAATACTTCTATAGTATGGCAATTTAGCACTGGCTGGGCCCTGGCTCAAGACGACCTTCGCATCGAGGCTTGGTCGAGGCAGCTTGCTGAGAACCTCCATGCCATCAATGTGGAAAAAGGCATCGCGTCGGAATTTGTCTATATGGGTGATGCTGGCGAGTGGCAGGACCCATTTGCTGGGTTCCCCAAAGAAAATGTTGCTCGGATGAGAGAGATCAGGTCATCCTATGATCCGGAAGGTGTATTCTCTAGACTCAATTGGGGCGGTTTCAAGCTTGGACTTTGAATATCGTGCCGATATACTACAATGCGTCCATAGAAGCAAACTCGGACTCCATGGTACTAGCCAGATATGGATGAACAGAAATGATATAGATAATTGAACATGATCATTGAGATTGGTATTTAGTAAAACAGAAAAGAAAAACAAGTTCACTCGTCGTACAATTGTCCCAGAATCAGACTTTGGCAGACAAACTCCGCGCCAACGACTCTTGGTGTGTAACTTGTATCAGAGCTATCCATATCAGAGGGAACCATGGCGAAGGCGGCAGACTTCTTTCGCTTCTTGCCTTGCACCCTCTGGGACATGGGCGAGGGACTAGCATGGTTCTGGCAGCATCACGGTCCGCGTCATCAGCAAACACGAAGTCCCAGCTGCAAGGAAGACCAGAATCGAATTCAGATTCCAGGACCGAGCGCGCGGCCTCGACATCAGGAACACGTTCCACCCGAGAAGCACCCAGGGCGAAGGTGAGGAAAACGTAGGCCTCTCGCTTTTCCTCGGTCTTGCCACGACCCATGACAATCAACACAGACTTCCCATCAAGTAGTTTTGGTCTTGCGGAAATTGTCTGGGTGAGACGTGCTTTGGATGGCGGGGTTGGAATGAGCATTCTCGACTTCGTCGCACCATCGAGATACATTGATTCTCCGGCAGGCAGTAAATATATGCCCCAGTCAAGTATACAGCCTTGGGTCACACAGTCCTCGACCCAGCGCCCAGAAAGACAAGGAATATTGAGCGCCAAAGCTTGCATGAATTTTTCACGACGCGAATGTGTGTTTGCGATCAGACAGGTAAATCCGATATTTTGGGCCGGGTCCGTAAGATTAAGTCCAGAAAGGAAGGTACTTCCCTCCTTGTGGTGTCCTTTTGTAGGGGATGTCGAGGTACGCTGAACGGATGACGACTCAAATAGTTCAGTGAACCCACTGCGTAAAATTGATCCACCATTCTCTTGGATCAGACGCAGGATGTTATTCTTTGAGGCCTCATCATCTTTGTAAGAAGCCGCAAACGCCATGTTGGAAAACAGACCAACTCCCTGGGTGTTACGCGAGAATCTGGCACTCGGTGATGCAGGCAAGGAAGATTTCACAGGAGTTTGGGGTAAGGACTGTTGAGGAGGCGCGGTTTCATGTTGGTATGTATAGTCCCGGTCTTTGAGACGATGCCACAGCGTTTTGTCGAGATAAATTCGGGCGATTGGAACTCTGATTACATTCGTGTTTTTGTTCAGATAGCCAGCGGGGAGGCTTTCGCGATTCTTTGGCCCCAGAACAACAGTCGAGTAGCCAAATATATCAGTTATAGGATATTCACCTCTTCCCGCAGCTTCGGTCAATTCCTCCTTGGTGAGTTTATCCTCGAGCCCACGGACTATGTGCGTGACCCTTGGAATACCCGGCATTTCAACTTTGACTGCATCTCCAATCCGAAGTTCGAGTCTTTTCACAGCATTCATGTTCACTTCGATCGGAAGACTATCCTCGAGTTTGACGGAATACTTGGCCGCCGAAGGACCAAGAGGCGTCCCCTAAGCAAGTTCCTGGGTAGTAGGCTGGCTTTCTATCCGGCCATAAAGAAATGATTTGACAAGGGGCGATATGACGCTCATCAAAACCAACTGCTGCTGGCTTTGGCGAAAGTGGTGCGCTCGCCTGACGAGGGTCTGACGAGAGAAGATATTCAGAGTCAATATCAAGCTCGGTTAGTTCAGACGATGGAGCTGAGATGGGCTTTCGAATAACGACATATGGTTTTGGACGTGGCTTATTTTCGAGCTGGCTCGCAGACTGGCTCTTGGGTTGACTTTCTGATTGGCCCTCAGACTGCTTCACGCGCTTGGCCTCTGAAGGTTGCAACAAGCCCTGTGCAGGGGGTTCTGCCGAGGGTTCTGACCGGGGCTGTGGGTTCTTCTGTAATTGCGGACGGTGTCGAGACGAGAACATTTCCATGCGTCTGGATTTAGATCTTCGAGGGATGATCTGCTGAGGCGAGCTCTCAATCTCCCATACATTTGCATCCACACGTCGAGATGGACCGGGCTGTCGACGAGCTGTAGCCGCAGGAATTTGGGTCTCCGCCGATGATTGAGTTTTCACAGGACTAGATATCTCTTGGATTGGGGTGATTGTTTGTGGAAGCTCTGCGGCTGGAGTTGCAGGAAGTGTTATCTCAGACGTGTCGAAGGAGCGACCTAGATTTCCGCGGCGTCTTTTTCTCGGGCGCGTCGGAGATCCTTGAATTAGAGCGTTGAAATCCGGATCGTTCGTGAAGAAACTCATATCGATTTCAACCACTTTGTCTTTGCCGTGAACCTGCGGGGAGGTATCTGATGCAATGTCCATCAATCTTCTGCGCTGTCGTCCACTCGGACTTGACAATATTGATGGCTTGCACTTGATTGGGGAAGACTGGGCACGTATTTGAGATGGTCGTTGTTGGCTGAAACGGGCGGAGCTTCCCACTGGAAACATGGGTGGAAGATCGTCGTCCTCATTGTTCTCATTGCATTCGCCATCCCATCTATTAGATTCCTGACGATCAGGGCTAGTATTGGGAACTTTTGTCATTTGAGAGATATCGCTGACTGATGGCCGCAGGTGGGTTGGTGTTTCTTTGATCTGCGAGGGCAGCGAGGAAGACTTTTCTCCTGGATACGATTCAGTCCGCCGGAGGAGTGCTCCATGTGAAATGGGTTGAGATTGATCGTGGGAGGATTCGGGTTGGTCTCCGTTGGTCTGCTGATGTTCTGTGCCTTCCACTTCATTGTGATGTGATGAACGAGGACTCTGCTGTTGAGAATTGCGGCCCGGGATCTGAGAATGCCTCGTTCCCGGACGCGAGTCAAGAGACGGCGACTCTAGGCCCTGGCCAGCAGGGGAAGTCCGGGCCACGTGTATTTCTGTATCAATTTCCATATCCTCCGGCACTGGCGGAAGACCAGATGGTGCATTTTCCTGCCTCGGCGATCCCTGCGGTGTTTGCTGAGAATCTTTAACCATAATTTGTGAAGACCTGGCGACGAGCTGATTATCAGAATCATTCACGTCGCCACTCAAGTCTTGATGCACAGTATCATCGGCATGATCTGCCGCCGATTGGCTTCCTTCTATCCCAAGGGCTTGGGATAAACGGTCGTGTGCATTGCTTGTAGCAACTGCAGGCTCATGAGGAGCAATGTAATTTTCTTTATCCTCCTCCATGGAAGTAGAAGGGGGCTCTTGGGATTGGGGTACTTGGGGCCCTGCATCTTCTTCTTGTTCCGTTTCCTCTTCGCTTCCGGCTCCGTGCATCCCAATTGCATCATCCTCGTGGATGTGAATAGAGGTGGCCGGGGAGGATGCACCGGCATCACTCCGAGGTCGACTAGGCGTATTCAAGGCTGCAAATTGTACAGCAGTCTCCTCGTCAATCTCCCGTTTGCGCCTCGAAGCCTCCACAAATGAAGGTTCTTTGTAGAAATCCTGATCGATGTGATCCCCTGAGTGTAGGTTTTCTTCCGATCGTGTCAACCTCTCCCCAGCGATTTGTCGCGGTTGTGTTGTGATTCCTTCAAGGATATGTAGTTGAGGTTCGGTTCGGAAGATTCTCGTGCAAAGTTTCCGCGGAAGTTCACTAGTGGCGAGGAGATTGGGTTATGTATACGTTGCTGTATGGGAACATTGGGTGAAGGTCGATCTGATGCTAATTCGGATTGAAGGCCGTGGACCAGGGGGGAGGAGGGAGCTTGGGTGTTCTTGAAAGCTTGACTGAGGCCCATCAAAAGACCGCCACTCGATCCAAGATCAGCCAATAACGGGTTTCTCGAGGCGCTCGGGGTTTGTGATGTGCCAGGCGTTTGGTTCTTGTTCTTTATTCCGGTTGCTGGGGTCGTCGTCAAGAATCGTTGTGATTCGGGGAAGAATTCAGGTTGAAGGCTGTGGTCAGCGATCGGGGAGGAGGGACTTTGGCCGTAAACGCTTTCATCATCATTCGTTGGAGACTGGTTTCTTTCGTGGCGTAAAGTATTAAATTCGGCGAGGATATCGAGATGGCCACTATCACCCTCGTGCAGGGTCATGAGTGTTGCATTATCGGCACCGTTCTGTAGAAAATCTCCGTATACCGATTCCCCATTCTGTCGAATGATGCTATCGTACACGGATTGTGAGACAACTTGGGTATCCCCGGGGTCTCCCTCTACAGAGTCCATTTTTTTCGAGCTGGGGTCCGCCGACAGGCTGTGTGTTTTGTGATGTAGCTGCGCTGGTGTGGGGACTCATTGAGGCTTTCGCATGTTTTATCGTGGCAGGGAGGCTGAATTGGTGTTTCAGAGGCGATTTGGGTGTGTTCGATGAGCGAGATGCAGACAACTCGGGGTCGGTCGGCGGTGCGTCACCATGAGAAGGAATGTCAGAATGGACGAGATGAGAGGAGTTATTTGGTGAAGTTCTGTCCATTCCCGCCAGGCCAGAAGAAAATGGCTGCGATGGTTCGTGCTCCTGAAAAGACCGAGGTTAGTCCAATGGGAATCTCGAACAACTGCAGGACATTACATACATGTACTAGTCCCAACGCGTCGCGTTGAAGTTTCGCGATGTCGATACTGTCCTGCGTCTCCATAATCCGTATAGCGTCGAATAGTGCACAGGTCTATTGATTTCTCTCGTTGAGAAGTGTGTCGTCTTTCATGATCGCCGCCTTTGGGCACAGACTGGAGGATGAACCGAGTCTAGGTGAATTTCGTCCATGGCAGAACGCGATGTCTTCGCGTCAGTCACGTGGACATGTAATCTTGCCTGTTGCAGACTAGCGTCTCCATGTATGGCTTTGATCAAGTTATGAAAGACTTGGATGGTCCCTCACTTTCATTGTTTACAGCTAAAATTTAAAATCATTTATTGTCTACGAGCATTCGCAAATAATCTCATTAATCATTGTATTGGTCATATGTCGACCAGTCAGGGGTATATTGCTTGATTTGCAAGAAAATACCAGTACTGAGCGGGTATCTGAAGCCCTATCTCGTACAGGATTGTACTAGGCGACACCGATTTCGTTGGTGCCCTTGAGGGGGAAAAAACCCATGCTCTCTCTAGTCACGCGTGCGGTTGGGAATCCATCGTCGGAGGAGGAACTCCCGAACCTGATATTGTCCCAGCAAGGCCGCGATATCTTCAGAGGGACCTGTTGGTGGGGGTACTTCGACGTAGCAGATCACCAAGCTCTTTTTCACCTGCGCTTGAACCCGGTTCACACAGTGCAGCCACCACCAGCTGCGGGACTGTTTACTTGTCACATATTCTCTGCGTTCCTCAGTCTCTGACCAGTACGGGTCATTGTAAGATGGGATGATTATGAGGGCGAACTCGGCGTGGGAGAAAACAGGACCGCGGTTGTAAAGTAGATAGTCGGTTCCGAATTTAACACCGGACCGCACTACCCACCCGAGTGATCGAAAGTGGTGGTAGACAACATATGACAGCATAAAGGGATCATCAGGATTGAGTTCGGAGGCTTCGGCGTGGGGAGGGAAGTAGGAATTGCGGCGGAGGAGAGGGAGGAGATTCGAGGTTGGGATGACGGTGTTTTGTTCACGATCAAAGACACGAAGGACGCCTAGTCCGTAGACGAGGAAGAAGGCTTCTTCATTGGATATTTGAAGATGCTCCTGGTTCTCGAGAATGTCTTCAATATCAAGTTCATCTGCATCTGCCAAGCTGGAACCCTGGAGCCGGGCAGTGGATGTTGATGTTGCTTCTTTTTGTTCGACGACGGACGAAAAGCGAACTGATTTGCTTTGTGACGACTCGGGAGTATCTGCAGGTGGCACTGAGGTTCCATTTTGAGACCGGCGCAGTCTTGATTCTTGATACTTGGCTTCCATCGCCTTCTTGACGGAGAACTTCTCGATTGTAGTCACTGTATCATCTACCGAGTCGCCGAGCGATGGAGCCGTAGAACCAGACTCCCTCGCAGCTGCCTCTAACTTGAGACGTTCGTCGATGAGGAGTTTCTCTGACCGTGCTCGTTCAAGCTTCAATGCACGCCGTTCCTCCCTGCGCCTCCTGGTAGCCTCCTCACTGGTGTTTCCACCGAGCAAGCCTCTCCGCTTCTTCTCACGCTCCAGCCAGCTAGGCTCACTTCGGCTCAGGCTTCCTTTGCCGAAAAAGCCCATCTCCCATAGCGCCCGGATCGCCTTCTCGTCCGTCACATGGATGGAGGAAGTCGCTGGGTCGAAGTATGCAGAGTGGATTTCTTGGCTAGGGCGAGAGATAAGGAAGGAAAGGTACGAGAGGGCAGCACTAAGGATGGAGAGGGGGTTATGAGGAATTACAGGTGGAACGGGATGTGCATTGACTGGGAGAGGAAAGCGATGAATGAGTCTGTAATTGGGTCTAGGAGGACGAGGTGCCCGGGCCGGACGAGGATTCACTCGTGCAGGGTCGGCCTCGGGGCTCGTTTGGGCCACGCTGGTGGCATTGGCATCGGCCATATTCAAATAGCTGTTACTGGATGAATTGAAAGAGCCCTAGGTGGAGAAGTTGAGTTAGCAACAATCTTCCACGAAGCATGTGTGTGAAACCAATTGTGAGTTGGGTAATCTTCTCAGATACCGTAGTAGTCAAAATAAGCAAATCATTGACAGGCAGCTAGAAATCAAAGTGCCACCTGCCTAGGCTTGGGATATTTTGTCATCACTGAAGATGGGGGGAGGGGAGCAAGGAAAAGAAATGAATAGCTCCATTGAGCTGGGATTCAAGCTTACCTGATAAGAATGGTGAATATCAATGTGTTCTCTGAATTGGCATCCAATGTAAGTCAGTATGTTCAATAGATCATCATCATAAAATGATCCAATTTCCTGGAGGAAAATATCAACGAGTCTGTTTGACTATGAGATTGACTCAGAGGATGAGAAGGAAGGTCTCTGCTGGAGGAAAACTTTTTGGCTGTTTTAAGCGCGGGTGGGTGACTAAGCAGGTGGTCCGTGTGTTCGGCGTCAAAAAAAAATCCAAAGTTCCTCCGCACCGTCTACGCCGCACTCCTCGAACAGCAGAACACCACATCCCGCCAAGTAAGTGCATATTGCCTGTTCCTTGATATCTGATTGTGGTCTGATATGGTCATACTAACATTTTTCCTTCGCCAGAATGCATCTTATGGTATGTCGTTACCGAACCCCCATCGATCTCAGTTTCCGAATCGACCATCATAATCACACGACACTCTGAACATCTCACTAACTGCGTCTCAAGTACACCCTCGGTCCCGATGGCAAGCGCGTCTACACCTTGAAGAAGGTTGTTGACGGCAAGGTCTCCAAGTCTGCCCACCCCGCCCGTTTCTCCCCCGATGACAAGTACTCTCGGTATGTGACTTCTCCTCTCCAGGCACCTCGATGCAACAAGAGAAATTGGATGCAGAACTAACATCATTGGTTTTTAGTCACCGTGTCACCCTGAAGAAGCGCTACAACCTTCTCCTCACTCAGCAGCCTGGTATCGTCATCTCCTCGTCCCGTTCTGTGCGCCAGCTACTAACGTCCGTCACAGAGAACTAAGCTTCTAGGCTTAGCTTAAAAACTTGACTGTTTGGAGGGATGGACTGAACGGTATCGGTCCGATTCGGCGCACGGTGTTATTTCTTCGGTCTGCGGACGACTGAATCGCATTGCTTTGGATTTTTACAAGATCTACGGATTGAGTCTCATATTGAATACCAATCGAAAACATATTGAGAATTTTCCATTCCTGGCCCTCTATATAACTGCTATCTAGTATGTGCAAAGAACTACCGTAGATCGCATCGTGGCAGAAGTTCCAATGACTTTTTGTTGTGCATATATCCCAAACTCCAGCCCATGTAATACGTAATGCAAATATCGTTCATGGCATTCAGCGCTTGCGCGAGTTGACGTTCCGGCCAGCACCAACCTTGGTGCGTCCACCTTGTCTGTTGCGCTCGCCAGTCAAAATACCGGGGAGGTAGTCCTCGTCCATGAGGTCATGCTGGCGGCGTTGGCGACGCTCCTCCTCAGCGTTCGCCCGAGTAAACTCCTTCTGATCCTCGGCAAGGACAAGGTCTCTGCCCCATCCACCCTTTCCAGCGCCTCCCTTCCATTTGCCATTGGCAGTTCCTGCAGTGGGCTTGGGAATACTGTACACATTACCACGGTTGTTCCACTGCATGTTCTTCTTCAGATGCATGGTGAACTGGCCGTTGGCGGTGGTTGTGCAAGAGACACGGGTCAAAGTATCTTTACCACAGCGAGGGCAAAACTGCTTGCTCATATCCTTGGTGGTAAGGAAGCAGCCGTGGCAGCGCTTGATAAAGGTTCTCAGATGCTGGATTCTCTGAAGAGTGGTAGTCGACAGAAGGTTGAGGTTCATCTGTAGGAGGACGTTTTGGCACTGTATCCAAATTAGAGGGTGCACTTGCAAATGAAGGTGTATACACTTACCGCAAAATCAGTAGTCATAGTTGCGACCTGCATGACCTTAACCTCACTACCGGCTGTCACACCACTGCCATCGTCGCGGGCCAGCCGCTTCTTGTAATTGGTGGGTGTGATCCATTCTCCGCCATCCGAGTCCGCGGCATCATCCTCGTTTGTGTCGAGGTCAACATCCTCTTCATCCTCTTCCACTCCGTTCTCCTCGATCTCGACGGGGTTTTCATTAACTGCACCGGTCTCTTCGGGGTTTGTGACTTCGGCGTTCTCTGCAAGAGTAGCCTCTTGGACGCCCTCGGTGATTGCCTCCACATCCTTGGACTCAGCATCGTCCTTGGGCTCCTCCTCCTCCTCCTCCGACTTGGGTTCTTCCTCCTTCACAGGTGCAGGTGGCGCACCATTCACGCGCTTCTGGCCGGGAACGCTACGCAAGCGCCAGTCGCCTCCATTGCGCTCACACTCAATCTCGTAGGCGAGCGCGAGAACTTCAATATCGTTTCGGCTCAGCACAGATCGGTCACCAGTCTTCCTTGCGAATTCGCTAACAATGTTGAAACTGTTCGGGTTCGGGGTGCGCTGCTTGAGGAAAGGAAGGTAGAGAGTTTCGATACGGGCGCGGGCGTCGGGATCGCGAATCTCGCTCACCACAGCGGGGGTGGTGATAATCTCATCGCATTGAGCGAGCAGGGTAGAAAGCGGCGGGGAATTTTTGATGATGGGGCCGGCGTCCAACACGATTGTGTGGATGGACTTGGGCGGCGATGACGCGGATTCCGCCATTTTGATCTCGGTCTGAGAATCACGCAAGGGGTATTTCGCAGGTGAATTTCAACTAGCGAAAAGGAGGGACTTTCAAGTTCGTGGGTTTCTCACAAGGTGGTGCAGAAAGGAAATTTCTCGGATGTTGGCCTGTGCGCGGTTCTTTATCTTATCGTCACCCTATGCCCCGCCATTCCATTGGGCATTGGGCATTACTACTACTATTCACTTGGACAAGTCGATCTTGGTTGGAATGATGCAGGGGAAAACTGGCGTTTCTTCTTATTTTCATGTCAAGCAGGTCACTGAATCAACCGTTCATTCCATAGCTCAGGTCTACATGAGCTCACTGAGAGCAGGTGATCAAGTTGCAGTAGGCTCTGTATGCACTGCATATACTTCATGTCGTGATGCAAGATGCAATTTCACACTTAGAATTCTCGTGGGTGACAGGACTAACCATAGAAGCAGAATGTAATATCGTCACACCGACTCAACTCCATAGTGCGATTACATGCAGCTGCCATTGTCTGGACAGGTGAGGTTTTTCCAAGACTATACGGTTGCAATACCGACCAGACCTGAATGTTCCTTGGAAGGTGACCTAAAGTCGAGAATTTTCTTTCCAAGGGCACTTTGTACACAACAGTATCCCTTTGTGCCAAGTTACTGTAATGACAGTCAGGGTTTACTTTTTGTCAATATAATAGACAAATACTCGGACTTTTTTCATGCTTCCAAGCTTCCAAGGTTAGTAGAAACGGATCAAGTTAGGTTCCAAACACAAGACACCCCGGACTGTATTTCAGTTCTAACCGTCCCTGTTAACCTTTCCCACGCGTCTCCTGCAAACCCTTCAGGGCGCATGTTAATAACCGCCAAATACGAGTTACACGGGAGAGCCTGCATTCCTAGGCCTCAATCGCAACAAAGTATTGCCAATCCATCTGCAAGGGGATACAAGGTTGGTATTCCGGTCAATCTGCATCGGATAGCTGCAAAGTTGTGTGGCTAAATGTGATATGTCATATGTTGAAATACCATGTCATCCGGCTTGCTAGGTCGCATAGAGATGCATACGAAGTAGCGTATTGGGGTTCGTCATTCCACATCCATATGCTCTTCGTGGGAATAGCATTATCGATATCATTATGACTACAATAAAACCCGCCAGATAATAAAACACTGCTACAAGAAGTATTATGAACCTAATCGTAGCCTAGCAATCGATAAATACGTCCTTAATGAACGCAAGCAAAAAGGCAAGCACTAAGCCCATCGACAAAGTAGTATACAAAATGCTGTAGAAATTATCAATAGTGGATATATTTTCCCATTTCAAGTTCTTCAGCGGTTCTTTGTATGAGATGTGCCAAATAAATGAGCCACCTTGAACAAAAGGCCTGCCTTTTTTGTATTGATCACCATGAAGATAGGACATATTGGGAGACCGCAAATCTTCAAATGACAGAGATCCCATATTTTCGAAACACTTTAGAGGACTTCGAGTCATAAGGGAGTTATCAATCCATTTCGGGAAGGATTGAGTGGAAGTATGACATGTGTGAACTTTCCATCGAGGATCCTCTCTGTCAAGGCCAGGGCCGAGGTTAACCCACCTTGTCATGACGAGGGCAATTTTGCAACTTGAATCAAGCATGCAGATTTCGATCAAAGAAACTGTATAGCATTTATGACAGATGTAAAAGACGAAGGCTTGTTTTCCATCATACATATCGTCTAGATCAGAGGCTCTGCCTTTGAGTGAGGTGTGTCTGCAGATTTCAAAGTACCGAAAAGGATTTGATGTTGAATCAATCTTCGAATCTTCCCATATTCTGAAAAGTATTATATCCTGCATCCGTATATAAACTCCAAGGGGGCTAGGACATCATCGTGCCTCGATCGAAAATAGTGTTATATAATGTATGGATAGATCAATCGACATTTTTGATCTTGCCAAGGATGGGAGTAGTGGCGGACTTGTGTGAATGATAAAGATTCAGTGCTGATGCCAGCATGTAGACCATACCAGAACCTTCTCATTGCAAGCTTAATTTGGAGGAAGGAGATGCGATTCCTTGAATGAGAGTATACAAAATGTGTTCTCATACTAATCGATGAACCTTGATATTGCTCTGCTCGCCAGTCATACCCTTTCCTATCACAAGGAAGCCGGCAAGTTTTGTCTTTAGCTAACCACTAAGCCCAAAGCTCTCAGATCCATCGTACAGGTGTAGGATATTACAAATATCACACGCAAAGTATTATGGGAGATCTTCTTCCATTCGGGCTAAGATTGAAAACTTGTCAGATCTGAGAGGACGCAATCGAGGATATGCCTGGAAGAGCGCATGGAGTTGATGATTGCAGAGGCAAAGGCAAACGAGATCGACAGGTGGAAGTAAACCATATATTTGCAGTAATAACTCCAGAGGGAGCCCAGGTAGTATATGAGGCTTCATGGTAATTGTAAGCCAGCGGTTGTACACCTTCAAGTACCAAAATGTTAGAGATAATGGCAGTGATGATGAAGGTTATGGTCAAGACAATGGTTGTGGATCGGTTCAGAAGAACGCGGGAGAAGATAAGGTGATGGATATATGACGGATTTGATTAGGTACCACGCCTACTAACCTTGGGAACTAGTTAGTAGGTAGCAGGTAGGTACTGAGATTGCTAACTAGAAAGATTCAACCACGGAACTATAGTGCTCTGATTAAATTTGGAATTAGACACGATCTGGACACTCTCAATTGGAGTTTTCGGTATGAGACACTATTGCTGAGGCTGGCTAGTGACTTTTTCGGTAAGTTACCCTGGGGCTCCGCTTCAAAGTAACCCGTTCTTAGCAGAAAATGCGGCTTGACAAGGTGTCTTGTGATAGAATAAGAGATGGGGCTACGATCACGGACGACCAGGCCTGCGAACCTTTGAGGCCTGTGATCAGTGTCAAGCACCGATATTTCTCCTTGTAAAATCTCCTTAACCTAGAACAGAGTCGAATGACCAGAATGCCAATCCCCACGCTTTTCTAACATTGTTCGTTCCAATCGGCTGTCTCCGAGGCCCGACCCTAAATTGAAATTGAATGACACGGAGAATTCTATTATTGAATGGAAACGCGGAAATTGGGTCGCCCCTTACACTGAAGGTTCAATGCCCCTGAGCTTAACGAGCGCCCTAACTTTCAAGACAGAAGCTATCCTATAATTGACCTAAGGGATGCAAATATGTTTGTCGTTAATCCCACCACCGACAGCTCCAATTCATATTGTCTGGAATTGAAAAAAGTTAATGCCACAATAAAATCTTCCCCGCGTTGTGATCTCTCCGGTAGCACCAAGAGGTATGAAGAACGAAGATGCGAGCTGAAGGCGTGTCGATCGCTAGTGATCTGCGCTTTTTGTGATAGATCGGATAGCTGCTTCTCGGGCCTCGCGCCCATTTGACATCCGCTATTCTTCTCCGTTTTCCGAAACCTCATGCAGTGTGGCCACCCTGCCAAAATATGTAGGAACGGGCCTCTAATAAGGCTAAATTTGCGGGCCGATGCTAGCTACATTGCTTAACGTCACCATGCGATTCGAGCGACCAATGGAGATGTCCAGATGGCTTGTCGACCTCGATGATGTAAAAGCTAGAGACCCTCCTATTCAATGGGACTCGATAAAGCAAATCGAAGAAGCCGGTTTTCATTTTGATGACTGGCAGGAGAAATCGCGAATGCTTCTTTGGTGTTACTTTAGTCCAAAATCAGGATTGGATCGATGTATCTTGTCGATTTGAAGATGGCAATGCAGAAATTCACATGATCTTTGCACATTAACCCTTTCAAGAAAACATCGGAGTACAACTTTCGTCCGTACGCCTTCGGGCTCTGCTTAAGTTTCGAATCCGCAGATCTCCGTCCGGGAGCCGCAGTGGGATCTAATCGATACATCGGACCGAGTATCCGGTGTACATGCGCGCAGGACTGATCACGCTGATGGTCTGAAATCTCATTCTGTTTTAATGAAGATGGAAAAGGGATGAGCATTCTGTTCAGCTTTCACATTCAATTGTCTCCGGATATAGATCAAAGGTTAGCTGTGCTTGGCAGTAGATTTATATACGTTCCCGATGTAGAGATCAGCTCATTGGGGTATTATCTACAGAGAAATGGGCCAAGTCGCAATAGAAAAAGCGAAGACATGGCGCATTCCACAGAATAGTAAAGGAAAGGTGTCTCAAGCGAACAGAAGTTTCTTTTGTGGGATTTACGCAAGTATTAACTACCACTGGGGCAAATTAAAGCTCTAATTCGTTGTATGCAGCCCCTTGCGCAGATGATGCACCTTGCCCTCCTTCGATCCGAGTCCCTTTCTTGCATCTGGGGCAATCGTTCCAGATAGACATCGATAAATTAAGCAGGGATATCTCTGCGCTCCTCCTTCACCCAGGGAGACGAGACTAGCGGATTTAGACCCCAACCGTCACTGTGCCTTTGCATTTGGTTGTATTGTTTATTGGCCTGGACCCGCTGTTCTTGTCACATTGGAAGACGAGATTGAATAGTGTGCGTTATATGAAAGGAAAGATCCTCAGCACTCCCCTCCTTTCCCTCCTTTCCCCGGGGTTTGAATTTGCGCCCTCTTAACGCTCGCTTAACATACCACCTTCGTCACCCCGCTCGTCCAAAATCCATTGCAACCAAATCATTGGTCTTCATTGGGATTTACAAGACCTCTTCGCACACCCCAACTGATTGGGATCGCATCAAACATACAAATTGAGAAACTGCTCTTTGGTTTCCATCGACGATGGATATCATTGGCCTTGACGATGGCATTTTCAAGCGGGATGTTGGTGGTGATATCTACCTGTCTTCACGGGGAACTCAAGGCTTGGTGGTAAGCGTTGTATTCACATCATTGGCTACAGCTTTCGTGGGGATTCGAATCTATACCAGACTCAAGTTCTTGCGAACCTTAGAAGCCAATGACTGGATGGTGATCATCGCATTGGTATGATTATTCTAAATTCTAAAAACGTCAAACATCCGCTAAAAGCGTCCTTAAGGTCAACTCGTTCGTCTTCATGGGACTCGACATTGTCGAGGCTACCAGCGGGATGGGAATGCATCTCAAGGATATCCCTCCTCATATTCTCGTGAGACAGTTAAAGGTGGGAGACATTATTCTCAAAACTTTCAAGCCTCAATTCTAATTGCTCTCCATCAGGCATTCTGGCTCACTATTCCCTTCTATAATGCCGCCGTCCTCTGCGCGAAAGCCTCGATCCTCATGCAATATTTCCGAGTATTCCCCACAAAGCGCATGCGTCTTATCTGCTGGATCATGATAACAATTTTGGCTCTCTATGGTACCTGGGCTGTGATCAGTGCATTTTTGAATTGTATTCCAGTTGCTAAATTCTGGGATCCTACTATCGAGGGGTTCTGCTTGAACAAACCTGCATTGTGGTTCTCCAATGCTGCCATGCATATCACCACTGATATAGCAATTCTTATTATCCCGATCCCTGCCCTGGCATCGATTGATGTTCCTAGGAGGCAAAAAATCGCATTGATGCTGATGTTTGCCCTGGGTGGATTGTGAGTATTTTCATACGTGACTTTCGAAGCATCGAATGAATTGCTAACAGAGATTGTCCAGCGTGTGCATCACGAGCATCGTTCGTCTCGTCAGTCTCAAAAAGATATCCGATTCCCTGGATCCTACCTGTAGGCAGCAGTCCCTTCTCCAAACGAAAATCAAGTGGCCGACTAACCATATTACTAGATGATAATGTGGGCGCCGCATCTTGGTCCGCCATAGAGTGCAATACCGGTATCATCTGCGCTTGTCTTCCGACTCTAAAACCACTCATTTCCAAAATCATCCCTGGCTTGATCTCAACCCTCAGTGGAAACCGCTACGGCACAGGCCAGTCGACAACTCGCCGCGGCACCTGGAACGATCAGTCGACTATCGGTGCACCCGTCGAAGACCCTGAGTACGGATCGGGCGATCCAGAGCGTGTTTTGTCGTTCGGCCCTAGTGGAGGGTTGAAGTATGGAGAAGCCGTGGGAGCCAAGGACGACAAGCTCCAGGTGATTGATCCATCTGTTATCAACGAGCTTTCGGAGCTCCGCCACCAACAAACACCATCCATCGAGTCAATTCCTTTGAAATAATTCCATCACGCTACAACGCCAAGTCTATACCATTTAATCGTCTTCATGATGCCTTACTCCGACGGGTTATTAACATTCAAATTTTGGGCTTACCCACCCGTTTATTCGCTCTTTTCGGCCTGGTGATGATCATGCATGCTCTCAACCAGTACTTTCACTGGCAAGTTCCTTGTTAGCCTCTTCTCATATTTTTTAGTACTATTTTAGTTTACCTACTTCTAGAATACATGTTGAAACGAATATACAATTATGTTGAAAAACACAAAGGAAAGGATACATCAATAAGCCGAAAAAAAAGTTCTTATACTTCTAGCAATCATGTGTATCTTGTATCTAGATCTACGCCTCAAATCAAATCATCTTAAAAAATATACCCGACTAAAAATCAGCGAAGTCCTTGTCAACTTCCTCGAAGTAATCGAAGAAACCCTTAAACAGCTTAACGCCAAGACCAGGGTCCAGGCTTCCGGTCGTAGCACGAATACTATGCATGCTGAGCTGCGGGATACCGCAGTCAATCGCGCGCATACCAATCTGGGCACTGGTCATGGGGCCAATGGTGCCACCACTGCGCGAATCGTTCCGGATTTGGAAGACCTGCAGGGTCGAGCCACAGCGAGATGCGATGGTCTTCAGAATGCCGGAGCTAACACTGTCTGTAGTCATGTGGCCGTTGGAATCGGCCGAGACGGCAATACCGACATTAAGACGAGGGGAGTGGTTCTCCAAATATACATTCAGGAAGTTGGGGTTGACGGCGTGAATGACATCCGATGAAACCAGGAAGCTGTTGGCGACAGTTTGCGAAAGAAGGTTGGGTCCGTAGTTGTCCTTGGCAAAGCCCTCTGTAATTCTATCGATCACACTGCTCATGAAATTTGAGCGAGCTCCTTGGCGGAGCAAGCTGCCAATCTCCTCGTCGTCAAACATGCCAACCATCTTCACTGTACCGGGCGAAGTGCTGTCACTGGAAGCGATGAGGGCTTCTTGGGCAGCGTAGCAGCAGAGCTTATCGTCAATGCGACCAGCGAAGATCAGGTCCTTCTCCAATCCACCAAGCTGGGCAGGCTGAGTGTCAAAGAGCTCCAGTTCCCATTCAATAATAGAGCTGTAGTCTGTCACGCCAATCTCCTTGGAGATGATCTTGACCAGCTTCTCGGGCTGGGTAGACGCAAAGCTTCCAGCTGGGATATCACTAGCCTCAGTTGTAGCCGACTTCTCGAAGAGATCCGAGTTATCGATTCCAACGATTGGGACCATCTGGGTCTCCTCATTAAATGGGCCGTTCGCAGGTGCTCCGAAATGAGGAGCTAGAGTGGGGATACGGGCGATGGGCCAGTCGAGCTTGACCAGCTTGCTTTCAACCTTTCCAGTCTCGGGGTCGCGGACAATAACGCGACCACCGATACCAAGATCACGGTCCCACCATGTTGAGCTGAGGGCGCCGGCATAGGGAGCAACGCCGAGTTGCAGGAAACCAGCCTTTGTAGGGAGCTTGGACACGGGCTTCAGCTTCGCCGTCAGGGCATCCACATGGCCTGCCACAATGGCCACTCCATTCCCACTCTCGTACTCTGTGCCAATATTGAAAGCGATCAAGGAGCTGCCATTGCGGCTGGTGTAGAACTTGCCGCCCCGCTTGAGCTCCGAGTTCCACACCGCACGTTCAGAAAGGTATTTGTAGCCGTGTTGCTCGAGTTGGTCGGAGAAGGACTTGACAGCGTGGAAGATGGTCGGGTTGGAGGTCATGAACTCGCAGTAAGGCTTCGAGTAGTCCTCAGGTCGGACGGGGCTATCGGTCGAGACGGGAGCTGAAGCTGGAGTTGGAGTTGGGGCTGGGGGATCTCTCGCTTTGGGGATAGTAGCATCCTCGGGAAGCTGGGCATGGATATGCGAGGCCCAAGGACGATCGAGAGCAGAACCGTGTCGACGAGTCATGGTGATAGATATTGGGAGAATGGGTTGAGATGGGTGGAGGAGAAGGTGTGGAGATGGAGAATGGAGGAGTCATGAGGGGAAGTTGGAGCAGCGGAGCCGATCGGGGGGGAGGCTGGGCATTCCCTTTGCGTACCTTACGTACGGTACCTGACGTACCTGGGCTTATCGCGTGATCCTGCCGATCTGCCGCTTTTGTCCATCACAACCACAACCCAGCCCACTTGGCAACTAATCACTGTATTTGCTTTTGATGAACCTCACATTACCATCGACCGAGAAGCTTTTCAAAGTATGGAGTACTGAGATTTGAATTCTCCTCTGCAATACCGGGTACTATAATGGAACACGCAGTGCCAATCGGTGATACTATTTGGCGAACGATAACTGTACGGTCGACTCATAACTTGTTAATCTACCAAGCTGCTTTTCATCTCGATATCTTTGATCTCATATTATTGACCTTTGGTTGGCGTTTTACTCCAGCCACAGCAAGATCGACTCGTGATTTGCCTAACTGGTATCCTGCATCATTCAACCGGTAGTCACAAACCTGGAGCAAACCCCCAACCAATCTTCAATCATCACCGCACGTACGCAACTTTTGGTTTCCTGCAGAACTTAAATCGAGGCCCGGGGAAATATTTGCCTTCTCTTTGCGATCTAGTAGTACAATCTCTGCGGAACGCAAATTAATCTGGATAATATCATATCCATGCACAACTCTACTCCGCATCATTTGACCAAGCTTTCTTTCAGTAATTCCTAAAAAAAACCTGTTGACCGAAGCTTTACCTAACTACATATGGACCGGCTTCTCCGTCTGGGCGTGCGTAGAGTACACGGTACCCTATACCTGTTATTGCCAGAGTTGAGCTGCAGAATTCTTGATGTATCTTCGGCGAAAAAGCTCCGCTGAATAATCGTTTCGCATTAATATCAGAGGTAATACTAACAGCACGCCCCGCGTATCCAGGAAATATTTAGAATCATGCAGCAGCCATACTAGTACTAGCATCTGAGCTGATCCCGGCCAAAGCCTGTGACCACATCTCAGTCCTCGATATCATCGTCTCTAATGCCAGCATTGTACTACTAATATCTTAATTATCTTCCTATTGCAAAATAGCAGCACTTCAAAGCAAATCTCAACCTTGAGAAGTTTAAGAAAATGGAGTGGTGCGTATTTCTCAAGCCGCATGCGAAGCTTATGTTTCATTCAAATAGCCGAGGCCCTTCGCAATGCCGATCAATCTCCTTTTCGCAGCATTGATCTCACCAGCCAGACTTTTCTTTGCTTAATTGATGCCTTAAAATCCACCAAGGAGCTTGCATCTGACTTCCAAAAAAAGGTATATATCATTATGTCCGAAGCATATTGGGAAAGGTCAACCTCCAGGAGTGCGCGTCCTGACCTTAATTCTCTTGGCATGTGCTTGGCATCCGGTGCTTTGACAGCTGTGACGGATTCTTAGACCAATCCCAAATGACAGTTTACGCAGCTGCGGCAGCCCTAAACTCTGGGGTAGAATATCATTCGTCAGCACCTTGGCGCAATTCCCGTTGCTAGACGGAATGTGGCGTCGTAGAGCAGGGCCGCAGCGAGGAAGTATACGGCTATTATGATGGATTTGCATTATAAAAGCAATGAGAAGAATGTGTCGAAAGAGGGTTATCAAGCAAAACTGAACATTTTAATTGCAAACAAAAACAGCTTCTCTTGATTTTATTATTCCTGCTCTTTTCTGTCTCCCGCAATGCATCTCAATGCTCTATGGAAGCTGTGCCTTCTTGGCCTTTCGCTCCCTGTAGCCCTAGGCCATCCAGGTGAACACGAGGCTGAAGATGATGAAGTGACCATCATCCATAAACGCATGTTCAAGGAGAATGCTCGTCGCGGTCTTGATCAGTGCGCCAAACGCTTCGAGGAGAGCGGCTTTAATGCTCGTGCTGAAACTCGTCGTCGCGCTCTGTATGACCTTCATCGCCGCAGCCTCGCCTCCCGGGACACGGACTCCGTCCTCGACACTTCCCACTTGGTGACCGACTCGAGCATCACCGCTAGCACTGATGCTGCCGATCTGTTTACTTCCAGCTCCACCTGCGTCTTGAACCCGGAGGGTGAAGTCGGTCCATTCTATGTCCTAGGCGAGTTGGTCCGCTCGAACCTCGTCGAGGATGAGGAAGGTGTGCCAGTCATCCTGGATGTCCAGTTCGTCGACGTGACGACCTGTGACCCTATCGAGGACTTGTATTTCGACATCTGGAACTGCAACTCTACTGGTGTCTACTCTGGCGTTGTGTCGAATGGCAACGGAAACTCAAATGATGAGTCGAATATCGACGCTACTTTCTTACGAGGTATTCAGCCATCTGATAGTGATGGGGTGGTGACATTTAACACGTTGTTCCCGGGTCATTACAGCGGTCGAACTACACACCACCATGTCATTGCGCATCTTGATGTGACTGTTCTGTCGAACGGTACCATAACTGGTGGTACTGTTGCACACATTGGACAGCTTTTCTGGGATCAAGATCTCATATATGAGGTTGAGGCAGTATCTCCATACAGCACGAACACAGTTACTATCACGACTAATGCTGATGACCGAGTTTTCGCAACGGAAACCGAAGATACCACTTCTGATCCGGTGTTTAACTATGTTAAGCTAGGCGATGATCTCAGTGATGGTCTCTTGGGCTATATTACCATTGCTGTAGACACTTCTGCCACTTATGACCCAACCTATAGCTTTGTGTACACTGCTAATGGAGGTGTTGCTGAATCTGGTGGCTCAGATGAAATTGGCGGCGACGGTGGCTCTAGCAGTTCTCCTGGCGGCGGTGGTAGTGGCGGGGCTGGCGGTGGTCCATCCCAGTAAAGGTCCTAGATACTAGGCTTCAAGTTCGGGTACAAGTCGAATTCGAAGAGAGAAGCCATGTGACCTTGGAAGAAAGCGCGTGATGGTGTTGTGCGTTCAAGATTACTTCCGATGTCTAGCAGTACTAGTGTACTAGTACTCTTTCAGATATTCTATCTTATCTAGAGACCAAATGCCAATTGTTGACGAAACTTCAGACTAAAGATACGACAGACTTTGGTACCGACTATTCTAAAGGACGTAAATGATGCGATATTATCCAATCCTTCCATTTCAAAGGTTGGAGACCACCAAATGAAGGTTGATGCTGTTGAATTTCATTTCACTCTTCACCGCAATTTAGGATTTCAGTTAGGGTACCTGGGCTATCTACGAGGCCATCTATTATAAATTTGAGACCACTACCGGTAAGGTGCCAGTGTCTACAGTCACGTTGGAGCCTTCCAAGGTTGGAGTGAGATTTTGTTTTGAAGACCCCCTTCAAAGGACTAGGAGAAATACTTTGAGCAGTCGTTGCAGAAGGCTGAATAGTGTCAGTACGTAGTAGCCTGTATATATAGAGCCTCAATTCAAGATGATAGAACTTGCTAGTATTGAGTATTGATACTTGAAAAGCTTAATTGCTAAGATTATTGAAGCAATTAGAAGCATTCATATCTGCCCAGGTGTGTATAGGAGGACCGCACCTCGGAAATTTCTACTGTAGTTTCTCAAATCACAACCAATACTATGACGGTATGCTCCACCACAAGCACAAACCACACCCAGGTACATACTCACTTACTACTGCCCAGGTGTAGTACCGCTACTACATAAATCACCCACGGAGTGCAAATCATTACTACTCAAGATTAAGGATGGAATCATCAATGCCGAATTCGGGATCACCGTGCGAGCTAAAGCAGAAAGCTCGTCATAAGCCAGCCGCGCAAAAGTGGGTACATGAAGGAAGGCGAAAAGCATCCACCTCCCTTGGTCTGTATTACCCCCACAAGCCAGATGGAAATTCAGAAGCTACTTCGTACGATGCAAACCGCGCGCAATAGGACCCTGCTAGAAAAGGGTCTTTCTCGATTTCAGGATTGATTATTTACGAGGGTGTCCTCCGATTGAAATCCAAGTGACCGGTAACCTAATTCCGACAAGGGGATAGGGGTCACCTCAGTGTCGCCTCAGGCGGCTGAGCCTAAAGCCTCGCAGAGATCAAAAAAGGCAAAACTTCCCGATAATCATGGTGAGTCATCGGAGTTCCTTGCATTCCGTTCGATAGCGGGACTTGAAAGTGCAGCTGGTCCCAGCGCTGCACAAGCTCTTTTGTCTTGGCCCATGCACTGATACCGATTTGGATCTACGCAGTACATCACCCATGAATATGACCACAGCAGCCGACTATACCTGACTTGTCTTTCCTCTGTTGCATTTTATACATGATTGCACTGCGTTACATCCAGGTTGCCGGTTGAGATGGCAAGGCATTGGGTAACTCTACACAGAAACCAACCGAGCCCAGTGGAAGAAAGGTAAAAGACGGAATGGATCACCGGCCTGGTGGAGTCTGACTTGCCACCGAGCGAATTCCGTACGGAGTCGACCAATTTTGAATGACGAAACTGAGCCCACTTGGGATGCCGCGATCCGTCCTCGCCAAGACAACTTCCCGTGGAATTGGATGCGGATTTTCAGTAGGGCAGAGATTTTAATGGAGAGGAGAATGAAGAGGATCCCAGGTTCTCGTAGCGAGTGATCCGACCTTCGGGTGTCGGGCGGGATGCGGTGGGAAAGCAAAAAGAAAGGAGCAACCACTGATTGATAAGAATTTGCTGGATGTGGGGAGGGGGCGGCAGCCAAGAGGAACGATGAGCAGCCAATCGCCCACAATGATTTCGCAGGCAAAAGGTGGTCCGTGTCTCCAGCCGAGCAAAGAAGAATTAGCTCACAGCATCATCGAGAGTATTGTAGAACATGAGGGCGTGGATCGCCGTCGTCCGGATTGCCTAACAAAGTAGGGGGGGTTTGTAGGGGAAGCGGACTAGCGCCATCAGATAAGATTCCCCCGAGAACGGCGTAGGGTTTATGGGACTCTGGGACTCGGTGGGAACACAGAGTTCCCAAAACCCCGTCGATCCATACCTTTCACCGACTACTGGGGCCTGGAAAAGACCTTTGGCGCAGGCATGGAGATGTGATTGGTGCAAGGGCCGAATCTGCTAGGTAATGGCCGAAGGAGAGTGACTTGGCCATCCACGGTCCAAGGATTAGTTACCTGGTTTGGGTTATTTGAATTTGAGCGGTATTTTCGCTTACGAGTTCTGGCAGCATGGGTAAACCTTTGCAATTATGCCCTGGGTGAGTCAATCCCTAAAACCATCTCTGTCCCTGGGTATACATTGTAGACGCGGTTAGCGAAGGGAAAACCCTACTCATTACGGGGTGAGTATTCCGGGACTTTTAGTTGAATGCGAATTTCTCTATGTAAAAACATAAATTGAACCAGAAAATAAAAGTCTAGCGTCAGCCCACTCGTCGGTCAAGCTTGCCGGCATCCACCTCCGGATCAGATAAAAAAAATTCAACTGGAGGTGGAGGGAAAGGAAGATCCGAAACCGGCATCATGTGCATCATGTGAGAGGAGGGCAATCTAATCTGATCATCGCTCTCTCTCTCTCTCTTTTCTCTTCCCACATTCCCTCCGACGCCCTTTGCTTACTTCTTTTTCTTTTTTTTCCAGCCCTATTGAACCTTTTGATCCTTCCCATTCGATTTGGATTGGATTAATTGTTTCCTAACTCTTCCCCCTCTCTCTGCTCCCTCAATTCTAAACTCGCTCTCGCTTATCGGCTCGCATGAGCGCACTTCCGCTCTTCCGACCGAAAGACGGCTCGTGCGTTTCCCCCGAACCAACCCGAAACTTGTCAACTCCCCCTCAAACTGGACCATGCCTGCTAACCCTGACTACGTTCTCAGTTCCTACTGCTTGAAGTGAATTCAAGTATCATGGCCTCACCCGGCGTGGCTCTCACGCCTTTGGCCACTGGTCCCCAGGCCCTTGCGCCCGCCCTGGTAGCCAGGCCTTCTGTAGCTCCCTCACCGGGCCCTGGTACTCCCGGATCGGTGACCTCGAAGGAATGGGTGATTCCCCCCACGCCCCAAACCTGGTCGTAAGCCGGCCACCGACACTCCTCCGACCAAGCGCAAGGCTCAGAATCGTGCTGCCCAGCGTGCCTTCCGGGAACGCAGGGCTGCTCGAGTCCAAGAGCTCGAGGAGGAGATTAAAGAGATCACGGATGGCCACGACATCCGCGTCGCGGGGCTCAGTGAGCAGATCACCAACCTCTCCCAGGAAGTCGAGCAATGCCGCGAAGAGATGGGCTGGTGGCGCGACCGATGCCACTCGCTAGAGAAGGAAGTTTCGATCGAACGCAGCGCAAAGGAAGCTCTCGTCAAGGAATTCCGGACTTCCTTCTCCGCATCGAGCAGCAACAAATCCCCCGCCATCCCCGACTCAGTGCCGCTGCCACCTCGCACACGCCCCTCGACTCGAAGCTCTCGCATGGAAGGTGTTGTTTCTACAAGTGCCGACCGTAACAAAGAAGACGGTCAGCAAAATGTGCCTCTCGGCTGCACCGACTGCTCCCAGGCTCACTGCCAGTGCATTGAGGATGCCTTTGGTACCCCGATTGATACACATGAATCATCTCGTTCTCGACACCCTCCTCATGGTGTCGGCAGCCCCGAACGTGAGAACACCGAGCCGGAGATCAAGCCTGATCCGGAGGAGATGGAGATCGATTTTACTTCTCGCTTCGCAGCCGTGCCTGCTCAACCCACCTCTCACAGCAATCATCACCATGACATTGAAGCAGCCTCACCTCCAGTCGACCCTTGTGGATTCTGTCAGGATGGCACGCCATGCATCTGTGCCGAAATGGCCGCCCAGGAGCAGCAGCAACAGCAGCAACAGCGCGGCCGCCGCAGTTCCTTCGAGAACCCTCGACTCGCACCCATCCAGTCCATCTCTCAGTTTACACCACCGCCTTCTGAAAGCGACGTCCGCTCTGAGGTGGTCTTGCCATCCATCACCCAAGCCACCAACCCATGTGCCAACGGACCAGGCACCTGCGCCCAATGCCAAGCTGATCCTCGAAGCACCCTTTTTTGCAAGACGCTGGCAGCCTCCCGGTCAGCGAGCGGAACTCCATCGGGAGGAGGATGTTGCGGCGGCAAGGGAGCCAGCGGAGGCGGATGCTGCATGTCTCGAAATGCCCCCACCACCCCGACCACGCGTAACAACCCCTCCATGCCTGCGCAACCTCCCCCATCCAAGCCCTCTACGCCCAATGCACTCACCCTGAGCTGCGCCGATGCCTTTACAACACTATCCCGCCACCCAAACTTCTCCCGTGCCAGTGATGATATCTCCACCTGGCTACCCAAGCTGCACACGCTCCCAAACCCGCAAGAGCTCGCGCTGGCGGAGAGTCGGGGCGGCCGCGCCGCATTGGAGGTCGAAGCTGCTAGCGTCATGGGCGTGCTTCGTTACTTTGACCGGCGGTTTGCCGAAAAATAAACAAGGATCGGATTCATGCTCTCCATCCTCCTGTCTTCTTTCTTTTCTGCATCGGGCTTTTGTTTTTTTTTTAACCTTCTTCGGGAGGGCATTTTGATACCCACTCCCCCGATTGCTCCATCCATGTACCACCATACGGTCTACATTTCCATCATCGTTCGCCAGACTACAACATGTTACTCATATTTATTAATGAGTTTAGAATCAGTCTGGTGGAAAATGTCTCCCCCGCCTCCTTTATCCCCCCCCTCTCCAAAAAGCACACATTTTTACTTCGCCCCTCCTAGCGCCCAGTCTCTGCAATAGCGGCAGTGATCTTGGGAACATGGAGTCTCCCGACCGATATGAACATGGTCCGTGGTTGGTTTATGTGGGCACACACGCACCCTTTTTTATTTGTTAGCTATTCCGCGTCTGCGGTCCTGTCCAACTCTCCACTAGACGGATTGACCTTATCTTGGCGTTGATGTTACATTTTATGGCTATGTACACCGCGTTTTTTTCTGATGAATGGAATGATCTCTTTAGCGCTATTTTCAGACACTGAATCGTGAATTTTGCATCATAGTAGTATCCATTCCACGTTTCAAGTTGGAAAAAGTGGATGGTTCGGGTGGAAAGATCTCGAGTACTAAGCTTTGTAAATAGCATCCATCTGAATATTATGCCAAGACTCAGGATAAAGGGAAATGTGATTTAGGAAAGGGAAAGAGATTATTTGAAATTGCTATGTGGTGGTTTTATACAGGGCGCGGAAAGCAAAGCAAAACGACGCCGATCGCCAAGCCCCTGAACCCATTCCCTGGGGTATACGGTGTGAGCAGAGGGAGGAGGGGAGAGTCGAGATAAGAACATGAGTAGCGTGAGATATGGTATGTATCCGAGGGAATCAAAACTAAAGTCGACCTGACCTGTGGGGGAAAGAAACGGAAGAAGAGCAACATGTGAGGAATGGATTTTTTCCAACATCAGATGATCATTCACGATTTTCTTTTACCGCGATGGATGATGCAATTAGAATCGGCCACCGCTGTCCCGTCCATGGCCACCTCGTAGGGTGACTTCCTCCTCGCTGCCGCCAGCGACTCCGCCGAGAAGGTTGGCGCCCCAAATACCAGCGACACCCCACATGCCTACGCGCCAGCCGCGGTATAGACCCTGGATACCCTGGCCCTGGCGACGGTTCTGCAGCTGAGCCTGCGAGTTTGGTTTGGCGAAGATCTGACGAGCCCGTTCGGTATCTGACGGGTCGGAGCTGACGCCCTCCTCGTTCACGATATGCCACATCGTACCGACGATACCGCGATATGTGCGCGGGGTAGGTACGATGGTCTCCACGTCCGAGGCATCGATTGAGGCAGCGCTGATGCTGCCTCCGGAAGACTTCTGGCGCAGACTGAGGGATGTGTAGCTTGCGATCTGGGCGCGGCGCAGAACGGTCTCGAGGGGGAAACGCACGGCGAGCTCGAGGCCGGAGCTGACGAAACTAAGGAGGTTCCACAGGGACGGGTTCAGGATTGGGTCAATTGACATATATGATTTAAGAATGAGTGGGGTCGAGGTGGTGATAAAGGTGGGCAGGCTGGAGTGGAGAATGGTGATTGGGACAAGGTGTGGCGGAATGGTGCAATTAGGGGTGGGGAGTTGGCGGATGGCGCGGATGAGGGATCGAGGGCCGTGAGTCGCGGGTGTGAGCATTAAGAAGGTACGGGCGGTATCGATTGGGGACAGGATCATTGCGGAGAGGGATGAGGAGACGAATGATATGAGCAGCGTGGCGAGCGGCGAGGACGCGTGCAGGATATCTGCTGCCATGGACGACGAGATGTCCTCCTCCGGCAGGCCGACGATAGCAGAGAGAAGACTGCGAATGAAGGTGTTCAATGTCGGGAGAAGTAGCGAGTAGATGAAGGTCGCGTTAGAAGACTTCCACGGGGAGCTGGGTCCGTTGTTAGTCCACAGCTGGGACAGAACGTCCATCAAGGACTCTGGATTCCGAATTGCCAGGGCATGCTTGGACGGAGTTGGTGGTGTAGTGTCTGCACGAATGTAACCACTGCGATCGGTGATATGACGCCGACCCCCCCTGCGAGAGCGTGGCGTGGTGGGTGTCGGAGTTGATGGAGCGGCAGAGGTGAAATAAGTGCTTTCATCGTCGGATGATTCTGAGCCCTGTAGATGAAGCTATCAGTGTCCGGTTCGAGGGATCAGCTTGCCTAAACACCGAAGAAGATATAATCCTACCGATTCATACGAGCTGCTTCCAGCTCCTCCGGCCTCCGAGCTTCGGTTCACGACCTCCTCAATGACGTCTGGCACGACATAGACCTGTAAGATGGTTTTGGCGACATCGAATGGCTGCGCGACTAGCACTTGGCTGTAGCGTCTTAAGGCCGAGTTTAAAGCATCGCGAACCCAGTCAGACACGGAGGGCGAGGCGTCTAAATAGTCGGCATAATCGAGATCGGGGATGAGGTCGCGGGCGGTACTCCCGAATACCTGAGCTGACGAGGGAGAGCTGACTTCGGTGGGGGCACTGGATGGTGAAAGACCCGACTGAGGGATATAGTATGGTCGCAAGGGATTAATCCCTTCACGGGATGCCATGGTGAGATGGAGGGGTTATGGGGGAATATATCGAAGATCGAAGATCGAAAGAAAAGAGCTCTCGGAGAAAGGGAGGGGAGTTCCGAGGCCGACTTTGGCTTTGTCAGTTCTTTTTTTTTTTCGTCGACGGTCATTGGACGATGACTCCCTCTCCTTCTCTCTTTCTCTCTCCGCCCCAGGTCTTTTTCCCGTGACTCTCGTTCCCGTGCTTTCCTTTCCTTTCTTTTCCCTTTATTTACTTCACTTCTCACCTTTGCATTTTTACACAATGACCCTCTGGCGAGAGTTCGGTCTCCAATTGCGGCGCGCCTTGCCAAAGGCCACCGCTGGCGATATGTGCCTGGCTCAATCGCGGAGATACGTCAGTCATTCGGCAACGCCGTGGAGAACCGGAGAAGTCGCAAACACACACCGGTGGGGTCTGGGTACACACAAGGGTCTGCGCCCTTCTTCGCAAGGGCGGAAGACAGCTCAGCGATGCTTTTCGGCCTCGGCGCAAGCAGCCCACGGTCATATTACACCACCGAAGCCTGGCGAGGAGTGAGTTCAAGGCCTCCCCCAATGACTCGGATTGGGCGTTGTCGGCATTGTGTCTAACGAAAGTGAATTCCCAGGATCAATGTCACCTTCATCGACAAGGATGGTGCTGAGGTCAAGCTTCAAGTTGCCGAGGGCGACAATCTCCTAGATGTTGCCCAGGCGAATGATCTGGAGATGGAAGGTATGTGCTCTTGATATTTCTGATAGCACATCACGATGTTATGTGATGTCGCCGTGACTAACGCCTTCCTTGTACTCTAGGCGCTTGCGGTGGCTCATGTGCCTGCTCGACCTGCCATATCATCATTGATGAACCCGATATGTTCGACAAGATGGAGGAACCCTCAGACGATGAAAATGATATGTTAGATCTGGCTTTCGGTCTGACCGAGACCTCGCGACTGGGATGCCAGGTGATCATGAGCAAAGACCTGGATGGACTGGTGGTACGCTTGCCGACGATGACGCGGAACCTTCAGGCAAGCGACTTCGAGCAAAAGTGAGGCGGAATGGAATTAAAGAAATAATTTATGAGGGCGGGGTCGGCATCCGTGAAGTAGACCTTCATGGGACAGGAACTTGAAGACGATGTATTAGTCCTAAGGGACCTTGTATTATTTTTTTGCATTGGACACGTCCAGCAGACTTGAGGATACCGAATTGAAAATCTCCTGTACCATTTATAAAGAAAAAGTGTCCAAAAAAATGAAAGATAATATGAAAAACAAAGTGGAATCACAAAGTGGAATCAGAACGTGGAATATCGATGTACAATGTGAAGAAAGCAAGGATACAGAATCTCCCAACGCCACAAACATGCCATGGATAATCATAGAGCTTTTTTGAATTTTGGTCTAAGCCTCCTCAATATTGAGAGGCTTGCCCTTGCCATTGATCAGATCAAGGAATCCTTGCTTGCTGACTTCGTTGACGGCCTTCTCGCGTTCTCCAATACCAATGGTTCCCTTCTTGCGCTCGTCCTTGGCGGCTTCCTCACCCCGAACTTGAGCCGCCCGGACAGCGTTGAACAGCTTGACCACACCTCGCTGTGACATCTTGCGCAATCGCTTCTCATCTTCCGCAACAGCTCCAGTCATTCCTCGCTTGATTCCCATGACATCGCGGATACGGCCCCGATCCATCTCCTCCTTCTTCTCGGCGCGCATCTTCGCCCGCGCTTGCTTGTCAAGTTTCTCATTGACGAAGTCATCTGTGGCCTGTTGAGCATTTCTGCTGCGAGATAGGACAGGATCGGCGCGAGCAGAGGAGGGGAGTTTGGTAGAAAGAATTTTAGAAATGGAGGTCGAGAAGGCGGTTGGGTCGTTTCGTTTGGAGACAACACGTCGTTTCTTTCCGCCTTCCTCTGCTGATGAGTCGGAAAGATTTCCATCTTCGTCAGATCCAGAAGCATCGTTGTCTTCATTGTCGTTTTCGGTCTGGTTATCGCCCTCGTCCTCATTGGCGCTGGAGGCTTCATCGTCTTTGGCCGGTTTCGATTTCTTTTGCGGCTTGGATTTGGCATCGGTCTTCGTTTTCTTGGGGGCGGGCTTGACAGCAGCCTTTTTGGTGATGGAAACTCCACCATCCTCCTCTTCGTCTGAATCGGCGAGGTTCACAGCCTTGAAATCTCCATCATCTTGCTCATCTTCCGAGCTACTGTGGTAGGCGGACTGCTTGCGGAACTTCTTGGGGCGAGAGGTCTTGCCTCGCATACCCTCATTGACCTTGCGCTTCTTGGAGTAAGAGCCGACCATTGTGAAGAATCCAATGGCAATTGAATGCTGTTGGAAAGAAGAGTGTAAAATGTAAAATGTAAAAAGGCCGCGGCGCATCAACGAGTGAACCAACTTTTTTTTTGGGCGGTGAGAGCCACCCGCTCTCCGATTGGCACTCCGCACTCGGGGCCCTTTCCCCCCTCCACACCCACACCCATCTTCGGTTTGGCTGTGAACACATCTCCCATCTTCCAGCTTCCAGTTTGATATTCATTCGCCTTCACTATGGTCCTCCAGGATCTAGGGCGGCGCATTAACTCCGCCGTCAATGATTTGACGAGATCCAATAACCTCGATGAGAAGGTATGCGATATACACGAACCATTGTGTGTGGCGGATTCCCCAAACTAACTGACCACCTTCTCTCCAGGCCTTCGATGACATGCTCAAGGAGATCTGCGCGGCTCTCCTATCTGCCGATGTCAACGTGAAACTCGTACAAACACTCCGCAAATCGATCAAGTCCAGCGTGAACTTCTCGCAGATCCCGGCCGCCACCAACAAGAAGCGCCTCATCCAGAAGACCGTTTTCGATGAACTCGTTGCACTCGTTGATCCTCATGCCGACTCCTTCCGGCCTAAGAAGGGCCGCTCCAATGTCATCATGTTCGTTGGTCTGCAGGGTGCCGGTAAGACGACCACTTGTACCAAGCTTGCTCGTCACTACCAAACCCGTGGCTTCAAGACAGCGTTGGTCTGCGCGGATACCTTCCGTGCTGGTGCTTTCGATCAGCTGAAGCAGAACGCCACCAAGGCCAAGATTCCTTACTATGGTAGTTTGACCCAGACCGATCCCGCTGTCGTGGCTGCCGAGGGTGTTGCCAAGTTCAAGAAGGAGCGATTTGATATTATCATTGTCGATACCAGTGGTCGTCACCGTCAAGAAGAGGAGCTTTTCACGGAAATGACCCAAATTCAGGACGCTGTCACTCCGGACCAGACTATCTTGGTTCTCGACAGTACGATTGGTCAGGCTGCCGAGGGCCAGTCGTCTGCTTTCAAGGCTACTGCAGACTTCGGTGCTATCATCATCACAAAGACGGATGGCCACGCTGCAGGTGGTGGTGCCATCTCCGCTGTTGCTGCGACCCACACTCCTATCATTTTCCTGGGAACCGGTGAACACATGATGGACTTGGAACGTTTCGAGCCTCGCGCATTCGTCCAGAAGTTGTTGGGCATGGGTGATGTTGCCGGTCTGGTCGAGCACGTCCAAGCTATTACCAAGGATTCTGCCGGTGCCAAGGAGACCTATAAGCATATCGCTGAGGGTATCTACACTGTTCGTGATTTCCGCGAAAACATCACATCCATCATGAAGATGGGCCCGCTGTCTAAGCTGTCTGGTATGATTCCGGGTTTGTCAAATTTGACCCAGGGTCTTGACGACGAGGACGGTTCTCTCAAGTTACGCCGCATGATCTATATCTTCGACAGTATGACCACTGCGGAGCTGGACAGTGATGGCAAGATGTTCACCGATAAGCCCAGCCGTATGGTGCGTATTGCACACGGTAGTGGAACTACTGTTCGCGAAGTCGAGGATCTCCTTTCTCAGCACCGCATGATGGCTGGTATGGCCAAGAAGGTCGGTGGTCAGAAGAAACAAATGCAACGCGCGCAGAACATGATGAAGGGCGGTAACAACCAGCAACAAATGGCCGCTATGCAAAAACGTATGGCTGCTATGGGTGGTGGTGGCGGTGGTGGAATGCCCGGCATGCCTGCTGGCATGGATATGGCCAAGATGATGGAAATGATGGGCGGTGGTGGTGGAGGCGGCATGCCTGATATCTCAAGTATGATGAGCCAATTGGGTGGAATGGGTGGTTTGAGCGGGTTGATGGGTGCAATGGGCGGCGGCGGCGGAAGTGGTGGTGGTGGTGGTGGACGAGGCCGCGGCGGACGGTAGTACTTGTCATTCAAGTTGCTGTGCTCGTGCCTTTACCCTGTACCACTCCTCCTCGTGGCTTGTCTATTTTGCATCTGGGCCGGTGTTTGGCGTCTGCTACTCGTACATTATTCGACTTGCAATGTGATTCATAAGATTTCATGTCGCAATGAAATTATAAGACCAAATATCTTTTATCTAGTTATAGTTACATACCAATAAATTTACTCCTCAACGAACATACATTGTGCCTCCAAGCAACATTAACTAGTTTCAGCCTTTTGAACACGCCAAATCGGAACAATATCGCACTCAGTCCACCCTCACGGTCTGCTCCACATTCCCCGATACTGCTTCATACAAAGCAGTCCCCTTATCAATCAAAAAGTGAGCAAGCTCCTCGATTCTTCCAATCAGGATCTTGACAGCAACATCCCAACTCTCTTTCACCAATTTATCCTCGACCACCTCTCCAGGAGGAAGATGAGAAATAGCTCTATCCTTCGGAGCAGCCTTCGCCCCAGCATCCCGCTCAACAGGAACACTCAGACGATACTGCCAAACAACCTCACCATCCACATACAGCGAGTACGTCAGCACAGAGCTGCGAACAGGCACAGGAGAAGGCGCAGCAAGATCGACATCAACAACATCATCGCTAATATCAACAATACCAAACTTGATATTGCCATCCGGAGCATATTTCACAGCGATATCCTCGTCGTCCGTCTGCCGGTATGACCGGATAGGAAGGTAGAACATGCTCAACGGACCAACGCTGAACTCATGAAGTCCAAACCCAGCCGTATTGGGCTGGAGTCCTTCGGACGTCAGTTCAAGCGCGGGGTCTGGAAAGCGCGTGGCGCCGAATTCGTGCCTATCACCACTGAGGAGGATGATGCGGATGCCGAGTTCACGCTCTGCACGCCACATTGCTTCAAATACAGTGCGACGCTCGTTCAAAAAGCCGCCCCATGTGTCTGTTGTGCCGACGCGCCAGTTCTTCGTGAAGGGGACGCTGGATGCGATGATTTTCCAGTACACGCCTGCTGGTTCCGGTGTCGAGAGGTAGGTTAGTAGAGACTGGAGCTGTGCGTAGCCTAGGATCGTGGAATCTTCCTGCGCGGGTTCGGAGCGGTAGGTACGAGTGTCCAGCATGAAGAATGATGCTGGGCCATTGACGAAGGAGAAGTAGGTTACATTGTCAGGGTGTGCAAATGGAGATGCTGGTACTGGTGGGTTTGCGCTGACATGGTAGTGAATGAAGGGATCGGCGGCAGCGGGATAGGGTGCTGTTTTATTGCCTTTGGACCAGTCGTTTTCAATCTCGTGATCATCAAGGGTGTGAATCCAAGGAAGATCGATGGCTGGTCCGGCCTCTGAAGTAGCGGCCCAGGACGGTGATGAGTAGATTCTCCGATATTCACTGCGGTAGTGGGACACGGATGAACCAAAGCGGAGTGGTACGTCGATATAAACGAAGTCGCCCAGGAAGAGCATGAACGCAGGGCGAAGGAGAGTGGGCAATTTCCCGATGACTTCGGTCAATTGCTCGATTCCGGGGACCCGCAAAGGGTGATTGAGGATATTATAAGGGAAATTTGGCTTTAAGCAGCTCGACGTCACGAAGGAGAGCCGACTTGCTGCTGGAGATCCTGGGCGTGCAGAGGTGATAAATGTACCCGTTTTGTTGTTGGACAGAGAGTACCGATAATGAGTCGATGGCTTCAAATTTTTCAGAGTGACCATAGCTGTAAAGTCAGTGCTGTTGTCGAGTTTATAGACAGTGCCTTCTGGAACCCATATCTCCGAAGCAGTCGTAGCAGCCTCCTGGTAAGAGACGACCACCGGCAGGTGAGTCGAGTCAGGCTCGCGAAAGAGCAGGTTGGCTGTGGTCGGAGAGACATATCCGATCCGGGAAAATGCAACCTCATCAGTGGGGTAAATCCAAAATCCTCGAAGGAGAAAGTCGAGAGTCATCAATGCTAGCACCGCATTGATCAGTACTGTCGTCCAGGTCCACACCCGCGACCGCCTGGAAGGGAGGCCTGTCAGCAGGGTTTTGAGTGCGGAGTCTCGCGGCTGGGACGCGATTGAATCTTTCGAGGTTCCTAAATATGAATTTAGCTTGAGTTTGAACTGAAGCTATCCGAAGATGCCACGTTAACTCACTGCCTGATTTCTTTCCACCCTTTTTGGGCGTGGGATTGGATGGTGGATCATCATTGAGCAGCGAGGACAATGTCCCCAAATATATGCCGAATGAGGTCAAGACAATGGGTCCAAAAGGATATCCTGGGATCTAAAACTTGTTTAGCTTACGGACAGGAAGTAGTCAAATCGGACTTGAAGCATAGGAGGCATACCCATCGCAGGAAAATGAATGCAAACAGCCGAATAGCGGCGGAGCTGATGCAGACAACCACACGGCGTAGAGATGCCATAACTTCGATTGGAACTTGAGTAACAGCTGAGCCAAAGGCTCCTTGGAGGACGGGAGATGTGCAAGGGTTCAAGTTGCAGGATGAAGCCAATGGAAAGATCAACGTTGCGTTGCTTGTTTGGTTTGCCCGCGCGGTGATTGGCGCGTCGGGAATGACGTAGTTGATCAGCTACAACTACAACTACAACTACAATTACAACTATAACTACTCCAAGTACCAATAAATTCATAAATCAATTACGTATACCCCATTCCCATGATCGAGATCCTTACGCATTGACCTCGTTTCAGCTATGCCACCTACAGTACTACTAGTACTACTCGGTTCACGCGTGATTATGAGGATGCCTGACTTTGCGTGAATGTACCAGTACTAGTACATATACATTTGCTCTTGAAGAAATTTCAAGAGTACCAATAGTACTAAGTATCGGATATTTATACAAGGTTATCTCTCCTGGTCCTTATATCATCCCGCTATTTGACAATACATCTCTACACTAACGATGACATAGACATGGCAGACAAGATAATTTCTTGATGGCCAGACCAGAGCATATCATATAGCCTTTTAAAGAATCCCAAGCAGAAGAGTCTCCTGGATCCAATCCGCGTAAGCTGCGGTACTGGTATAAACGCTAGGGTAGCCATGCTTTCCACACCCCTCACCCCAAAAAACAATTCCAACCTGCTTTTTGGAGCTCTGATCAACAAGCGGGCCACAATATCCCCCCCCCCCCAACAAGGCCCTTCGCTCCACTGGAACCAGGTACACCAGCACAAACTGACTTATCATTCACCTTGAGATTAGTTGAGTCGTAGGCTTTGAGGCAGGTCTCATGATCAACAATATCGAGGTAGACGAATCGAAGATCCGCGGTAAGATGCCCTGCACCGTGAGTAGGATATCCCCAGCCGGTGACTGAGCACTTGGCTCCTGTCTCTGGAGTGTCTTGCTCAGAAAAGGGAAGCTCTACAGCGGCGACGTTGGGCCCAAATTCGAGATTATCCTGTAATTCAAGGATGGCAATATCGTTGTCAAACGTGTCGGCATTGTAATCAGAATGCTGGGTGATCTTTGAAACTTGAAATGACTTCCCACCGGAGATGTACTTCGTGGAGCCAACTCTGACCTTGAATCGGCTCGCTATCGGCTTAAAGATGCACTGAGCAGCAGTGAGAACATGTCTGGAATCGATAATGCTTCCTCCACATTCATGTGAAGTGCCATAATAAACAGACACTTGATAAGAGAATTCTCCAGCGGCGGCGTTTGATCCGCCGACGACTCTCTTCTCAAATTGAGCCTTAACAGAAGCGGCCAGGAACGTTATTAGCAGAGACAGCTTCATGTTGAAGAGGAATGACTGAAATCTGCCTTGTCGGAAAAAATAACTGCGAGCCTTCCTTGTTTAAATACTTCACTCTCTTGTCCTTCTTCGTCCACGGATGTAGCACAACTATTGGATCATGAGGACTCGGTACCGAAACCTACTCCACTGTGGCTGCTCGTAATTATCGATCGAGGAGAAGAATTGTACTCCATATCCGTACTAGACAATCATTTTACGGATAACATTGCGCAGATCATTCCAATAGAAGACCCACCGACCTCAGCTGGGAGTACAATTTCTAAGACACACACCCTGAGATATGCGCAGGCATCGTTCGCGCGGAAGCAGGAGCAAAACGCGCCCGTTTATCATATCCTTTCTCATTTTTTGACGCGAGCTATTGCTACCGGCTTATGCTACGGAGCAAATTCCAGTTGTCTGGATCAGATATGAAAAAAGTTGTGTGGATTTATTGTCCCTTTGGCTGCATGAATCCGTGACCCACTCTTCACATCACTGTAACGTACTGTATTAAAATAGTAAGCCTTTTCACTATACAATGGTACAGCAATTGTGTTTTAATATGTTATATCTAACCACTAAAGTCAAAATGAGGCAGTGGGTAATGTGTTCATGCGGTTGGCTCAAGCAGCTCCAGGGTCGCTCAGGGCGGGGGGATCGTGAATCAGGCTGGGCCGGTCACTCTCTGAGGCGACGGTGCTACCGCCACCTTTTTTTAAAAAATCATTTAAAAAATGGTAAGTAATTGGGAGATACAAATTTCATTATCATATATCCCGTAGTAGATTTAATGATGTAACATTTTCAGGGTCGCCATCTTTTCTCATCAGATATAGACATTCATCCTAGGGTCCTAGCATTTGGCCTATGACGGAACCTACCAAATGACGGAGTACCACATTTCAGAATGGAAAGCAATACATTTTGCGGCTATGCCTAGAAAGGCCCTATCGACATGGGGCAGCAACGATCCTTATATCAGAGTTAAACTTCACTTTATGGGCTCTTCCTGCGACAATGATGGTTACCTGCCATCCAACCTCATACGTGCGGCCAATGTTATAAGTGAGGAACTCGGGGAGATGTCCTTGCCGCCAATTAGAATTCTTCCATTCGAAGCCAATCCATGCTGGTGAAGGGTCAGCCCAAAAGGTTCGCCTATATTAACCGATGGATCTTCACTGGCAGTCGAGATGGTTATAGGGGACTTCTTTTGCCTAAAGGCATGGCTTAGCCCGAGCTCCACCAGCTCCCAATAGGCGTGTGTAGCGCTTCCGCCAAATATGCCTTCTCCAATAAGGACAGTGTTTTGCTTGAGCACCATTTGAATATCGGAGACTACAACGCTTGGCATCTGGTCTTGAAGAATGTCGCTGGTTCTGTCGAGCTGAGGCCGAACCTCGACTGTGAGCTGGAAAGGCTCAGGATTATCCAGCTGAATGGCAAGTGGTGCTTTGAGAATAATACGGAAGTGGAAATCTGGCACTTTTGAAGATTCAACAAACGTTTGCATGTGCTGTCGGAATGACAGCTTCGTGTGCTCCTTGCCAGGCATCAGATGGTGGCTCTGAATATGTCCCCGGGCTTCAAAGACCTTGAGCTTAGGTTGCCCGAGTAAGGTATCTGGTGGGTGCCGCATTATAATCCTGTGGACTGCCTCACAGCTCTCGGAATGTCGGGAAGATACAGATTGGAGATGTGCAGTGATATAGTACTCAACGAAGCACATCGCCCGCTCACTAAGAGCAGGTTCTAAGGACGCAAATGTCCCCGGAAACAAATGATGACCGGGATGCTCCTGATCCAAAGGAATTAAGCTGACTCCACAATTGCGACTTGTCCTGCATGTCGAGGGCTCGAGGGGGATGCCGACTGCGAAAGGCAAGCTAAGTGGTTCATTGCTGCCCTCTGCTAAATGCAAAGCTCCTTTGAAGATAGCTCTTGGTCCGATTTTGACTAGTTGTCGAGAGTCTCGAGAATATTTTCCTTTTATTTTGATATTTGTTTTTGTGCGGCCGTATAAGGACAGTGTGATGATAGCTTCGGTGGCGAGAATGCTTCTCGATCGTACTATTCTGCCGACAATGGTATCACATGGGAGGTAGCCGTCTGGTGGAGGTTTCGAGAGAATTATTTTAAGATCATCGCCTCCCTTATCTTCGGTTGGTGGCATTTTGACCGAAGGTCACGATATTCGATAAAGGTGAGAAAGATTCTCGTGTCCGATCAGGGAAGTCGACCATTCAGCCTCAAGGACGCTAGTGTCTGGGCACAGCTTCGGGCACAGCTCTAGGGCGTAACCGAGCGGGGCATAATCTTCGAAGAGGTCAGAGATATTCTTGCTTTCTTTCAACCATACTTAGCATCTTGAAATTATGACTGCGTTTTGTACTCTGTTCGGTTCTACCAAAGACAAAACAATGGTTACACAACAAGTAAAGAGTCAGTAACTACACCTCGTTCGAAATTATCTGCAGCATGCCAGTCTAGATTCAATCTTGTAAAAAGAAGATGAAATGAAATGGAGATGGAAATGAATAAATCGAGATTCCATGATTCGGCCGATGTTACTAAAAGCAAATCAAGAGGAAAAAAAATTTGAAAGCAGATGGGAAATAAAGTAATGATAGTTTCTTCAAAGATGAACCCAAAATTGATTTATTAAGTCTCTAAGGACTTTTTGATAATCACAAAACTTGTATGACATAAAGGAGCGTATATGTGCATAAAACCGCACCAGAAGATCTGATATTAATTCACATTCAGAAGGCCAACATCAAAACCAAGTATCATCCGCCACAGTTGCAATATTGCGAATGGAAATTCCATCAGACAGTAGTCAAATTAAGCGCGGAGGGCGTGGAGAAACGGGAATTGAGTGGTATTGTTGCTTGATGTCGAGATGCATTTAAGCAGATGCGTTGGCCTCGGCATTGGCAGAAGCGTTAGCAGAAGCATCAGCGTTAGCAGAAGCATCAGCGTTCGCACTGGCGTTCGCACTGGCATTGGCGGAAGCGTTGGCGCTTGCATTGGCGGTAGCCTGGGCGTTTGCGGCAGCGGCAGCGGTAGCCTGAGCCCCGAGAGAACCACTAATTGACAGGAAGCCAGAACCTTCACCCTCACCCGAGGTACCAGTAGGGCCGGGGATCGCCCACGAGACGCTGGTGCTAGTGCTGAAAGAGGGAGAAGTGCCAGAGCCAGAGCCAGAGCCAGAGCCACCTACGCTTCCAGAAGCACCAGCGCCGCCCGAAGCAGATCCGGAACCGCCAGCACCAGCGGAGCCGCTGCCAGAAGCCCCAGCGCCAACAGAGCCCGAGTCGGAACCTTCAGCGCCCGAGGAGCCAGAGTCAGATCCAGAGGGGGAGGGTAGGCCAGAAGAACTCGCCCCGGTCGATCCAGTGCCGGAAGCACCACCTGAAGCACCGCCAGAAACACCGCCAGAGCCAGAGGCACCGCCACTCAAAGATCCGGAAGCACCGCCGGAAGCACCACCAGAGCCACCAGCAGATCCAGTTCCAGAAGCACCACCACCAAGAGAACCAGAAGCACCACCGGAGCCAGAAGCATCAGCAGATCCAGTACCAGAGGCACCGCCGCTAAGAGATCCAGAGGCACCGCCAGAAGCACCACCAGAGCCAGAGGCACCTCCTCCAAGAGAGCCAGAGGCACCAGCGCCGAGGGATCCAGTGCCAGATGCACCACCACTAAGAGAGCCGGAAGCGCCGCCAGATTCACCGCCAGAGCCAGAAGCACCAGCAGATCCAGTACCGGAAGCACCGCCGCTAAGAGATCCAGAGGCACCGCCAGAAGCACCACCAGAGCCAGAGGCACCAGCAGATCCAGTACCGGAAGCACCACCACTCAGAGAACCTGAAGCACCGCCAGAGGCGCCACCAGATCCGGAAGCACCGCCTCCAAGAGAGCCAGAGGCGCCAGCGCCGAGGGATCCAGTGCCAGATGCACCACCACTAAGAGAGCCGGAAGCGCCGCCAGATTCACCGCCAGAGCCAGAAGCACCAGCAGATCCAGTACCGGAAGCACCACCGCTAAGAGAACCAGAGGCGCCAGCACCGGCAGATCCAGTACCAGAGGCACCACCGCTCAGAGATCCAGAGGCACCACCGCTCAGAGATCCAGAGCCACCACCAGAGCCATTACCAGATCCTGATCCGCTGCCGAATAGACCGCCAGATCCGAAGAGGTCTCCAGAGCCAGAGCCACCAAGGCCAAGACCAAGACCAGCACCAAGACCAGAGCTACCAGAGGCACTGGCACCAGCAGATCCACTACCGGAAGCATCACCAGAAGCACTGCCAGAGCCACCGAGGCCGAGGTCAGCACCAAGGTCAGCCGAGCCTGAGCCCGAACCGGATGCATCAGCGGAGCCGCCGAGCATAGAGCTGAGACCACCGCTGGCTGAAGCATCGGCGCTGCCGCTACCTCCGCCGTTCAAAAGGCCGTCGAGGAGAAGGCAGGGCTTGCGGGCCTCAAGGGTTTTGTTGGCGGCGGGAGCTGCGAGAGCTGCGCTCACGAGCAGGAGAATTGTGGCAGTCTTCATTTTTGTTGTTGAAAGACTGAGAGTAAAATTGTAAAGAGAGAGGTAATAAGGAGCGCCGAGAGTTCAACTCTAGGAGGTATCAGAAGAAAAAAAGAAGCGAAAGATTGTCGAGTTGAGCCAGTCAACTGAAACGAAGGACGATGGGTTGATGATCAGAACTGACGACGGCGACAGGCATGCATCTTTATAGTTCTGTCGACAGACAGGACCGACTCGAAAGCGATATCTATTTTGGTGAGTGAGCTTCTCATCTGGCTCAGCATTGGGCAATCCATCGAATTGCAAGGCTAGCGATAGTTAGTGAAACGAATGCCCCTGTCCCGTAGCATCCATTCTGTTTCAAGGTACCGTGGGATGGTTTGTTTTCATATGCGGATCTTTTATGCCTCACAATTGAACATGTTCCAAAGTTCACTCATGGTCTCGCAAGTTATTGTTGTCCAGCGCAGCTTGTCGTCTCAAGATGAGTTGCTGTTGTTATTACGCGTTATATCGATAGTTCTCTTGATGTCCTAGTCCGATCTGGAGAGATACATATCGACATCACTAGGGTTGTAGGCAAGCTTCCCAAGGTCAAGCCACGCGATGCACCGTGTTTCCTTGTTCTCGTCAAAATCCCAGGACCCACTAGCTAGTGCAGATAACTGTTTTTCGTAGATGAACCAAGAGCTTTTGGGGCATAGCTTGCCGGCAAGGATTGACTCAAAAAGGAGGCATCTAGCTCTATCTGGAACATGGACCGACAATGGGATCCACTCCCGAAATGGAGTTCGTCCAAGGGCCCCCCCGATCATTCCGAACACCGAACCGTTCATCCTAAAAGTTAGTTCCCGTGGAGTACTTATTTTTAGGTGAATTAAAGTCGCAAATTGATTAAGGAGTCGATGGATTCAATACTGCACGGGTATTATGTAGATCGCCAGCCCACCCATCCTCAACTCGACAAATCGGCATAAGGTTATGTTCTTGTTAGGAATGAACAATCAAAGTTTGGTGCCACTCTATTTAAGCTTGCGGTAATCTGATTGTGTTGTGGTTGTTCTGGAAATCTCTAGTCTTCCACGTGTATGATGTCGATTTTCTGGTCGGCAAATCGTTCACCTAGCCGGAAAATGTTCCGCGACGTTGACTCTCCCAGGTGGCAGTATGTAGGAGACTGTTACAAGTGGCGTTCTTTAGATCTTGGCAGGAAATACACTACAGAAGCACGACACCATGGAGAAAGCCCCAGAACTTGAGCGATCGGCGTGGTTCGCTCCAGCTTAGTTCGTTTCAACTTTAGTGTGTTTGTTGAGACAATCCCTAACGGATGCACGTTCCTTTTCTAGGGCTGGTGCGAGTGTGGAAACTATGGGGGCTCAATCAATTCTTCATCGGGGTGCTCTCTTTTTACTTTTAAGGAGCCGTGATGAATTGACTACCGCAGGCTCGTGGCGATGTATGGCAGCCCTATGTTTAGGTCGGAACAAATATCTTTTTGATTTGAAAAATCGACACTCTTCTTCCCCGCAAAAAAGGTCAGAGCCATGTACTTAGTTTCTTTTTTTACTCCTTAGAGATTCTTCACCAAATATATGCTGAAACTTTAGTTTGGTGTCACATGTGACGATCACCTCGAAAAGAGCATTCAGAGCCCACGAGTCGGACACCGATCCCATGCCGACAGCAATCACATCCAAGGCACTTGTACAGTCTTTCCGCTCTCCGCGGAAACGTATCAGCCCTTACCTTGGGGTCGGTGGGCCAGCCCAGACATATTTGCGGGAGTATCATGCCTCCACAGGGCAATCGCTGCGATCCACGACTATAAACTAGATCATAGGTGGTAATGTTCAAGACAATCATTCTACGCCAAACATTAACCCCGTTGGTCTTGGTTAGCTTGCAAAGGTCCTTGTCGTGCCTTGTATGAAGTACAAAGCACACCAAATAAAGACTAGGCAAGGCTGCTGCTCGTCAATGCCCAAATCGGCTCGCTCATCGTACGACCTTTACTCTATTTACCATAAGTACAACATAAAATCTCGAAAACCTCATGCTATGTAGTGCCAATGCATCGATATCAAATAGTCAATATCAACTATAAGCTAAGAAATGAAAGATGCTATGACATGGTATGTCCGCAAAAATGAAGGCCCAACAAAACTGCATTCCAAGGTTGCCAGTAAGTAAGGCTTGAAACTACTGGCTCGGCAACAGTGGATGTCTCCAATTCAGAGACGCGGCATCTGAGCGGATTTACGATGAGAAAAATTGAAAATATGAGGCTTGGTATGTATCAACGTCACCCATTTGACATGTTGTCTTTCTTCAATAGTCATTAACCCAAAACCAGAGATCTTCACATCCCAGTAAAAATAGATCATACCATCTACTAGAAAGAAGTAAAATAAATTAAGTCAAGAATAGAAACGGAAGGTGTCTTCCAAGGTCCTCTACACAATTCATGTCAATGCATTTCACTAAATCATAAATCCACGGAGAGGGCATTGCGCCATAGATCCAAGCCAGCCGGGCCGTCCCATGTCCCATATCTGCTCCCATTATCAGGACTGCCTTCTCTGATTCATCATATCACGAAATAGATTGTTCAAACTATCCACCATGGGCCCAGTTGAAAGAACCTGCTGAGCAGCGACGACGACGTCCTTCATATTCATGCTCACAGTCATCTCAGTAGCCCACTCCCACGGCCTAGCACGGTCTCCCGGAAGTGCATTGAAATATTCCCACCCCATCACCCCTCCGAAATTCGGGAATCGTTCAATCAGCGCCGCAAGCACAGTACTGATCTTCTCTCGGGGCACATATCCCTGTGAACCATTTCCAGGATTTGTCAAAAGGCCATAAACGATCCGATTAGGAGACCATCCCTGCGCAATCATCGCCGCATACATGCGTGGGTCGTCTGCGGGACCCCATCCATTGTAAAACTGAGCATTGTACCAGCTAATCTTGGAGGAGCGTGCCTGTTCAAGTTGACGATAGTCGAATCCAGACAAATTCCCCATTCCCAGAAGTGCTGCAGCAACAGGTGCCAGAGTGATGATAAAATCATCACCCAGGTCAGACTTGAGTCGGTCAATCAGTCGAATAATGCCTTGTAGAGACATTTCCTCTTCAACGTCGAGATCTAGACCTTGTAGTCCATGGCGACGAATCATAGCTAGCAAAGGCCCGTAGTAGCGTTCGAATTTTTCTTGGTCGCCGTCGAGACGCTGGAAGGAGCCTTGTGCTGCGCCGCCGAGCATGCCCATTATTTTCACTCCGCCCTGTTTCAGTAGGGGTACTTCGTTCCATAATGGGTCGTGTTTGGGGCTATCTGGGGGGTCGTCGTTGAGTGTTATATCGCCCGGTTCACCATTGATATGAATTGCGGCGATGATAACATGTGTGATACCAGTGTTGTTAGACAATAGTGGCTTCATGGGGACATATGGGCCCGAATTTGGCAGGAGTGTTTGATGATAGAGGATAACCCGTCGACCGTCTCCATCCACACCTGGAATTGGAGGCATATTGAGACTGAAGGTGGCTAGGAAATTGAGGGACCCGGTAGGGTCAGTGATGTGTCTGTGAGATCTGGTCTATCTCCCTAGGTGGATCTCGAGGTGGGCAGAATGCAGTTGGCATATATAGCGAGATAATGGCCTTGTCGGTGATCCAATGCAGTGATGTTCAGGTTGGTTATTGATAGCGACCGAAATCAACTGATAGATACCGCTGATGATAGCAGCAGACTCTCGTTCCAAACCAAGCTTGAAAACCTTTGGAAGTGTTGTTCACTCCGATTCCCGATGCCCCCACCTCCGGCAACGGGCTTTGTGGATTGGATGTTGGTTGCGTTCGGCCCTGACTAAGCGCTCGCGGGGCCACGCCACGAGATCGAACCACCGGATGGCGAGGTTCCACTGGTGAATCATTCGGTGTAATTGGGTAATTTGAGATGATAGATGGAATTGGGATATTTTGGGATATTGAGTGGCTGAAAATGATTACAAAGGGTGGAATTGTTGGGATGTCAGCGGGCAAATTGCCCAAGTGTGAAGATATATAGTCCACGGATACTCTAGTTCACTACACCACCCCTCGGGGTCTAGCTCTAGGTCCCACCGGCCGGGCATCGTTCAACTTCAAGTTTATTACTATTTACAGTAGTCTAAAACAGAAAGAGTCCATGAAATGCCCATATTCGACCATCAAATATTAGAAACTGCGTCTTTTTTGAGCACTTGGAATAGATCCGGATCAAGTTCGATTATGACCATCCTGGTTTGCCGCTGGATAGTAGACATAGGGGAAGAGTGGTCCGGGATTTCCTCGCACTGGAGTCAATGTGAATGGCGAATCAAACACTAAGTCGCGAAAGAATGGAAGGTTACGGTACTGGTATTTTGGGGCCCAGAAGGCAACCTTGGAACCTTTATGACATCAATTTGCCTTCAGACTGTATATAGTCGAACCCATCTCCATACTAGACATGATGAAGTTTCCCACCGGGGCAATTACATATGCATAAGGTTAGTCTTCTTTTTGTATTGCTTTGTTGATAAATGACAAGCATGTAGCGTGTAGCATGTAGCATGTGTAGATATGCAGAAGTATGAAGTAAATGAAGTAAATGAAGCTAGGCTGGAATAGGCAGGGAGTAAATAGAAATTGCAGCCTGAGGCCACCAACTTCATTCATTCGCAATCGCATCGCATCGCAGGCTTTCTTCCCCCGCAATTCGCGCTATTGTTATTCTGGTTTCTTCTTTTGTCGCCCGCTTTACTGGGATGCTGGGATACTTTTATTAAACTATTATCTACCACCCCTCTCCTTCCCCCTCCCATCTGTGCCCCTCTTCTTGCGCCTGCGCGATTGGAGTTCCGTGACGGCACGTTCCAGACGCGTCGGAGTTAGAGTCGGCCACAATGGCCAACGCAGGCTACACCTCGCCATTCCCAACCTCCCACGACACAATCGGGCAATCAACTCTAGCAACTCCCCTTTTCATGCCCTCGTCGCCTCCCCAGAACCCCGTCAGCCCTCCCGAGTCGCCGCTTCCCGCAGACAGCCCCATCTACCCTGACGATCATTCCGATCGCGAATCAGTCAACAACGATGACAACCACGCCAAGGACACCGCGCTGAACCACGGACACAATGATTCAAGACCCCCCGAGTCCATCGCCGTCCGATCTGGATGCCCGTCTCGCCGAATATACTTTAGACTTCAGTCAATTCCCGAGCGGCCATTTCCCCGACGCCAGAGACGGTGCGCCGTTGCCGGAATTGAAGGAACACGAAGAAGACAAATTGTCGGATGTAGGAGGACCGGAGGACTTTACGGCCAATATGGAAAAATATCTGTTCGAAGAGAGCCTTCCAAGCATGAAGAAATACCGCAAGACGGAGAGTCGTGAGGAATCCGGATCTAAATTGCAGAACAGCACGGTGCGATCCAGACAGCCCGTCATCGAAGACGACGGAGACTCGGCGGATTATAGTGAATTTGGACCTCCCGTTGATATGTCGACTCCATCACATGTTCTGAACCGCACCAGCGCCCTGGCCAAAGACTCAAACCTCGAAGACATCGAGGAGGACCCTGCCGACGATCTACCAAGCCCGGAATCCCCGTCGCTACGCAGGATGTCAATTACGCCAGAGAAGGAGAGACACGAGGATGATGAAAAAGAAGCCGAACAAGTTCAGCACGAGACACACGATTTGCTCCAGCGCATCGAAGATCTAGAAGAGGATGTCAGGGATCGCGATGAGCAGCTGAGCAAAAATCGCAAACGGGTTCTCGAGGCCGCTTCGGCTGGCGAGCAAATAAGACACCTCCAAGACGAGATTCAACGGAAGAACACCTATCTGGACGAGGCGGAAGGCAAAGAAAATGAAGTGGATGTACTTCGTGAGCAACTCGAGTCACTCCAGAAACAAAACGAGGAACGCGGGCGGCTTCTCGAGGAGTTCCAGGCCGACGCCAACCATAACAGCGCACTCGAGCAAAAGGTTCGCGATATGCAACAGCAGTTGGAGACTCGAGATACCCAGAACTCACTGGATGCTGAGCGGTTAGAAACGATCGCACATTTGCGTGAACAGCTGAAGATCAGCCAGGAGCAGCTGAAGAAGCGCGATTCAACCCTGGAAGAGACAATGGAGAAGCTGAGAGAAACCACCCGAGCGAAGGAGGTACTGCTCAATGACAAAAATACCGAGATCGATAGGCTAAAGGCCGAATTTGACGATCAGGCGTTGGAAAATGAGCGATTGGATGGAGAATTGGATCGTGTTAATAGCGACTACTTGGATCTCGAAGATCGATTTACTACTCTTCAAGCTCAGAGCCAGCCTCTGGAGGATCTCGAGGAAAGAAATCTTTCTCTTGAAGCCGATCTCACCCGTGTTCAGTCTCAAGTCGAGGCTCAGGAAAATGCCCTGAAAGCCGTCGCGGCGGACTTGCCTGGTGGTCAGAGTACCGGTGGTCATAGTACGTATAGCGAAATCCTCGACCTGATCAAGGATATTGGACACACAAGTCTTGACTCGGGTCCTCGGTCACCATCGAAGGACAAATTTCCCGAGGATGAAGATGACGACCTACTGGAACTACGACACGAGATTGAGAAGCTCCAACAAGAAGCCCACGACGCCACTGCTGGCCACAAAGCAGCAGATATCGAGATCAACCGCCTCCGTCAACAAGCTGCCGAATCCCAATCTCTTATCAAGACCATCGAAGCTGAGAACTCTCGGCTTACCACCCGCGTTGATGATCTGAGCGCCAATCTCAACAAAACACAGCACGAGCTGACTCGTACCCAAGAGGAACATGCCGAATCTCTCGAAACAGTCGCCCGTCTTCAAGAAGAAGCACTCGGCCAACCACCCAGCCCTCCCCCCTCACCACCAACCGCACGAGCTGTCCCCAACACAGAGCAGCCAGACCCTGCAGCTACCGCGGCCCTGGAAGCCTCTCACCAGGCGCAGATTAGAAGCCTCCAAACCGCCCACTCCACAGCCGTATCCACCCTTCGCTCATCACATGCCGAATCAATGCGCAAGGTCCGGGACATACTCAGCGCAGCCGAGAAACGCGAATCCGACCTCCGCGCCGAACTGACAACACTGCGCAGTAAAGCATCCACACAGGAGTCCAAACTGCGCAAGTCATTCAAGCAAGAGGTCCGTCGTCTCGAAGCCGTCATTGCTGCAAAGGATGAAGCCTCCGCCGCGGTTGACCAACGTATTGCACTGTCTGTAGACAAGCGTGAGCAAGAATGGGAACGTCGCGTGGATCTATTACTCGAGGAGCGGGATCGTATGGCCAAGGCACTCATGATGTACTGGGGTGAGAAGGAGATGGGTCGTGGTCCAGGGGTATTGGCAGATGATAAGGAGAATCGCGGGGAGTCGACAACGGATTCTAAACAAGGTCAAGCATATCGGTACAAGTATTCGCAGAAACACAAATCTAAGAGCGGGGAGAGAAAGGCATAAGTGTTTGGATCTTTGCTTTCGGCTCATGGATGGCTTGTTTTTTTTGTATTACTTCTTATCTTTCACCCTTACTACTTTCTTTCCTGCCTTGCATACTGTCGAAATGGACTAGGGTGCCTGGAGTTGTTGAGCTTTCTGCGTTTTCTTTGCATTCAACGAGGCGCATCCTGTCGCGTGTAGTGGTTATTGAAATAATTCAAATTGAAACTTTCTCTATTCAACTGATCAATTAATTCGTATTTAACGTTTTCATGGTTGGACTATGGAAGGCAAGAATGATAGCGATTAAAAGCACGGGTTTGGTATGGTAGTATGATGGTATCTAACTTGAACGACAATAAAACATAAACAGCGCTTTCCTATTCCGAACAATCCTCCAATACAATCCTATAACCTTCAAGTTAAGCCACAATAAGAAGCAGAAAAAAAGACAAGTCTGACCGGCAGACCAGGTACGGTACTAGTAGTATATTAGGAAGACCTGTTAGTAAAAGCCCATGCTGGTGCGGTTGGCACCACGATAAGTGCTGTGATCAAGAGCACTACGTCGAGCCTGGGTACCACCGCCATTGAGGCGAATTTCGTCCACAGAAGCCCGAGGGTGGGGAGTTGCCTCTAGAATGCAGCTGAGAGGACCACTCGCTCCGCCGTGAGTGTTGCTGCGAGGCCGACGAGTGCTCGGGTAGATGATTTCGACATCGTTGCGACGAGGGGCGGGAATCACGCGGCTAGGATCGAATACGTGCTGGCTTGCCCAGCGGGTGGGGATTGGCTGGGGAGAATAGTATTGCTGTTGCTGGTGATACTGGCTTTGTATGTGGCGAGGTTTGTGTGATTGCTCGAATGAGTACGAGCTACTCCGGGTGGGAGCGGGTAGTTGGGCAATTTGGGGTTGCATGTTGTGCCGCGAGCTGCTTCGTGATGGAGGCATGATGGACACTGGTGACATGCTTGTGTTCTGCCTGCATGATGCGGAGTATTTCCGAGCATTGACTGGGCTTGGGACTGGGGGTGCTGGCGACGGTGTAGATCCGGCAACGAAGTTGGGGTGGTGTGGGTGGTGAATAGAACGTCCGGCTATGGCGAGATGTTCCGTTTGAGATCGTCGCACTTTGGCTGGCTCTGGAGGTTCAACGACGACTTCGGGGGCATCGGCGGAATTCATTGTCATGGTTCTGTTGTGGCCATCGGGCTTGTTGGTGGTTGAGGTGCTGGCGGATTTAGTTGGAGTTTGAGTTGTATCGCCGCTGGAAAAATGCGTTTCTGTTACGTCGGTGGTCTTTATTTCCAAGAATGAAAACTGAGATTGGCCTTGGGAAGTGGAAGGCGTGACAACCTGCTTCTCAACGTCTGATGCTGAGTTTGGATCGGCCAAGGCACGAATCTGAGGGTCTGACGACAAGGGCAGCGATAGTGGAAACGTTTTGGGAAAGAAACGCTTCAACGACGACAGAGATGACTTCCCGCGCTTGTGATAGGCAGTATATTGCTTGGGAATTGGCGGGACTTTGGGTGCAAAGAATTCGGCAAGCAAGTTCTTGGATTCGGAGGTAGTGGTGGTCATGAGAGTAGAGGTTCGCGAGATAGGGTAGAAGTCACTGGCCACGGTTTGGCCACCAGGTGAGGTTCGAGGATATGTATCATCGGGAGAAATTGTGGTTCCGGAGGTAATCTCTCCATACTCAGAGCCTGGGTTCGTGTTGAGGCGAAGTTGTGGACGCAGGCGAACTGGAGCAGGGTGTCGGATACTGGGATGGCAGCTGACTTTGTTGGCAATGGGGTCGATATACCATGGTTCTTCGCCGGCTTTGCCATCATGCTGGCGGCAGAGATTCAGGATCTCATTCTTGAGAGTCTCATCGCTATCCCAGCTGTTCCCTGATAGAATACTGCCATCGCGCAGTGCTTGCTGACTTTTATAAATACCGATAATCGAAACGTCATAAGGTCGGTCGCATAGTTCTCTTGCGCAGTACATTGTGCAGACAGTTACCCTGGAGAGAGGTAGTTAGTAAACCATACTGAGATTCCATGAAGCTTGAACTCGTGGGATGCTCACAGTGCTACGACCGAGACAATAACGGTGGAGCGGTGAAATGCGCAGCTTGTTCCAACCCGCCAAAAAGTGGCATCGGTTCCATCTGGCAGACAGTAGACTTGCTGAGCGGCTACCACCAGGCCGGAGACTGATGTAGCTAGCCAGAGCATAAGGTCCAATCTGTAGACATAGGAGCAGATATTGTGCAGAACCGTTTTCTGCTGACCAAATCCACCAATTTTGTTATATTGCCAGGCGACTAGGCTTTGGAGAGAGATAAGGGGAATTGTCATGAATGACTAGATAGCATTAGTATTGCGATGGCTCATATGGGATGACAGGTACGAACCGAAACCATAGCAAGAACCAGGCTCACAGTCATCTTCGAGTCTACCTGGTGCCTTCCATAAAGAAACAGCACCAGGACCAGTTGAAGGACCGATTCGAGGATCAGGAAAAAGAGGGAGACGAAAATGACTAGTTTAGTCCAGGTGCCTTCTTTGCGCGGCGTTGCTGAGAATCCGGTCGCCATGGTGGTGTTGCGGATGCGACCTACGCTGTAGTGTCGCTTTGATGTACTGGCGAATGAGAAGCACTAGCACAGCACTGGTGGCCGAGTATGACTATTACCAAGGGAAAAGACCGAGGATAGAACAGAGATTCACTGAAGAACCGCCTAACCCAAGTTCTGCCCGTTTAGGAAATCATCAATGGCAGAAGAAAAGACGTGTCGAGGCATGAGGAACAGTCCTGGACTAAAAAAGGGAACCAAATTAGGCACTTCCAGCCTGTGAACGCGTCCGACGCGCCGGAGTGTGGAGGGGTGGAATGTGCCAGCCGAGGGGTCGGGCATGGAAAGAATCCCAGCCGCGACCACAACCGACAAGAGAGTCGGTAACTTCCTGTCGGTGATCGCATCGGATGATCTGCTGGGAATGTTGCCAGCGTGGGAGATGAAGGCACGACTAGGGATGTGGCCAAAGAGTGTGCTGGTGCCCATCCCTGTGGATCGCCTTTGCTCGACGTCAGCTCGTTTCACGCCTTGAGAATGGAAAACTCGGGGATTTTCAGGAATTCAGTGTACTTAATTACTTAATCGGAGAATTGGACAGGGCGTCCCTCCGGGGCCGGAGGGGGTCCATCTAGGATGGTTGTTAGTCGAGGTGGCCTAAGGTTGAAGTTAAGTTGGAAGTTGGGGTCTCCTCAGGGCGAACGACATCCCTCGATGACGAACCACCCTTTTGGACGCAATGAACAAGAACAGCCAGAAATAATAGAGATAGGCAGTCTCTATGCTACGCACTGGATCTTATTGGTCCATTCGAATTGCCAAGGCCAAATCCTCCCATCTCAAGCCCACACGTGATGATCCGAGGGGGTTCCCTTTGGCGAGTCCTTGCTGGTGGAGCATCCAGGAGTTTCAAGACTCATCATACTTGAGGTCGGATCGCGCAGAAAGGAAATAAAAACTGATCTGTCCGTCAAAACCGAGGTGGAATGTGAAGAAGACCTGTCAACACTGCTCTAGGTAGATGTTATTGAGTCTTCGTCGCGTCTAGAAGTTTATACTTCAACATACCGGATTGACACGAACTAGGACCACGAGGGATCTCATTCCAAGCTGAAAACTCATCTTCCTTCAAGGACCCAGACTCAACGTATGCTGCTGAGTGTCAAGAACTGGCTTCTCTCGGATTCTCCCGCGTGATCAAACTGCGCCTCCTGCCGCGGAAACTTTCGCCAACTATTTCCTCCCTATTTTTGAGAACAGAGGCAATGAGTGTTCACCTCTCGCTATGTCCTCATCTTAAAGCAGAGAAATCTCGAGAAGGAAGGCATCTCATCCCTCGTTTCCTACTACTACGGGTTAGGAGACCATAGCCACAGGCAGTTACAAGCTGAGCCCGACTCTGATCAAGATACTGTAAGATGTGACCTCTTTCCCCTGAATTCTATGACTTGGTTGAAATCATCTGATAGTGAACATTGGTTTGAGGCCCCATGGAGCTCCGTTGGACTAGCCCGCAAACTCATACTTGGCTTGGCCTTGAGCCTGCGAGGGTTTGAACATGTACATATGTCCACCATCATCATTGGGATCCGGGTTATCTGTACGGTCTCTCGCGGTTGACAGGTACAGAATATCATGATTCTTGCCACCCCAAGTAGGACATGTTGGGTATTTGGCAGGCAATTCAACCTCATTGAGCTTTTTACCTTCCGGGTTGAAAACCATGACTTTCCCGGTGGAGTACACGGCTACCCACAAGTTGCCATCATTGCTAAATTTCATTCTGATAAGAGTTCCGGATGCGAATGTGATGGCCTGGATGATGAAATGACTCACTCTGTAACCAGCCCATCTGGCTCTGCCTTGGTGGCTCGAAAGTCGACGAGGGTCCGTTGGTTTGAAACATTGCCAGTTTCAAGGTCAAAGTCGAGCGCCGTGATTTTCATGCCCATGGAATCATTCAAGTACACTAGGTATGCTTTTTAGCGTTTATTCTCATTTCAATGTTTCAAGATCAAGATCACTCACTTGTCTTGTTATCAGGGCTCCATTTCACTCCATTGCCACACAAAATTCCACCGGGGATCATCAGATGTAAGCTTCCGTCGGGATCATACCTCCACAGCCTCCCCTTAGGTTCGCCATAGCTCTCAGGCCAGTGGTCCATGTCGAAAGCTGTAGCTCGAACGTCTATTTCCGCTAGCCAAAAGCGACCGGCAGCATCAACACCACCATCGTTGAATCGGCGCTGGTCTCTCTCAGCCGTGGGAATAATCTCACGAACGACTTCGAACGTTCCGCTTGCCTCATCTAAAAAGCAAACACCCTGGTAATATGCCGCGATGTAGCTACCAGGTTTGTTTTGACGAAATGCTGCAACGCTGACACTGTCGGAAAGAGGCAGGATCCGAGCTTCTTCGCCCGTAGGAGAGCCGGTTTCTGGGTCGGTCGGAAGAATGTAAAGCTCACACGGAGAGGACAGGCAGTCAAACCAGTGCAGTGTGGAGTCGCTGACTCGGTAGATAGGCCCCTCGCCAAGCACCATCCGACCCTTCGGAGGTCGGTAGATGGGCGGGCCTGTAGAAAACGATTCAATCGCGCTGTCCATCGCGCTAGTGATGTATTGTAGTGTGCTTGACAGGTGAAGATGATTTGGCCGCGCCCTGAGAGAGATTTCCTGGGGCAGGTATTGGCTCCACTGTGGCTGCTTGACACACGCCGCGGGGTGTCATCTTCGCTCCGAAGTGGGGGTTGCCCCGGTGCGCGGGTAAGGGGAAAACTTCAAGTTGGTGGCGTTGGGATATATTCGATAAAGGTATGCATTTCAATGCAGAAATACTCTCCTGAAATCCTTTTTGCAATGAACTTGCGCATTTGGACACACGCATTGTTGGGCCATACTTTCTTTGGTACAAATTTGAAAAATCATGTTGCATAACACCAAGGTTTCATGGTAAAAGGCTGGACTAGGCATATCAAAAAAAACCAAACTGGATGGTGTGAAGGACTAATCAAGGCTGTATATGAATAGCGAGACAGAATTGTGAAGCCCAAAAATGTCCCTTGCATGTTCTTTTCCAAGAAAATTGGCCAAATTACTCCAGTAGAACTACTTTCAGGGAGTCTCGGTTTATCGTTGCTTCAAGCTGCAATGAAATTCAAGAACTTTCTGAAATCTTCAGTTTCAGGCACTTTAGTTAGCCCGAAATACAAGCAAAGTATATGCCGATGATGTAATTTGGAAATGTCTTGAACTAGTAGCCAACAGGGGGTGGATGATGCGCCCGGCGCGATTCATAGTTGTCGAAAGAATCTGAAAAGGGTCTTACCTTTGGCAAGATCTACAATAAGTAGTTGATACTGTAATCAGTCGTTACAGGATATTTGAGAAACTCTATTCCAATAGAAGACAATTTTGGAGCCGTCAAATATGACACTGATTTCTGTCCAAGTTCGAATCTTGTAACTATGCTCAGATGCACTCGCACTAAAATTGCCCAGAGTGACTCGGTAGAGTAGCCAGCAACTCAAACGGCAGTAATCCCTTTTATCCCATTGACAAGCGAGAATCTTTTTTCATCTTTTTCCCCACATGTCAAAGGAGCACAACATTAGCACATGGATCTGAGGGATTTCCATTACTACTACTCGAAAATACTGCCTTGAAGCAGGTTTCTTGGCGAGACTTTCCCGGCTTCGGATCCGGAGGGCATCCATCGCCTTGATTCTAGATCCGAGAAGTAATTTTAAAATTGTACGCTCAGATATTGTCATAATTTTATTTTCAGCCCCATCGACTTGGCAGTTGCGGTGGTCGAAAAATGATGGAAGAGGCTTCTAAAGTGGAACTGTTTTAGTCTCTTAAAAAGACACTATTGACCGGTGCACCATGGCTAGCGAGATATTTCGGCCAACCTTAGCTCTGTTGTCCCACCATTCACCTTGGTCGTTATTACTTTAGTGCCCTTTGGCCAGCCGCCGAAAAAGGAAAAGAGTGCGAGTGGTGGGATTTAAATGGAGCAGGTCTGGAGTCTGCTTTTTTGTGTACCAAGCCCTATCGGCAGATTGACGTGGGGGCGGAGATCAGAGCGCTTATACGAAGGGAAGAACCTAGTACCCTATCAAACTTTCTCGGCGAGCTCGATTTCATCGCCTTTAAAATCAAAAATACGCAATTGGAATATCAGTGGAAGATTTTGTCAAGCGAAATACTATTAGTAGGATCGGTAGGTAGCAATCTGCTGAAGTGCGCTAGCGCACCAGGGTATACTAGTATCACAAGTCCGGCAAAACGCCCTGATCCGACATGTAGCGATGGTAGCATTCAACCCCTCCCTCATATTTGGCTGGTAAGATGAGGGCACCTTGTTAATTAGACTCTAACCGAGATGGCGAACGAACGTGTTGATCCGGTTGGCTTCCGACATCCATGATTGCCCACCTTGATTGGCGCCAAGCAAGTGATCCATCTCCGCCAACCCTCGCTAAAGCAACACTAGCGTATTTGAGAAGCAGGAACGAAATGAGCACTGCTTAGTCCAGTAACCCAAGCCGAGCTAATCATGAATCTCAGTATCGCCAAAGTTACTTCGGTCTTCCTGGCATCCTCAATTTAACTGATAATCTCATTGCTGAAGTGTAACGGGTAATTTGTTTGTTGTTTTCGCGATGGTCCGATGCAAACGCAGGCTTGCATGCCTGAGCAACCCAATAGCGGAGTCCACCGGACCTTGGGACCCTTTTTGACTAGGGAGGCCCATCCGTTCCCAATTTGCTCCATACTGCGCCCGGGCCCTGAGTCTAGCCTTGTTTGTAGTGTTTAAGCCTCTTTTATGCGGCTCTTACCCGGACGCCAAAGCTAAGAACGAGTAGGCACTCACGACCCCCTCATATCGGACTCCCAAAAGGGCCGGAAGTAATTTCCTCACCGTATTTTGGCATATCTGTATCATTACCAGAACGAGCGACATTGCTTTTCTATGCGCTTTTGTTTGTCTCTTATATCGCCCATCAATGTAGACCAGAGTGCTCTTCAAATTGTACTGCACTGTCTTCCTCGGATTTTAACCGCCCAGGCCAAATTTTGCCTTTGACTTTCATTTGCTAGAGATGTGGAGTGGCTTGCTCATGGGTCAACGGAGACTAATCCTTAGGCTGCAAAGAAACCGGTATCTTTCAGAGTAGAGCTTTTCGATTATTATTATTATTAGCTGGATTCGACCCCTTGTACTAGTGCACCACAGTTGTTCAAGTCCGTTAGCGGCTTTTTCTAGTACTGCACGAATTATGTAGAATAATCGTGGCCTTTTAATGCAAGCCCCCGTCTTTTTATCTTAAAAATTTCCTACATTTTGTTGGATAGATATTCGCTCTTTCTTCTGCGTCTACGAACTGCTTAAGCGGACTCTTGTTCGCGTCCCTTCATTCATTTGACCTTGGGAGAATTTCCCCTACGCTCATTCTACACATCGGGTCGACTCGTTAGACTCTTTTCGTCGTTCGTTATTACTCCGGAAAATGGGGTTTTTGAAGACTTTTGCCGCCACAGCGGTACTGGCTGCCCTTATTCCCAATTCTGCTGCTCTGAACGTGGACTCCAAATCTAACGTAGCTGTCTATTATGTGAGTTCACTGCTTTCAAAAGGAAATCCTGTGTCTACCTCAGCTTACAGTGAATTCTAGGGTCAAGGTGCCTACCAGCCTCGGTTGAGTCACTTCTGCCAGGAAACCTCTCTAGATATCATCAATCTTGGTTTTATCAACGTCTTTCCCAAAGCTGTGGGAGACTGGCCAGGCTCCAATTTTGGCAATCAGTGTGATGGTACCGTTTACGAAGGCACTGAGCTTCTCAGTGGCTGCCACCAGATATGGGAAGATATTCCCATTTGCAAGGAACTTGGGAAAACGGTGATGCTGTCGCTTGGTGGTGAGACTGCTTATGAAGATATTCCCACTGACGAGGTTGCGGAATGGTTTGCCGATTTTCTGTGGTATTCCTTCGGTCCCCCTGGCCAAAATGATACCTTCCCCCGTCCCTTTCAAGACAACCAAGTTGACGGCTTTGATTTCGATATCGAGCATTATGGTGGCCATGGTAACGTGCTCCCTCTTAACATGCTAGACAAAAGTGAACTTCTACTAACAAGAAAATAGGCTATGCTACTATGATTCAACGCCTTCGTAGCCACTTCGCCGACTTCCCAGACGAGACATTCTACATCTCTGGTGCACCACAATGCCAGCTTCCCGATGCCCAGCTTAGCGATGCCATCTCCAACTCGCATTTTGACTTTATTTGGGTTCAGTGGTACAACACGGCAGCTTGTTCGGCGACAAACTTCCTGGAGGGAAATGGTCTCTTCAACTTCGCTGCATGGGCTAAGGTTATTCAAGACAGCGCCAACCCGGCCGCAAAACTTTTCGTCGGACTGCCAGCATCTGAAGAGGCTGCTGTGGATGGGTTTTACCTGAGCCCAGCGGAGGTTTACCCTCTTGTGGATATCTACATGAATCTGTACCCCGATATGTTTGGCGGTATTATGCTTTGGGAGGCCACGGCATCAGATAACAATACTATCAATGGTTACAATTATGCCCAGCATATGAAGCACATCCTCCATGAATGTGATCCATCCCCGCCGCCGACTTCGACTTCCACCATCTTCGTGACGCCGACTTCAAAGCCCGTTTCGTCAACGCCCTCCAGCTCGGCGGTGCAGACAAGCTCTCAGACGCCCTCGTCTGCCCCTGTGTCATCAAGCCAACCAACCTCTTCGAGCACTTATGTCGCATCTTCCACTGCCTCTCCTTCGTCGCCACCAGCTAGCTCTGTTACCCCAACAATTGTTTCATCTAGTGCGGCACACTCGAGCACCTCAATCCCGTCCTCGAACCCGGTGACTGGCTCTTCCAGCAGCCCGGCCGCTTCTCATTCGGTCTCATCAAGCACAACTAGCGAGAGCTCTATTCAGACCCCAGCGTCAAGCCACAGTCACCCGGCTTCATCCAATACTTCTGGCTCTGAGAAGCCCTCTACCAAGCCAACTGCTACCCCGAGCGAGACTCCATGCTCAAGTGAGCCCGTCATTCCCACTCACTCTGGCACATCCTCAGGCCCTGCTAGCCACTCAAGCTCTTCTTTGCCTGGGAAGTCAACTCATACTGGAAGCCCCTCTGCTTCAGAATCACTTGGAAGTACTACCACTGGTTCTAGCTCGTCGTCAGCTTCTCGGACTCCATCGCGCACTATCACCCGGACTCCAGTATCCAGCCCCCCCAAGTTCCACTGGCACTCATCTGAGCCCCTCGGGCGATTCTTCGGCCTCTGCCTCCCTGTCAACGACTTCCGGGCCCGCCATTTCTTCCACCGAGGTCACTGGAGTCTCCCCTGGCAGCACCGTTACTACCGGAGGCTCAAGCGCTACAGGAGTCGAGTCTTCCACTGGCCCCCAGTCAACTGGAAATGGTAGCCAGACTTCTACTAGCCCCCAGTCCACTGATAAGGGCGGCGAGTCTACAACTGGTCCCCAGTCCACCGGAAACGGTGGCGAGTCTCAAACTGGTTCAAGTGTCACGGTTTCGCCATCGGTGACAGCTGCTGCATCTACTACAACTCCCCCAACTGTGACTACCATCATTGTCACGTCGTACACTGATATTTGCCCTACTGGTTTTACCACCATTACTACAACTATCACCACTACCATCTGTCCAGAAGCCACTGCAGGTGTGACCAACCCTCCTTCTGGACCTGCATCGACTACACCCTCTATCCCCGAAGGCTGGACCACTACTGTCAAGGTCTGTGATAACTGCGCGCCGACCCCTACTACTGTCACTTTGACCGTACCAAACCCCATTCAAACGACCGAGGTGGCCGTGCAAACTTCCCCTGTTCTCGTGACTACTGAAACATGGACCACAACTGTTACTTTCTGCAAGCACTGCGGTGTCACTGGCTCATCGGTCACATTGACCGTCCCTTACACCACGGTCATCTCCACTGCAGTGACTGTGGTGACTCCAGGTGCTTCACCTGAACAAGGCGAAGTAACCGTTCCCGGTGGCTTGCCTCAAACTACCGCTGGCAACTCTCAAGGAGCGGTGCCTAGTCACGGACCTTCTTCATCCTGGAGCTACATTAAAGGAGGGGTTCACTCACCTAGCCAAACACCTACTTTCAAGGTTCATGCTTCAACAACACAGACGGTTCAAAACCCTGCCCCAACTGGCAGTGGTGAAGGTGTGTCGCCGGTATTCAACGCGGCTGGGTCTCAGTCTGGCCTGATGAGCCTTTTCGGCGTTTCTCTCGCCGCTGTGCTTTCTATCTGCCTTCTCATTTGAATTTTTTGATATTTTCACTAGCGCCAGCATCTAAATCAGATTTTCATCCTGGTTAATGGGCTGGCTGCTACTTTTTGTATGCTTACGATGTTTTATAATTCGCTTCTATATCTCTGATCTCCCGATTTCCAATTAAAATAATTGGAAAGGGGGAGTGATTTACATTCTAATTTGCAAGACTAGCAATAACCTTTACGAATTGAGTTTAGGTCTTTATGATCTACGAGCGAGTCCATAGCGATAGAATTTCATTGGTGGTTCTTTCTAGAGAAGGAACAAATATCCACGCGGTAACCTATTCATCAACTGCGCTGAATGTAGCTTGTACTACTATTATATACGCAGTTCGAGTTCTTTATCCAGTTTTTAGTTCAAAATAAACGGCTGAGCTTCATCAATATTTTCATCTTTATACTAGAATTATAGGGGCGATCAAGAACAGCAAATATTTCATAACTAATGTGTACATAGTGCACTTCCCCCGCACTGGCGCACCCACGGGGGGACCGGAGCCGAGGCCGAGGTCCGCGGATTCGGTCGATCGACCCCATTAAACCCTGGGAACCCTACCTTATGCACCCGCTATTCCTATCTCTCCAAATCTATCATCTATCAACCATGTCTGCTCCTCCGCTTGAAGGCATTCGAGTAGTCGAACTGGCCGGTCTGGCCCCAGGTCTGTTCGCAACTTCCCATTTCTTAGGTTATCATGTATTGACCTCATCGTAGGCCCTTTTGCCGGACTTCTTTTGGCCGACTATGGCGCATCAGTTATACGCGTCGACCGCCCTTCTGCAGTCAGCGGTGATCAATTAACTCGTCGCAAGACCTCTATCACCTTAGATCTGCGCGAGGAAAAGTCGCGTGATGTTCTTCTTCGTCTTCTTGCAGGAGCCGATGTCCTGATCGACCCTTTTCGTCCGGGTGTCCTTGAACGACTCGGACTTTCGCCTACTGATGTCCTCCTCAAGCACAACCCGCGACTTGTTGTCGCACGTATGACTGGATTTCGCCGTGATGGCAAGTACAAAGACATGGCCGGTCACGACATCAACTACATTGCCGTATCGGGCGTTTTGTCAATGCTTGGGCGAAAGGGCGAGAAGCCTTTAGCACCGGGAAACATTCTCGGTGATTTTGCTGGTGGCGGTGCGATGTGCTTTATGGGAATTCTTCTGGCCTTGATGTCGCGCTCACATACAGGTCGTGGACAAGTTGTCGAAGCCAACATGGTCGACGGGTCGGCATATCTCGCCACGTTCCCGCGTCTAGCTCGTCAAACACCTGCATGGGGCGAAGCGCGAGGTGAGAATTTGCTTGACAGTGGATGTCCCTACTACGACACATATGAGACCAAGGATGAGGGGAAATACTTCGCTGTTGGCGCCCTAGAACCTCAATTCTACGCGGCACTCCTTCGCGGATTAGAATTTGACCCGAAGGCCATTCCCGACCGCACAGATCGTGATAACTGGGCAGCGCTTCGGAAATTGTTCACACGTCGGTTCAAAGAGAAGACTCGGCGCGAATGGGAAGCTGTCTTTGACGGTACTGATGCCTGCGCCACCCCCGTTTTCGAACAAGACGAGTTAGAGAAGGCGGGATACGATCAAAGACCCGCTGTAACACTTCGGCAAACACCCGCATACCCTATCAAGTCAGATGAGGGCGGGTGGACTGGAGGAGGTCTCATGCCTGGAGACGGGGGTGTGGAGACGCTGCGAGGGTGGATGGGATGGGAGCCCAATAAGGACTACCTCGTTCGGAAGGACGGCGCGCTTCTATCAGTGGATGGCCGGGCGAAGCTGTGAAACTTGTCTGAGAAAACCACTCGGTCCTTTCATCTTCCTTTCGTATGGACATGTTCCGATCGATGTGAGAGATTTTGAATTGTGGGAATTGAGTTTCGCATTGCAGGTCCGATGGAGACATACCACGTACAATTTACACACTACAAAAATCGGATGTAAATATCAATACATACATGCTCGTATTCAATGAGTTCTAACTCTCCGTATCTCGTATTCTTTGAGCTGAGCTGTGTCCTTACTCGGTAGGGATTTTCAATCCTCAGCCTCACTTAGGCGGGCTAGAAAGTATGCGCGAAGTATACGGGTACCTGATTCCGATTTCGACCAGTCAATTCGTCATCAGGCACAGTTACCGGCATAGTCAATTTGTTGTCCTCCGTAATTGGTAAACTGCTGTCCGGTTCCAATCAAAAAAGCTGGATATGCTCAGACATATATTACGTCACCACTGTCGGATACTACATCACCACGTGCCGAGTGTGGCGCAGCGTGGCGCAGACTGAAAATTTACCGATCCACTCGTTTCAACTCGTTTCAACTCGTTGTAAATTACACAGCCCTACAAATGCACCGCCACAAATGCAACCATAACGGTTGATTAGACAGGGGTTCAGATGATCTCTAAATCAATGCCTCATGTCTCAGCCATATTCACCGAGGCGCTAATCGTCTGCTCCAATCAACTACTTCAACTCTAATGTGATGTTGACGGTAATCCTTCGTTTGCAAATTCCGGAGTGGTTTCCGTCCCCAGGGATATGCAGGGTGGGCGCATACGAGGTCATCCTCGCGTTTTTGGGCCCCTATAACATGTCATCGGGTCATAAAAGACCGAGTATATACACATGGCGCAGCTGTGGCTTTATCTTTCTCTGGGTCATTACTTGCTAATGTTGGGAGCTGTAGCTGAGGCTATTGCTTTAAATAGGAATATAGGAGCATAGGGTTGCTTCATGATCACGATGTAGCCCTACCATCGGCCCCCATCAGTGCGCTGATTAAAGACAGCTGATCAAATTCCTAAACCACGTCTGCCAAGATCGTAGCGCGAATTCCGGTACGTACGGAGACCCTGAACAGTCATCAAAGCGGACCGCCATTTTGTACGACATTATCAGCGCATGACTTGCGAACAAAGAGAAAATACAATAAGTCACACGTCTAAAAATGGCCATGTGGAAGTATAAAAGAGATTTCCGCGTTTTTAGAATCTGATCTTGTATCCTCAAGCCAGTGGTTCAGACTTCCGAGTGTATCATCATTACAGCTGAAGAAAGAATATTACATTCACAAATTTCTACTAATTAATGACTATGTGAAACACAAGTCATTCAAATTTGTGTATTTTCCAATACCCGGAAGAACAAGCTTCTCACTTCCCAGGGAGAAACAATGCGTTGAACGGTTTTCTTCCAGATGATCCAGCTCAAAGAATGTGGGGGTTGTCATTTTTGCCACGAACTGAAATATACGCGTTCTGCGATGTAAACTATGGAGCTACCCATGACGAAAATGCATATTTGAAAGAAATAGCTTTTTCCAGAACAAAGTCTGTGGCTGGTAATAGTTAAGAAATGCATTATAAATCACGATGAGTAGGTCTTGAAACCTACTGTTCTTATACGGGAAGTACTAGTAGTGGATAGCGGAAGATTGAAGATACATAGGAGTTGAAAATGAACTATATTAATTTTCGAGAGACTTCTTTTCTACTGCTAGTAGAGAAAATACCCCCACGCCTATAACTGTGGACTATACTTCTACGTATGCATCTGGTTGTATTGGTACTAGGTGGTTACGTCTCTTTCACCGAGAGCCCCTACCACACACCGCGAAACTAGATCATACGGTCGGGTTTGGGTATTCTTGCACCAGTTTGAGATCAATGCTGTGACTTCGCGTTGGGGAAATGGTATACCGCAAGGTACCTGAAGCCCAAACATCCCTTTCGAATAAACTGGGAGCCTCTGCACAAAAACGGTGATCCAATATAGTATTGACCTTGAGGGTGGGGGCAGCGGCATTCAGAACTAGCATTTAAAGCATTGAACATGAATGGGATTGTATGATAGCCTCTTTTCAAAACCTTTCATTTTCAGGGATGAAGACTCCGGCTGCCAGGACCAGTTGATCTTCAGCAACAGGGGTAAACCCCGCATTAGTTATTACGACGCCTGTGTACATCAACCCGCGGCCATCGGTCCTCGGCAAAATTGAACATTTGCATGTCTACTGTACTTACCTCGAGTATATAGAGAACCGAGAGAGCGCATTTTTCTGATTTCTTTCTTTTTAAGTTCGCCCGGACGCTGACCGACTCTATCACCTTCCCACATAAGCAAGTATTCGTACTTTTTACGTGCTAGTTACTCCGTACTCCGTACGAGTATTATTTTCAATATGACCCGCCCAGCAGCCCCCACTCAAATGATCATCCTGCCCATTCAGGAGACATTGTTGATCGGCCAGCCCTCGACGCAGGAAGGCCAAGTGTGGTCACAGATATTGGGCATACTGGAGAAGTTTACAGGCTTCCAGCGTCTGGACTGGGGGCGACACGTGGAAGAGCCTGGACAGGTTCACCTGCATATCGGTGAGAGGCGCCCGAGGGTCTAGAAGGCTCTTGACTGCGTATTTTAGTGAAAGTCAAAAGAAGAAAAAAAGCAATAACCAGTGGCATCGCTGTAGTTCGTGAAAGTCTGCATCAGCACTACGCCTTCCTCGCCTCTCCGGAGTGGCAGCGGGTCGGCGAGAAGTTACGTGCGTTAGAGGTGATGGATTTTGCATCGCTTGTTGTGCGCCATGTGATGATGGAGGAGTTTAGTTCGGGCGAGGGTAAAAGGGCACCGGTGATGGGCACGGCCATCTATCTGACCCCTGACCAAGCGGGGTGGATGAAGACATGGGAGCTGTGGACGACGATTGTGGCAGTGGTGCCTGGATGTATTGGGGTTAGAGGCGGATGGATGGTGGAGCCCGTGGAGAAGCAGCCGGCTTATGTGGTGTTTGTCGGATGGGCAAGTGTCGAGGTACATGACGCGTATCATCAGAGTAGGCACTTTCGCCAGCGGGCAACGATCTTGCGGGAACATAACCAGGGGTTTCGAGAGTATGGACATGTTGCATTCAGAGGGTGTTTGAGTGGTAGGGATAGGGGAAATCTATGATAGTATCATATACATGGGATACTCCGATACTACTATTATGGTATGCTATGCTATGCTATGCTAAGCTACGTAGCCATGGTCAGAAAATTACCAAATGCAAATGGATGTACTGGATGTACTGGATGTAATTTTCAATACGCAGAACAGAACGGGGGGCTCGGGTCCGCCGGCTCCGCTGTAAGAAAATCGTAAACTGGGTATCGCCCAATCAGGTTACGCGGCCACCAGGATCCTCCGCGATGGGCCATGTCCATCTCTCCCCTCTTCTTCTCCTACAAGTCCACCCTCTCTCTCTACTTCACTCCCCTGTCCCCCCCCCCGTGTGCCCTTGAGAACACCTTGGCGACCAAATCCTCACTGCAGGCAAACTTCTCTCTCAACCTTCAATTGACCCCTTTTCGCTGAACCACCCACCGGTCCCTGCCTGTCAGCGCCCTAACTCGGCGCTTCGGCCTTGTCAACCACATTGTTCCTGGCCATTGTCTCCCTTCCATTGGTTGACATCCCAGCTCATTCAAGATCTGGAATCGCCAGCCTCCCCGCTTCGACGGTCCTTAATCGATCCTGGTGGCTGTACCCTGCGGTGGTCGCTGAAACTGCAGATCTCTTGTGTCAGCCGCGCGCATCGGATTCGCAGACGAAACCCCTCGACTTCTTTTTTTGAAGGTGGACAACGTTCCTGCCCTATAATTCTGTCGGTTATTTCTCTGGCAGATTTGCCCCTGCGTCGGCACAAATAGTTTTGGCATCTGGCTCTCCACGTGCAAGTGAAGGAGTTCATGGCTGGTGTCCAGCCTCCATCTATAATGACCGAATTTCGTATCCCTCATCACGGCCCTCCGCCACGGAAACCCCTACCGAATGCCCAACATGGCTACCAATATCAAGCCTACGACGACCCGAGAAACCTTGCGCCTTACTCGGGCAACCCTCAAACCACACACAGCCGAACACGCACAACTTCCTCTCAAGTCCTACCCTACGGCAGTTCCCAGTCTCAACAGTACCAAAACACCCCTCCGCCTCCGAGTGCCCACCCGTCGATGGCGCCCCCTCCATCTTTCGCGCAATCACGCCGCCTATCTACCACTACTACATCCACCAACTCGACCGGCAACCCGATGGCCCAGGGAGACGTGGATATTCGCCGGAGTGCGTCGAACCGATCGGCCAATTCTCAGCTCGGATATGTAGCCCTCATGCGACGACAGAAGGCGACCGTATGGTGTGATCGGGCGCAACCCGAAGATGCTCGCATGCGAGAGCAGGCTCGACGGGATAAAAAGAGAGCCTACCTCGAGGTTCATGGCGCAGGTCGTGCCGGCCACGCCGGCGGCAAGATCAGACATGGCGGCAAAGCCGGCCTGGACTTTTCGTCATCCAACTTGGTGGGCGCAAGTGTGCCTCTCCGTCTAAGTGCCAATGAAGTAGGAGACGGCGATGACGACTCCCACAGCGCCGAAGGTGTCATGATGCACCGCCGAACCGGTAGCGGCCGGAGCTCGATTACCAGCAACCGGTACCCCAGTGGCTACCACCGGCAACAGGGAACTATGGGTAGCAACAGTACTCCTCCGAACGAGAAGAGTGATCTGCCGGAAGTTTCTGAGAATAGGCCTGCCGAAATTCATGAGGAGGAGAAGAGCAGAGTATCTTCTTTGGTGAAGGATGACGCCGCTACAACACACACGGCGAATAGCAGCGAGCAAGAAGACATCGTGGGTGATATGGAGGCCCCGAGTGCGGCTGTTCACGCCGCCCAGAAAGCCAATAAAGCAGATGAACTGCGGCGGCGAGGCAGTGTGGACGAACGGACCACCTCTATGACCAATGTGCGGTTATTCGTTGCTAATCCTGACGACAGCGACTGAGAATACTATATTTCGAAGCTCGAAGCCACCATACTACCCCCTTTTATTCTTCACGCAGCGCCTGTTCTTTTATAGCTTATTTCTACCGTCATTTCCCGTGTCATCTTCTGCTCTATGATCTCCGAGAGTTTTTGATTACTTTCCTCAACGCTGCACATAATACCTCCACTGCTTGAAATGCTATTGTTTCAATTTCACACTGCAGACCTTGAAATTTTACCCCTACTGCCATCGTGTTCATACCCCTGGTTTTCTTGTCTTGGTTCTCGGTGGCCCTTATCAATTCTACAACCGGCGGCCTTATAGCCCTGGCGCTCATCTTTGATTTCTACATATCCCAGCTTCCTTACGCACTTTAGGCTGCAGTTTCAACTGAAACTTTAATTGTATGAGATTTACTATTAATGTTTTTCCCTTGTCCTCGTAGTATGAAGTATACCTTCAGGCACCCCCGGGTAACCATCTCGATTGGGCCCAAAATTGGATTACATAACCTTCTCTTCCACGCGCGACTTCCCCGACGCGTTCTCACGCGTCCCCCGCTGTCACTTCACACTTCACACTTCACACCTCACACCTCACACCGTCACTGAACCTCCTGCCAACTTGATCCTTGGAACCCTTTCGGATCGACTCCAGTCCGACAATCCATTCTTTTCAAGCTATTGTGTTACTCACTCTCACTTTCAATTTCACTTTCCCTTTCCCTTTCCCTTTCAATCCTGACCGGATATATCCGTGACTGTGTCGATTACCTCGTTAACCCTGTTTGCCCGAACCGATGATTTGAACACCGACCGCACCTTCCTCTTTCTCTTCCTCAACACCCAAAGAGACAATCATGAGTCTCTCGCCACTGCCACCATCAACTTCAATCCCTCCGTCACCATCAGCCAGTGTTCGAAAACGTTCTATCCATGAGGTCGACGATCTCGCTGTACCTGAACTTGGTCCAAAGCGGCCTTTGACGAACAAAGAAAACCAGGAAAACCACGATCCTCGAATTGTCGAATCACCCGAGAAGGGACCGACGTCCCCCAAAAAACCCTCCGGCTCGCAGTATCCGACACCTGTTGTTGAGATCCCCACCAGGAGCTGCCCGTCGAAGAGCGCGGGCTCTGCGAGTCCTACTGCCTGTTTGACTGTTGAATGTACAACTGCACAATTGAATTCTGCGCAATCATCGACTACCGCCATGCCCACTCCCGCTTCTAAGAGGCGGAAGCTTTCACCGGCTAGCCAACAAGCCAAACAAGAAGAAAAAGATACCAAGGAGCGCCAGCGCCTAGAGGAAAAGCAACGAAAGGAGGATGAGAAGCGCGCTAAGGCCGAGGAGAAAAAGAAGCGCGATGCTGAACGTGAAGAGGAAAAGCGTTTGAGGGAGGAAGAGAAAAAGGAAGAGAAGAAAAAACGCGACGCCAAGCACGAAGAAGAGAAAAAGCAGCGTGAGGAGAAGAAAAGAGCTAAGGATGAGGAGAAGGCTGCTAAGGATGCTGCCAAAGACGAGGAGAAGAGGAAGAAAGAGGAGGAGAAGTTGAAAAAGGAGAGGGTTAGTACCAGCCATATTTTCTTTCCGACGCCAAAAGGTGCATGCTAACTCCATCCAGTCTCAAATGAGATTGAACAACTTTTTTGCGAAGCCACAGCTGCCCTCTTCAGCATCCTCTACCGTCCCACCATCTCCCAGCAAAAAAGCCCCCAATGGGGATGCCGCTGCCGAGAACCCTCAAACGTCCGAATCCGACTATAAGAAAGCCTTCCCCGAATTCTTTCTCCAATCCCACACGATAGTCGCACCTCCCCATCGATTCGATCGTGATTCTGACGCTTTGAAACATGTCCGTGATACACTTGATGCCGGTTTGAACTCTGTGAATGGCACAAACCAGCAATTCCCGTACCAACCATCTGAGATTTTTCACATGATACCATACCGTCGACGCTGTGGGCGCCAAACTAGCTCCGTCAGAGATATTTTGCAACAGATACAGACTTCAGAGAGTGGATCTCTACCACTTTCCGAGAACCAACAACAGAAACACCAGGCACAGCTACGCAGGATCACGATGAAATCACTCAAATTCGGCGAGGATATCCGTCCCCTTACCAAGGAACCTATACTCGTACCATGCCGGAAACAACAGCTTTGAAACTGTCACGCAATCCATACTACCGCGGTCTCCCAGACACTAATTACGATTATGATTCTGAAGCCGAGTGGGAAGAACCCGAAGAAGGCGAAGACCTTGATTCTGAAGAAGAAGACGAGGGCAGTGACGAGGGTGAAGATGATATGGAAGGCTTTTTGGATGATGAAGACGATGCTCTCGTCGGAGGCAAACGGCGTCTCATTGTTGGCGATCTGGAACCAGTTAACAGCGGCATCCGGTGGGCAACAGACGGCGGCGTGGACGATGACCTCAAACAATACCAGATCGAAACGATCTTAGATGCCGTCAAATTTCCCATTGACCCGTTCTCCACGGTGTATTGGCAGAAGCCCCGTGCTGCCGAGCAGGCCTCGGCAAAGAATAAGGCCACAAATAACCAAGCCAAGGGCGCAAATACCCCATCTATTTTCAAAGTTCCCAGCTCGGACAAGGCGTGTGCTGGTGGTACACTGCCACCGCCGCCAGCAACCAAAGCGAAGCGGCCGTTCCCTCCTGAGCACTTGGAAGAGTTCAAGCAGGTGATCGAAGGCAGTGATCTCAGTAAGATTGGTGTGGTTGAGATCCTCAAGAAGCGGTATGTATTGAAGAATATACAGCATTTAAACCCAGTACTGACGGTTCTCCCAGGTTCCCCAAGGTCTCCAAAGACACATTGAAAGTAACTTTGGACCAGGTTGCAGTCCGCGTTGGCCAGAAGGAGGCGGATAAGAAGTGGGTTTGTCGGTGAATTATTCAATTTCTTATGATCATATGATATATTAGTGCTAGTCTAGTCAGTGGGGGTTTGTTTGGCTGTCAAGATACGGAGTTGGTTGCATATTAACTAGTTATTTGGCGGGCGTTCTGTGTTCTTATCACTTAGCATACATGATGTCCATTATGAATAAAATATTCTGCCTGCCTTGGGTATGAATTTTACTAACTTCCAAACCTTTGCATTCACTATCACTCAAATGTTTAGGTAGACCTTTTCAGTTTCGGCAGATGACCTCGGGAGATAGGTGTATCTGATTGTCCTGTACTCCCAGGTTGTAAATTGAGTATGATGCTGCAGCCAAACTCAAGTTTCTGAATCGAAATACATACAAGGACACGAATGCATTCAAGTTGTTTTAATATACAGTAAGTCTAGTGAGCCTAATGCCGATCTTCTCAGGAACAGTGGAAGCATCGCAAACCTGGCTTATGAGATGATCATCGAGAATAGCAGAACCACAGCAGCTAGCCACACATTCTGGGGCACCTGTCCGGGGGCGTTATTCGCGTACTGAACAAACTCCGTGCTACCCGACTTCGACGACGTCGATGTAGTCGACGGACCATCGCCAGAATCCGAGCCTGACGAAGAGCTTGAACTTGAATTTCCAGTCCCCATATTCAAGCCAGTATGACCCATATCGGGCAGAACCGTGTTATTGTTCGTAACAAGCACGGAGCTTTCCAGACCTTTCTTGTCGAGATAAGCATACGAGCGATGCCCATCTCCCGACCCGGCAGGCGGTTCATAGCATTCCATAGTGATATTGGCAAAGGTGGCGGAGTAATATCCGTGGTCTCGAATATCGGCGGCGTTCCAGTCGATCTCGCCGCCGGCCCAGTCAATAGTACCCTGTGCGTTACTCGCTCGGCCGGCCGGCCAAAGTGAAAGCTGCATGCGAGACGGGGTTTGGGGGTACTCGTATCGGTTGGCAGTGGCATTCCAGGTGGATTTCTTGGTGAGTGTTCGCTTCACCGTTCCGTCTACGGACCATTTTATTGCCTGGGGCGTCCAATTGATCTCGTAGTGATGCCAGCTGGAGTAGGTATTGTCACTGGTCGAAAGTTTGTCCCCATTTGTATCTGGAAATTTCAAGTGTGCTGTCAGAATCTCATCTATGCGATCTATACATTCGTCAATAACGAGGCACAGGTTTCAACTTACAGTTCGTGATTCCTTGGAAATAAAAGTTGGTCTGCACATTCTCCAGGTCAGAGCCCACCCATTCGAAGTCGATCTCATCCTTGACATCAGACATCAGGATAAAGCCAGTGACAACGCCCTTCCCACGACTACTTTTGACATCAGCCGCGATCTTCCCGTACCACATATAGTGTGTGCTAGAAACAAGCGTCCCGACACTATTCTTAGGCATAGTCAAGATGATATTTCCATCCTTCAGCTTGGGAGATCCGGAATATTCCCAGTCCGATTCAGATGCATTGCCCAGATACTTCGTGTTCAGAGCAGCGTTGTCAAGATTTGGCCAGGAGAAGGTTCGATTCTGGCCCACGGCCTTGGGAGTACAGGCATCCAGGGAGTATGACATTCGGGGATCACATCCGCCGAGGCAGTAGGTGCCAGTGCCACAGGTCCCTTCCGAGCAGCAGGGATATTCCTTGGGGCAGGACTTCGAAGTGCTGCATGAAGGGGGGTCGGAAGCTGCGAGTGCAGACCCGGCCATGAGGCCGAGCAAAATGTACAAGATCACATGCATCGCGGCATGTAACGACGAACGGTCGTTTTTGTAGAAAATGAGTGGCAGAGAGTTGGATTAAAGAAAGTGGAACTTGAATGAAAGTTGAAGGAATGAATGGTTCATGAATAATCGAGAAAGTCGATCCCTGATGTGAACTCTGCGCATATTAAACAATTGAGATCGGGGTCAGCCCGATCTGAGCCTAATACGTCCGTACAGTCCAGTGGCACTGGGCGTCAGGCTGCCTACGGTTAGGGCCGAAGTCCTCCATAACTATCAAGAACTACCCACTACCGACTAAAAATAGGCGGCTGAGCCATTGCCCAGATACTTGGGTGTAATTTTCATTCTTTGGAGCAGGGGTGTTACTGATCGAATGATTGCATTGATTCAGTCGTTGACCAATATGGCCCTTTTCGCATGGGGAAAAATGCAATTCGAAATAAATTATGTTTCAATACAAGTAGACCTTTATCCTGTAAACGTTCCTCTTCCATCGAAACCCCTAAGGTTTCTGACTGGTAGTTACTGTGAATTTATAGAAACATAGATTTTTGACTGCAAACCGCATGGGCTACTGAAACAGAGTGGTCCAGGTGCAATCTTCGATACGTATCAAGGTTGTTTGGATTGAGCAGATTCTATGATTTTTCGTTTGTAATAAAAACAAATTCCTATTCTGGAAAACTGTTCAAAGATAAAAAATAATACATAACAATAGAAACCGTAGAAATCCAAAAAAACGCCAATAAAATTGACTCCAACAACTATGCAACATACCCCCCTTCATGCTGGAAGCCAAAATCGCCCTTCTTGATACACGAAGCCTTTCAATTTGCCGCAATGTTGATCGGAAACTGGACTTCTAATATGCGCGTCTGTGTCTAGATAGAAATAGAATCAGTTAGAATGGTCATCGGTCGTTATTCAAATTGTGTAACATTGAATTTACCTTTTTGGGACCGCCCTTGAAGCCTAATCGCACCTCGAGCTTATATGAGCGGTTGATGTTACATGTTTCGAAAGTGGGAGTGATGTCAGTCGGTAGAGATAGCGATCCCCATGAATCATCTGATAGAGTCATCGCATTGTTAACGGGCATTTCGGCGAGGCATATCCCCAGATTCAGATTGCTCAATGTCCGCAAAGTTCGGAATAGATGTTGAACTTGAGACTGAGCCCCGACTCGAGTCACGGTTTTTTGAATGAGCATGACTTGGTAGTCATTGAGAATAAGCACATCCTGGCTGGTAGGATCGGCTTGGGTAACATGCACCTTTATTGGTACACGTTGACCTAGGGCAAGATGTCCTCCCCGAGCAAGCTCTATGGCAACCCCGTAAGCTGGTGTCGACTTGTTGTCTTTCTCCATGTGGCGAAAGGTAACTTCTCGCTGGTGGATGATGGATTGTGAAGGTTTATGTGGGCTGGTGGTAGGGTAGAAGAATATCTGGCGAGATTTCTTCATGACGTGTTTGAAGATCCCACCGATTTTGACGCTTGCATCGAGCGAATACACAATTTCAGCGTTGCTGGATGAATCGCCTGTAGAAGGCGGGAGATGACCCCGGAGTGACTGGCTCTCATTGACTTTGAAATCAGACCATTCTGTCAAAGATTTCTTCCCGGAGTGTTGGTCAAAGTGGATCTGATAGGATTCAGAATCCTGGGACAACTAGCACGATTTGGTTAGCTATGAAGCTGTCACTTCAAATAGTCGAAAATGGGACTTACTGGTAGAGAAAATGGAAAGGCATATTGTTTAGGCCCCATGGTCCTCGACTTAGAGCTTCGAACATCGAGCTCCGTAGATTGGGGAAAGACTTGATGTGTTGTTTGAAAGAACTGCGAGGCAATTAGTTTACTACTTCCCATACTCAAAAATGCAAAGTCTTACTTGATGAGATTGGCTGTGTCTTGTGCCGTCTAGCCTGGAGATTGAGCGTCCGGAAAGAGTGACTGATATCTGCGAGATATCCACTGGAGCCTTGAGCTCAAGAATAACATGCCCGATAAGATGATCAGTAGGCGCAGATTTTGGCTTGTCTTTATCCTGGTGAAGTTGGAGTGCTATGGTAGGCACTGAAAAGAAAGGATTCAATATGCAAGACATGGTACAAAAAGGTATCGGACGCCAGCGCCTGTTGATAACAAGGGTGTGCCTTTATTGGGGCCTTGGTTTAACCTCTGCGATTTGATATGGGCAGACAAGAAGTTCCGGTGGATTGGAACTGAATTCAAAATGGAGGAGAGCTCAATTTGAATTATTGAAGCTAGTATGTCGATCTTGACAGCCACCATAAATGCATTGTGGGCGATGGGCCCTAAAAGTGAGTAGAAAAGAACCATATTTTTTGGGTGTGCAGACTTAGTAACTACGACTATTTTTACCCGGCTTCGGTAGGGTAACAATGGAAAGAAAATATAATAAACAGGCTAGGAGTGGCAGTGTTTCAATTGGAAAAGGTTAACATGAAAGCGAGCCAGGAATACTGTATTTGCAGGGCTAGGCAGACCCACGCCAATCGGCATCTCCGATATCACCGTTTCCGAATTGATAACCCTTGTGCGGATACCTTACGTTAAAATTTCAGGGCTGAGTGTAGCTCGATCTCTTAACGTTCACTAGGCGGAAAATAATTGTGGATCTTGGCTCACTACTTCGTATCCCAGACATAACTAGCCCACGTTAAGTTTTTTTGCTGTTCGGCATAAGGCTGGGGCGGGGCGGGCCATGCCGATTGGTTCGGCATATGAGCGGGGCTACCACTATCCAATCAAGACTCCCCAGCGACTGATGTATAGTTACAAGTCCGCGAAGTTGATGAAAATAGAGTCTTCGTGCCATGTGGTTCCGTTTCAGTGCACAGCCTTTGTCTGAGCCTCAAATCGAAGATGGACTGTATTTACTCTCAGTCCACGTGCTCCTTCCAACGGTTTGCTTTTTCCCCCTTTACGCTGATCTCGATTTTGCCTACTCCAGTCGATTTCAAGTTCAAACCTTGGAATATACTATCAAGGAACACCTCGCCAGAACGGTGCTTCTGGGCCAAAAGTCATGGATCAGCATTCAGATCAAAGCTACCCACTCTCTCTCTACCCAGGGCCAAGAGATAATGCTTCGGTCAGTAACTATTCCGGGGAAGAGAATGTTCGGTTTTTGGTAAGTGACATCTCATCCATGGATTCAAGTTTCACTAGAAACTTCGAAGTCAGCACCGGCCGAGAAAACACCATGACCCGTCAGGATAATATCGTCTCACTATATCACAGGGAGAAAATGAGCAGGACGGTTCCTCGCACCCAAGAAGACCGCCGTCTTACCACTCCGGGGCCAGTTCTCCTTCGACAGAGGTCTCCCGAGGATATAGCCTGGTTGAGAGATACGCACAAGACAACGGTGGAAACCCTTTCGAAGATGACACAGACGAGACTGGTCGAGGACCTCATGAAGGTCCAACTGCGATGCCTAGCTATACACATGAGCCCATATCAGCAGGGTGGCAGCATCGTCAAGAACGTGGTGCTAGCCGACTGCGACGGTATCCCACACGCAAAATCAACTTGATCCAAGGCACAGTCCTGAGCGTCGACTATCCGGTCCCTAGCGCGATTCGAAACGCAATCGAGCCGAAATATATGAATGACTCGGGCAGCCCGCCTGAGGAGTTCACCCACTTGCGATGTAAGTCTTGTTGAACACAACTTGAAACAAATACCTTCAAGCACATGCTGAGTTAGGCTCATATTCCAGACACGGCGGCGACTTGTGATCCTGACGAATTCAATCTTCGCAATGGCTATAATCTCCGCGCAGCGATGTATAATCGTTATACGGAGCTACTGATAGCCATTACTTACTACAATGAGGACAAAGTCCTCACTGCCCGCACACTCCATGGAGTAATGCAAAACGTCCGCGATATCGTCCAGTTGAAGAAGACCGAGTTTTGGAACAAAGGAGGACCGGCGTGGCAAAAGATCGTGGTATGCTTGGTGTTTGACGGCATTGGGCCATGTGATAAAGAGACACTGGATGTGCTGGCAACTGTTGGCATCTACCAGGATGGGGTCATGAAACGGGATGTTGATGGCCGAGAGACGGTTGCTCATATTGTTCGTTTGAATTGTCATATTCCTGGCTTTCTACTACCAAGGCTTTTTAAAAGACTGACATCGTTATAGTTTGAATATACAACTCAGCTTTCTGTCACCCCAGCACAGGAACTTATTCGCCCAAGGACCGGAGACGAATCAGCAAAAAATCTACCACCAGTCCAGATGATCTTTTGTCTGAAACAGCAGAATAGCAAAAAGATCAACTCCCATCGCTGGCTATTTAATGCGTTCGGTCGGATTTTGAATCCAGAGGTTTGTATTCTTATTGACGCAGGAACCAAGCCGGGCACCAAGTCTCTGCTTTATTTATGGGAGGCATTTTACAATGATAGGAACCTCGGAGGTGCTTGTGGAGAGATCCATGCCCTCTTGGGACGACGCTGGGAGAAGCTCCTAAACCCCATCGTGGCTGCACAAAACTTCGAATACAAAATCTCCAATATCCTGGATAAGCCACTGGAGAGTGTCTTTGGCTACGTGAGTGTCCTTCCGGGAGCTTTCTCGGCGTACCGATACCGGGCCATCATGGGTCGGCCCCTGGAGCAATACTTTCATGGCGACCATACTTTATCTGCAAGGCTCGGACCAAAGGGGATTGAGGGTATGAATATCTTCAAGAAGAACATGTTTCTTGCAGAGGACCGGATTCTTTGCTTCGAACTCGTAGCAAAGGCCGGGTTCAAATGGCATTTGACATATGTGAAGGCCTCCAAGGGTGAGACGGATGTCCCTGAAGGTATGAATTCTCCTGTGCGGATTGCACCCTTTATGAGAGTTGGCATACTGATTGAAAGATTTTAGCACCCGCTGAGTTTCTTGGGCAGCGACGACGATGGCTCAATGGATCATTTGCGGCCGGTCTTTACTCCATCGTGCATTTCACTCGAATCTACAAAAGTGGCCACACCCTAATTCGGTTGGCCTGGTTGCATGTGCAGCTCATCTACAATCTTCTCCAGCTAGTCATGACTTGGTTCTCCCTCGGTAAGCTACATTTAAGACACCCGGCTCACGAAGCTAGCACTGACGATACTGAAAGCATCTTACTGGTTAACGACCTCGGTGATTATGGACATTGTTGGCGTTCCTGGTTCATCAAACAAAAATCACGGTTGGCCATTCGGAAATGACGTGACGCCGATTGTCAACAATGTTATCAAGACAACATACGTGATTGTTCTCATCCAGCAATATGTACTGGCACTGGGTAATCGACCAAAAGGGTGAGTGGGCCTGCGACAGTGCTCTGAGGTACTACCGGCAGCCGCATAGCGGGTTTTGATGATAGCTAACCTGGATTCCAGATCAAAATTTGCATATTTGCTGGCCCTAGTCTATTTTGCTATCATTCAGATGTATATTCTTGTTCTTTCATTCTATTTGGTGGCGCAAGCATTCTCGGGTGGAAGTCTGGGTCTCGATACCGATAATGGGCTCGGTGGCTTTTTATCTTCTCTATTCACTTCGACCAGCGGCTTGGTTTTAATCGCCTTGGTTTCGACATATGGCATCTATGTTATTGCCAGCATTCTCTATGCTGACCCATGGCATATGATCACCTCCTCCTGGGCCTACTTCCTCGGGATGCCCTCTTCGATCAACGTGTTGATGGTGTATGCTTTCTGCAACTGGCACGATGTATCCTGGGGGACCAAGGGGTCTGACCAAACATCTGCCCTCCCCTCAGCACATACTCACGCTGCATCCGATACATCATCTACAAATTTTGTCGAGGAAGCTGATCAACCGCAGGCAGATATCGATACCGAATTTGAACTAACTGTCAAGCGAGCCTTGACACCATTTAAGCCGGCAGTAGAGGAAGAAAAGGGAGACATGAGTGATTCTTACAAGACTTTCCGCACTAACTTGGTGCTTTTTTGGAGTCTGTCCAATGGATTATTGGTGCTCTTGATCAACAATGCTTCGGTGACCAACCTATGTCTGACGGTGATTAACCCCTTTCTTTGATTTGATAGAGCCGGGGCGCTCCTTTGCTCTAATAATATAGAGCTTTGTGCTGATATTGTTTCTAGAGTACATCTACTACCCGAACAGCATGGTACTTCAAGGTTATTCTCTTGGTTACTTCTGGCCTATCAATATTTCGCTTCCTTGGGGCACTATGGTTTCTGGGCAAAACTGGTGTTTCGTGTTGCTTTTCTCGCAAGTAAATCAATCAACCAGAAAAGACTTGAGTTTCATAACTTTTTGGGAGTTGGGTCGGGCTGGTGTTCTACCAATAATATTTGTATCATTAGAAAATGAAATTGTTTTATTTGACAGTACTGAGATAGTTTACATACCCTGGTTTAATTAGTAATTCTTCTAGTATTTGTATCTTGCCCGCGGTTTTTAAGCTAGCAACGGCGTCGAGTATTTTAACGCATCAGTATTTGTTGGTGTATTTGCTAGTTATAACTTAAGGACCACATGTCAAGTACATCATAAATGAGCTATCGTAAACTCTCTGTTTAAGCCAAGAAAGAACCATTGCTCTTCGCCAGAATTTCATCGTAGTAAGGCTGAAAAGCCAACCACCCCTTATCTGGACCACCCACATTCTTACGCGAGTACTCAGCCTCATCCTCATCGATTAGAATCTTTTTATATCCACCTGCCGCAGCAGCATCGGCAAGAAGCTGCACCTGACAAGTCTTGTCAAGGCTAATGAACTGGCTTCGCTGTCAGTGTCTGTTTGTATAGGTGGAGAGACAGTTAGAGCTTACCCAGAAGGCAGCCTCGTCAACAGATCTACCAACGGTAAGGAGGCCATGGTTTTGCAGAATAAGGGCTTTGCAGCTTCCGAGGGCTCCGGCAATCCGATCGCCTTCCTCCGGATCTAGGACAACGCCGTTGAAACTGTCGTATACTGCATGGTCCTTATAAAATCGCAGGGAGTCCTGGGTTAGCATTTCTAAGGGACGCCCAAAGGCGGCGAAAGCTTTGCCATGAATACTGTGGGCGTGACAAGCGGCATGAACATCAGGGCGATTTTTGTGGATAGCGGCATGGATCGTGAATGCAGCAGAATTGATCGGCTCGTCACCCTCAACTACCAAACCCTCTTCATCGACGAGAATGAGGTCGGAAACTTTGATCAGGGAGAAGTGCATAGAAAGGGGGTTCAGCCCTTCGACGAGATTATCGTTAGCTAACTTCTGACAACAGGCTTTCTGCTATGATCAAAGGGACCTACAAAAGTGATCGGTTAGGATAGGGTCCCGGACGGAGATGTGACCGGCAATACCCTCATCGAAGCCTCGGTCGGCAAAAACACGGAAGGCAGCGGCAAGATGTTGCTTCCGATAGAGACGCTCCTCTTCAAGGCTAGCAAACTTGGGGTATTCGCGGATCTTCAGGAGCCTGCCATCCTTGGCTCTGCCGAGTGACTGAACCTCTTGAGCTTCTGGGCGGCCCTCCGTCTTGTTGGTGGAAAGGAGGCCTTTGGACGGCAAGGTGCTCGTTTGGACAGCTTGTGTGAGGGAGGGGGCCATGTTGACGTTTGTGAAGGTGTTTAATTGATTTCCTGGGCCCCGGGGGCTTGGGTTGTTATTGGTATCAATAATAATGATCGTCAAGTTTGGGTGATCGTAGGCCAAGAACTTGAAGGAATCAATTTGAAGGACGCCCATTAATATATAAGATTTCTGCCACCCTCATCCCAACGCAGTATCGATCTCCGATGGTGCAACGTGATCCCAACAACGGAACAGAACGCCCCTGCGGTAGTCCAACCCCTCATCGATAATGGATCTCACAAATCGGATTTCCATGCAGGCACCATAGGTAGGCCAGTTCCCGTCCAGCGAATGGATACAAGCCAATTATAATAGGCCAAGTATGGCAAAAGGGGATTCAATTGGTTGGTTCAAGACCCGAGGTATAATTCTGGGACAGAATTTGGATAACTTTTCTTTGGAAGCCGGAAATATGTACCCCGCATCGGAAAACTGTGCTACTTGAACCCCAGAAACAAAGCTCGGGGATCACCCCGAGAGTCCCAAGCCCCAAATTTCAAGGTTCCCAGGATCGCTTCCAGAGATCCCCGGTTTCCAAAGCTCCCAAATATTGAGTAGTCGCATATTACCTCCAGGAGACGTATGAATAAGTAGCGAACTTGATCGAGACTGTAAGATTAATAATTATATGTTCTCTATTGGGTCAGCTGTTACTTAGCAGCTTCAGTACCCACAGAGCGGTTGATCATTGATCCATCATGAAATGGATTATCCATTACTGAATGATCGGCCAGTGAACTATGAAAGGAAAGAATCTTCAATTCAACTTAGACCATGAGGTGTTTGGTATATCTCGGGCTCATTGTGGATTTCTGGCTAACGTTGGAGAAAAAAAGAACAAAAGAAAGTTGTGCAAAAGGTACGTACGCAACTTTGTTAAATGAAATACTATCTGCATTATGGAATGGCAGAGCCTCATAGAAAATTTGGTGCGGAGACACAGATTTGAATTCGCATCTCAATATTTGACATTGAGTCGGAGGGAGGACTTCGACATTTGGCCAAACGCAATGCCATTAAGATCCCGCAGCCAGGCAATCGCGGGTGTATCGGCCATTTGGGCAACATCCGATCCCTACCGCTTAAAGAACGAACATTCGTATAGAATCCTATGTACCGAAGTGGGATATCTAATGGCCTTTTCGTGGTATTGTGGCCTGAGAGATCAGGCCAAAGATTTGCTTTGCCACACGTAGATATTATTAAATAACCTCTGGAACTCCACTAGCTTAATCACTGCCCAGGTGAGTCTGGACCTATACATAAATATACTCATTGAGTCTAAGCCTCCTAGGCGACCCCATCCTTAAAAAGCCGCGGCGGCTGAAACAGCAACTTGAAAGGTCCACCTCCAGGCATACCACATTCCGAGGTTATCATGTCCACTGTAGTGCTACTAGTACATGTTAGTATTCTATGACTATACTATAGCACATATAGTAAGCCCCACTTGTTCCAATGTTTTGATTCATTGAATGGCGATTCAGTCCGCGGGCCCCGGGCTATGAACCATAATCGTAGATATGGCATTTCCACAACACGCCACGTGCCGAAGTGGACAATTGGATAAGACCCTTAGTGGAGGCCGCTTAATAATAAACCCTCATAAAGGAGACACCGAACCAATCCCGATGTATAACCCGACTTGTGGGTCTCTTGGCGTTCGATTTTTCTCCGCCTCGTTGTTCCATGGCTTGGCACCCAGGGGACTTATTTATTAATAGCTTCCGCCCGGCTCTATCCTGGCGAGCTCTGCCATAGCCACCATAGCCACATCGGAGTATACTCACATTTATTGCGCAGAGAATCCTTAAGTACTTCCAATTCAATCCATTTATCACACATATCATCGTTTTCCATAGTACGATGAGATAAATGATGCCCATCGCGATACACAATCATGCAGCCGGTGGAAGATGATCATCACTCACCCTATCCCGTTCCGGCGGTATGCAATCCTCTCTCGGTCAAGATTAGCTTGGCTTTGTCAGTCATTCATCCTGCTAATTTTCCGTCGTTTCAACTCTAGTGTGATAATTGCCATACGCGAAAGGTAAGATGACATAGTTGACTGATTTGTTGTGTGCATATGCAGGGCTGACCATAAGCCAACTTGAAGGTCCGTTGCGATCGAGGAATCCCATGTAGCAATTGCCAAGATCAAAATGTATCTTGCTTGAGACAACGAAGCAGACGGCGGCTCCCAAAAAGAATTCAAAACACGCCGGCAACGACGGATCACACGCAGCCACATCCCCCAAGTTTGGTATTCTCAGCGGAGACTCCCAAAATATCTCCCCATTCACAATTCCACGATGATCATTCAAGTGGGGATGGTCATACATGCGATGATGTACCGATAGATATCGCTACAGGAACACCAGGAGTGGGCGTAACCCGTTCAGAGCCACCTGTGTCGGCGGCTAATGAAGTGGCTACCTGGGTTTCACCCATGAGACCCATTGAAATCGAATTCAATCTTCCGGGAGGCAAGGCCTTTTTTCAGCAAGGACTGATCCGCCAAGCCCAGCAAGTCTTGGAGTCTGCCCTGGTCAATGCGACGCAGACCGTGCCTGTGTCCAAGACAGGGCTAGCTCTCGATAAGGAGAGGTTCGAGTCTTTGGAGTGGATATCGCCGGAATTTCTTACATGGATGTTGCAAGGTATGCGCGTCCCTCCTGTTTATCATGAATTATAGTGAAAAAAGATGCCCTAACATATGTTGTTCTGATGAATAGACATTGGAAGCGCGAAGGGCGGGTCGTTTGTCTGGGATTATTTTAAACACGTATCCAAGTCGAGCTTGAAGCATATGGGCTTGAGCTTGCTGTCAAATCAGGTATCACCAGATGAAAGGGATATTTTCACAGTCTGTTTGAGTGCCGCCGCGCACAAGTTCCTGGTCACCATGCTTGCGAGTGGGGAGCATGATGATGAACTCACCGACCATCTGCAACAAAGGTTGTTGAATTATAAACGAGCTGCTCTGGCAGCTTTGGATCGGATCCGGCTCATGACCACCCCATCCCTCTCTCTACTACAGGCTATTTTGTGCGGTGTAGGTCTCTGTCCTCAAGTTAGCTACGAGCCTTACTCTTCAGTCTGACCTGATAAAATAGATATTCATTCACCAAGGATCCGGGAACGCGCGGTTCGCTTACGATTTAACTCGGACTGCATGCCGGCTTGCTACTGACCTAGAGCTTCATCTGAATCCCTCTCGACATGGAAGGGGCTCCAGGACAGAAGAGGAATCTTTCTGTTTGCTGTGGTGCTACATGTTGGATAAAAACTACGCATGGAAGTTTGAACCTCGTCGATGGTACTTCGACCCCGAACCAGGAGTTATTGATCAACATGTCGACGGCACAATTTCGGAGCTGCTCAACATTTATCTCATTATGGCTCAAGTACAAGATGAAGCTCTATCGCTGTCGAAGACTATCGTTT